TGGCGTCAGTGGATTATGAGTGGCTTGCACCAGCCGATGAACTCAATGCATGGAAGCAGGACTGTTTTCTCGAGCATGCAGTGTGAACGCAAAACGGGAAGGAAAATATCTTATCCGCCAATTATAATTTGGGCTATCCAAGCCTCCATCCAACCACGGGGGATCTTCTATCCGTGGTGATCATGACTGGAACGAAACCCGATGTGGCTGGACAACGATTGGCTCGATCATCCAGGACTTAGGTTTTGGGCTGCAACATTGTCATGTTGACTAAAATGATGGCCTGCATAAGCGCGCCCAGCATCTGTGAGAATCCTCTAATATTCCAGTTCCTGTTCCATATTCCCATATTATTTCCTGTGATCCTTGTGATTTTGAGAGGAAACGATTGGGCGAAGGCTAACGTTTCCGTCTTTCTCTTTGTATCCACCGCCAGGGTGGGCCTAGGGATCCGGACTTGCATCTCGCCTAACACTCGGATACGAATGTGCTAGGGCCACTCTGTCAGACCACTAGGCATTGCTTGACATTCTTGAACCATCACCACCTTGCTTGGCGTGATCAAGGAATCAGAAAGAGCAGAAAATCCCCATGTCAATGCGAAGATACATTTGACTAAAAAAAAGGTCACATGGTACTATGGGGTAGCGACTCCTACCTGTTTCGGCAACTGCGGCCGAGTCCTTCATGAACTGGCCCAACGACCCCCTCAATCCTACGAACTTACCCCAGAGTCGAATGTCAGGCCAAGCCAGATAAGCCACCAGGCATATCAGTTCGACTACAGACCGCTTCTTGTCTGTTCCCGCATCCCAACACCAAAACTGCGCTATCCCTCTAATTGGCAGGCACTAAGCTGTCTGCAGGAAAGTTATATTAATCCACAGCAAAGCAAAGTGGAGCCCAGAGTGGAGATGGCAAATGAGCCTCGGCTGGCATGTTTAGTTGCTCAAACAGCAATTTAGAAGTGCGCGATTAAAAAAGAAAAATATTTCAAAATTGATTAACATGAAAATTCTAGCTGCTCTAGGAATTCCTCTCGAATTCCACTGGATGGGGGCGGAAAGCACGATAAGAGTGGCCACTTTCCACGCGGCGACGGCGGGATTTAATTTTACTGTCACCTTGGGGCGGAAATCCACGTTTCCCGTCCATAGGCAATGCAGGCTAGACTCCGGATCTCTTGATTGTCGCTAAGGATAACACTAGCAGGGGCCTATGCAGCAACCGGTTAGTGACCCGGCGTTAGCCGGGTCTAGAAAGTTACAGAGTCGCATTGCTTTTGAACCTGGTCCAATCCCCGATTATTGTAGCCAGATTGACTGGACCGAGACAATTGCACATGCTTGTATCCACCATGATATGATATCAACCCCACTTTGCATGATCCATAGGTGCAGGGTTAGGATAGGATAATACATGGTAGTCATACCAAACCGGGCTCGGAGATATCCGCTATCCTTTTCATGGTAAAAGTCCAGAAAAAACACCGGTAGATCAGGGGGAACAGGTCGATGATAAGACTTGCGGTAGATCAGATCGAGCATGGTGCCACTCAACCCCTCCCCTCCCGGAAACGTTGTCGGTTCTCATCGGCGTGAACAGGGGGCTTTCCAAGGCTAGGGGGTAATTATCAACCCCTCTCGCCTAGAAGCAGGCACGGCCATCGCACTGTTTCTAGAAGCTCGCCCAAACATTAAGATTGGTGGATGCCTGGTGAATTACCCCAGGTCCGCTCCCAGGTGGATCACGTACCTGCGCAGCTGGCGGAGTCGATGATATCGTCAGTAATCAGCGCCTTGTCGCAATTGGCTGTGTCTCTGTCTCTCTCTGCTATCTGTTATAAGCCTTCGCCTCTCCACCCTTTCTTTGGATGATCTCCGTTGAACTTGAAACCTCTTGGCAAGGGTCCAATTGCTGATCCCAGATCTTATTTCCCCCCCTCTCGTCCCTACAAATCAAATGATTCACGATTAAAATTCCATTCCGTTCAATGCAATGACGCGAACAGAGCCTTCACATAGCGCTTCGTCGTGGGAGACGAAAAGCATCGCCGCCACTGACGATGGCCACCGACTTGACTCGGTCGGCCAGGATCCACGCCCCCGCGGTCGAATCCGTCGGTCAATGACGGCTTGCAATACATGTCGCAAGCTGAAGACCCGCTGTGATCTTGACCCTCGTGGCCACGCATGCCGTCGGTGTCTTTCGCTCAGGTTTGTGCTCATCTCTCTCCCTTTTTTTTGTCGTTTCACGGAATTCTGTATCCCGCACGCGACATCTATTGCCCCAATGCAACATGATCCTCCCAGCGATCGTCAGGCTAACCGTTCATTGTAAGGCTTGAATGTGAGCTGCCTGAAACTCCCGATCGATATCAGGACAGTGCATCTACGTGGTCGGATGCCAATGTCGCTATTCCCTCCATTGAGGAACGGCTTGTATCTCTAGAGCGTGGCATGGGCGAAATGATACATCTCATGCGACAAATAGTTAATCAGCCCCCCGCAATGGGCAGTCCGAACTACCAGTCACGAAATAACAGTATAGACGGCTCGACTGACAGTGGACCGGGGTTTACCTTAAAACCAGTCCAGTTCATTCGCGATTTACAGATTGAATGCTTCGGCGAGAGGGATCAGTTCCCAGCTGAAGGTGAACTCCTGGGTGATGTTGTCTCCCAGGGGATTGTAGATGCTAAGTTATCATTGAAACTGATCGAACTGTGAGTAGCGCAAAGCTCTTTCCCTGGATTCGACTAACCAATCTCTAGATTTGTGGATTATTTCAGCCCATGGGTCTCCATAGATCATTCATCAAATATCCAGCGGACAAATCCTCTACTTTTTAATACTGCTTGTTTGCTTGCGTCCCGGTATCTTCCGGGAATGCCTCCAAATACTACTCATGAGATTGCACTGCAGGTGCAACATGCAGTCACAAAAACACTGTGGAGAAAGTCTCCTTTGACCAACGACTTGCTCCAAGCCCTTGCGCTACTTTGTCTATATCCTACCTCTGGTCACAAAGAAGGTTTCATGGACGCCTGGTTGTTGAGCGGGATCTCAATCAACCATGCCCTGACCTCGTTCAACTTTCTACACAGCCCACCCGCTAAGGGTGTGCTGCCCGGCGAAATGCTTCCTCAAATGCGTCTGTGGAACACATTTTGTCTTACTCATTTACAGTATGCTCTTTTTCTCCCTTGACATGATCACTCACTAACCGAATACAGTTCTGCACTTGGCTACGGGCGTACCGTCAACGTGCAAGCTCAATATTTCGACCACTGCTCTCGCATCTTAGACCATCCCAGAGCCACCCCCGAAGATGGACGTATTGTCGCTGAGATCTCCCTATATCGAATCGCCCTGAAACTCCAAAACAGCCCGCAGCGCCTCCAGTTCGCAGAAGTCGAATACGAGGAACTCGAACGCTGGAAAATGGAATGGGCCCACCTCCTCTGTATGTTCATCTCACCTGCCCCATACTCTCCTGAACCCAAACCACTAACAATCCTCAGCAAGCGAAGGCCAATCAACGCTCGAACTAAGCATCTGGTTCTGTCAACTCCTCCTGCACAGGACAGCAACCCGAATTCAAGATTCCGACCGCCTGATAACCGAAATCTGCAACAACGCCCGTCTAATAATCTCCCGCTCAATGCAAACCCGCTTCTCCGCCGCACCAGGCCTAATAGACCACGTCTATTACATCCTCGGTTACGCCGCTTTAACACTATGCGATTACAACCCTTCCGATCCACTAATCGACCAAGTCCGCGCATTCCTTCTCCACCTCGCTCCCAGCAGCGATCACCTCTCATACCGGATCGCGTTCATAGTCGGCGAAGTGCAGCGCCGATATTCCGAAGCTGCGACAGCCGAACAATCCTCGCCGAGTGCCCAGGTAGCTCTGAAAAGCGCTATGTTCCCGCGCACAGAGGGCTTGGATCTGACTCAGCTCATTCCCTCCGCGAATGGGATGGAGCCTGTTGTTGATGGGTATGGGGTTTTTGATCAGATGATGTCGGGTTATGGACCGAATCAGGCGTCTTTCTCGGGGCCGGCGCTGTTCCAGCAGCATTCCGCCCCGGTTATGGGTGGGGCTATGCCTATTGGCCTGGTGCCAAGGGCTCTTCATGATTATTGATATGTTTTCCTGTTTTTGGTGTTATGGCTTTATGTTGGATGTTGTGCGATGTTATGTTATTATGGGATTCTTAGTAAATATCTATTTTGGATGGGGGAAGCATGTTTTCATGCTCGATCATGTTGCATGCAAAGTCTAATTATTTTCCGGTGGTAAAAAAAGACTCATTTCATTTGGTGTCATCAATGGATGTGTTTCTGGATCTTCTATGGTCACGATAGAGCACTCGCCCATGATGGGCTACAGTCGTTTATTCACGGATATCGTGTATTCACGGCTATTGAATATATTAGTTCGAACTTACACATACAAACTTCCAATTGGAGAATGATTCTAACGACAAGGTCCCCGTTCTTGGTTTAGCGTAGAGCTCGGATTACTATCTATAGATGACATCGGATGCCCAGGAAGTGTCGCTGCTGGTTCTAATCAGTCGAAGCCTTGCGGGGTGATTAACAGGATATTTCGTTGGAAGATAAAGAACCAAGAATGAACAAGCTGCCAATGCGCCAGTAGTCAGTTCCCATGCAATCATGGCACAAGGGCTAACACCATCTTACTGAAATCGGTAAAAAGCGGCTAAGTTGGTAGAGTTGACAGCGCCACGTTTCCCCAGTCGAACGACTATTATCCCACTACGCTCATGAATGGTAGGAGCAGATGTGAGGAGCACTACTGAGTCTCTTCCGTGACAGAGTTGATATCTGTTTCATCAGGTGGGAATTGGATAAATTTCATGGAAACTGTTAATTGCTTATCCAAGTCATAGATTTCTGGAATCTATTATCATTTACTCTAACAGATTCCACAAATCGTAGGAAAAAAAGACTTGACATGGAGAAACCCATTTATTGGGTAAGCTTCTTCCAGCTATCCCGGTTCTTCAAGCCCTCCCACCATTTCTTGAACGCGGGATACTTGTCGACAAGCTCTGAAAATCCGAACTTCTCAACAAACGTTCCGTAAGGAAGATGGTACAGATCTGCCAGAGTCACATTGTCACCACCGAGGTAGCTCTGTTTAGACAAGACCCGCTCATATCCCTGTAGAGTCAAATCGAGCTGGTTCAACAGAGTCTTAACTCTGGCTTCATCAGTAGGACCGTGGCCCTTTCTAGGCTTGAAGACCTTCTCATAAGCAATTTGAGAAACAATGGGGTCAAAGTAGGACTGTTCAATGGAGAGCGCCTTGATTCGTGGTGCGTTAGCGTTGTGAACACCAAATAAAACCAAATAGATACAATCACTACATACCTGCTGATAGAGGGCATATGCCTTCAAGTCAGTCTCGGAAGGAAACAGCACGGCTCCCTTGCCTTGGTACTTGGCAGCGATGTACTGTGCAATGGCCCTGCTTTCTGAAACACAATTAGCATGTGCAGCCTTTTTGTACAATTTCTTTCGCATTGCAGATTCTGTGTGGTATCAAGTCAAGCTTACCAAAGATTTGAACCCCAGTCTCGGTATCTCGGAGAACGGGCACCTTTCCGAATGGGTGGAAGTCATTGAGGTACGATTCACTCTTCTGCTCGTTCTGGGCTAGGTTGATAGGAATGAACTCAATTTCAACGCCCTTCTCCTCAAGCACCGTGCGCACACGGTTGGTGCAGGTGGAGTTAACGAATCCGTAAAGCTGGAGAGGCATTGTGTTGGTTACTTTGGCAAGAACAACGCTAATGTTAGTCACAACAAGCAACAGCGGGATATCCCACGCAGGATGGAGCAGAATACTTACAAAATGCAAGACGTCAGCGAGTGAGAGTCCTAGTATTGTTTGTCAAAGCCGGGGTGGTAGCTATGAGTTGATCCCTTTAATAGACGTGCCCCTTGCCTTGGATTTGATTTGTCGAGAGTGCGGGGACTTTCCGGAATGTTCATAATCAACTTACCAATCTACAGTGGACACTCACTAGGAACTTCATAGATAATTATTTCTAATGGAAGTTGAAACACTCTAGCGCACCTTCCACGCCAGAATTAATTGATAGTAGGAAAGGATTGGTCAGTCGACTGTACTTGAGTACGCGGCCAGCTTAGGGTGACCGATGACAATAATTAACGAGTGGAGGGCAACTGCCGAACTGTCGGCTTGTGGGCAATGGCGTTAAAATCACGCTCATAAGGTTCTGACATGTTCTTCAGCATAGGATTACAGAACCTCGTGGATCTCACTAGTCCAGGGCGGAATGGAGCCGCGCTCGGCAAATAAACATGTCGGTCTGCCGGGTTGCCGAGCCAGCGACCCAAAGAGTCAATGACTGCCGGTGCCGCTAAAATGTTGAACAATTCCCTGACTAAGAAGACAATAGTGTACCTGTAAGAAATCCATTTGTAAAACTTTGGCACCAACTTCAATCCGGAGTGCTAACAATATACAAATCTATCCCTATGAACAAAGAGTGGATCCACTGAGCTCAGAAGTAGGATATAGAATCCGCGGCTCTCCACCACTCATAGGAACAGCAACAACACCACTGTCATCAACGGTGATACTAGAGCAAGTGAAGATTTCAGTGACAGCTAAACCAGCCACAAAGCCTGTGCCCGACAGCGAGAGAGTGTATTTACTTCCACCCTCACCAAGATTGGAGAGAACAGTGATAGTCTGCGTTCCGTTATAGCCTTTTCGCATTGCCAAGGTAGTATCATCTTTGTAGATGGGGTAATTCTAAGGAATCTTTTAGTGACTGATTGAAAACCACAACACTCGAATCCACCTCACGAGAGGAAGGTTACTCACCTTGTAAGTGATGTAATTCTCAGCTTGGTAAATCGCCTTATTCCGGACAGCATTAGTTTGTGCGATGAGTCTGTATAACTCGCTACTGGTATTGTATCCCGATAACCAAGTAGCTTCACGGTTGTAAGGATCGCTGCCGCCGTTATAATGCTGTTCTTGTCCGGCATAGATGATTGGGATACCATCTGACATGATTGTGAAAGCGGCCACGTTCTTGGCTAGCGACATATCTTCGGTGTATGAAGCGAAACGGGGATTATCGTGATTTTCAATAAAGGTTCCTAGGAGGGTAGAGTCCGAACAGTCGGATTTAACCGTGTTGATCATGTCGTAGAGATCACTGATGCTTCCACTGGTGGATTCGAAAGCTCGGAGGAGGGGATAGTACCTGCTCGTTATTAGTAATTTTCTTGCGCGAATGGTGCTTGACATACATCGGGTAGTCGAGAACGCCATCCAAGACCTTTTGGTATGGACAAACCAATGCTGGGTCACCATTGTCTACCTCGCCGACACAATAGACTCCAGCGGCAGACTCGAAACCAGCCCAGAAGTCCTTCTGAACTTCCATAGCAGAATCGATGCGCAGACCGTCGACTTTGATACATGTTAGTAGCCATTTTCATTGTGCAACAGTGGATCTTACTGGAATAATTAGAAACCAGATCCGTAATCCAGTCGTTCCAGATAGTCTGCACAGTGGTGGACTCAGTGTTGAGATCAGGCAAAGAAACAATTGTATCCCCTTCCCAGCATTTTTCCACCATGGTCAGATTGCTGTAGTCAGTGATCTCACAGTAAGAGTGGAAATAATCCTTGGAGTTGAATGGAGTGAAGACGCTGTAGTCCACTGTATCTCCAGCTCCAGCATAGCCCTGTTCGTATCCACAATCAGTACATTCTACACCCTTCTTCCAATCTCGCTGGGGAACTAACCATATGGTTGGTCACGACGTCGACCATGAGGTACATGTCGCGATCATGAAGAGCCGAAGCCAGAGATTTTAGATCATCTGCCGTGCCATAATTTGAGTTGACAGAGTAGCTTTGAGCAGTCAGTGACACCATACCGCAACTTGGAGATTGACTCGGTCAACTTACATATCCTGTTGCCAGTAGCCATGGTACGCCTCTCCATCAGCCGTATGCTGAGAAAGCTGCTTAGTGACAGGCGTGATCCAAATGGCAGTAAAACCCATGCCTTGGATATAATCCAGCTTCAAATACCATTAGTTCGAGAGATCACTATGTCGATAGAAGTAGCGATTACCTGGTTGATGATTCCCTGCCATGAACCACCACAATAAACCTAGAAACATGTAAGCTTTCTATCCAATTGACATCTTTTAGAATAAACATACCCCATTATTCGTATCGCAGGTAGCAGTCGTAGAGCCATCAGTCCGTGCAAATCGATCAGTGAGCATGAAATAGATAGACCGAGTGCGCCATTGTGCAGGAGTCGCTGCGATGGCGGAGCTAACTAAGCTTGCAAGCCCGAAGAAGCGCCAGAGAGACATACTCAATCTACTGCCATGTATGAAGGAAATAATTCAGATGATAGTGATAAAGCGATATTTTTATATCGAGGTTGTTTCGTTATGTCAATTTGAAACAAGCTAGATGGAGCCAATTCAGATCCATCGGGAATAAGAACCAGTGGATCGACCAATAAACAGAAAAACTGCGACCGAGAGATCAGATTCAATAATAAAACAAAGTTGGATTCAACTACAAAGCATTCGTTTGCTGGACGTAGAACCGCGTTCAACATATAGCAAGGACTGATTGGGCTGGGAATGTGATGCGGAAGGGAATGGCTGACAAGATAGGGGTAACCTTTCAAACACGACCATAGCTAGTCACACAACGTGCAATAGATCCAAGTGACATGTGCTCATCCATACTGAGTAAGGATATCCCAAGACCAGATAAAGTGATACAATTCGCTCAAATCCGCCTTTAATGATGCAGGGATTCAGGGATCGTAGCGGGTCCCAAGCGGGGTCGCCGATGGCCGCCAGGAACGGGTGACGAGATCGTCAGTCAGATAGCGAGTGGAGAACCAGTTCTAGAGGCGCCGCTAGCACTTAAATTTCAGGGTCGTGCATGGGGTTGCAATGGGGGCAGAATCTTGATCGTTTGATTGGGGCGGTTATCCCGATGTCGATCGTTCAATGTTTCGACGTGTATCAGTAAGCTCGGGCTTGACCTACCTTTGTTGCTGGCATATTTTCTCGTATTCTACTTGGAACGAACAATTACCAAAAGAAACTTAATTGAATGGATTTCTCCCTACATTTTTTGCTGTCGGAATCCTGGCCTTGAAGTATTTTCTCACGTAAGCCCATAAATTAAGGTCCACCAGAACCACATTTCTGTATCTATAATCCTGATATCGCAAGGTAGTAGACGAGAACATATTTCATCATATCATTAGCTCGCGAACTACCATTTCAAGACCCAGTTCTGTTCCCAAGCTCCACCCTTCAACCAGTGTTGCAGACCAGTAATGGAAAGAATATGCAGGTCGGCGTTGTAGGTGGCAACCGTTGGCGGAAGCGGCTTGCCATTTAGTGTCAAAGATTTCAGACCTTTACTCACGTCCGCATGAGGAAGCTTCAAGCCCAAGATAGTGATGTTGGCAAGTTTGTTTGTATCTTGGAAGTTTCCCTCCGAGACAGCAGAGATGCTAGATTGGGTAGCTGTGAACCGCACAGTACGTGTAGCATCTGGCTCTACACTTTCTCCGTCGTCAAGGTAAAGCTGTCCTGTGGCAGATTGGCTTCCATCGAGAGAAGCCATGAGAGACCATGGGGAGTTGCGAGCATCGCGAGTAGTCAATGCGGGCTCCTGCATAGGGATGACATGGCCGCCGCGAAGGTATACGGGGATGTGACCCAATGGAGCGGAGATGGTAGTGTTGACTCCTGGCTGAGCGTTGACGGCAGTCTGGTTGTACCAATCATACCAGATCTCGCCCTCCTTCACGCCAGGGAAGACTCCGCGGACGTAGTCGACCTGGGGCTCAAGAACCGGAATCACCATAATGGAGGGACCGAGCAGGAACTGGGTATTGACGTTTGCCAGCGACGGGTCGTTGGGAAACTCCCAGGCCAGGGCCCGCATGACAGTCGAACCGGTGGTATGAGCGAGATGGAACAAGGTGTAGAAGTAGGGGAGAATGGCATAGCGAATCTTCATAGCCGACTTGGAAGCATCAATGACGGAGGCCCATTGGTACGGCTCCTGACCAATCGTCGAGAGCTCATTGTGATTCCGGTAGAAGGGGAAGAATGCCGAAAGCTGCATCCATCGGTTGCAAAGCTCCTCATCACTGTTTCCGTTGAAGCCGCAGGTGTCAACGCCAAACATGGGAATACCAAAGAGAGAGAATGACAGCGCCTGTGGAATGGAGAAGAACATGTATGCCCACTTGGAGAAGTTATCACCACCCCAGTGACCTGCCCATTTGCCAGCTCCTGCGAAAGTCGAGCGCCCGATAATGAACGGGCGCTTCACTGAGTCAACCTCGCGTAGACCATGGTAAGTCGCATTTAGAATTTGGTATCCCCAAAGATTATGCACGTCATATTCCTGTACGCCATTATTGTGTGTAGCATTGGGAGATACAGCGTGAACAGCCAGGTCGTGACCAGCCTGATCATGGTTAATGACGTAAGGAGGATAGTTGATGTCACGCTTGCCCGGGGTAGGGGAAGTACGGAGGTAAGACATCGTCGTAGTTGACTCAGTCCCAGCGGTGCTTGTAGCCGCAGCTTGACTCGAGGACCCTGCTGATGCAGATGCGGCCTCGGTCGCATTTGTGATATTGAACCACTCAGGATAATCGAAGACAATATTACCTTCTTCTCCGGGAAGCAAAAATGAAGGGTGAACCGGGTTCAAGCTGAGGTTGTGGCTTCCGCAGCTTCCAACGCAGAAAGATGAGACCTCGCTCATATCGATCCAAATCCCGTCGAAGCGAATTTTCTTGTACCAGGTCACGAGCTCATTTGCCCAGTAGGCACGGGCCTTAGGATCTTGCCAATCGGGGTACACTGTGTATCCAGGCCAGACAGCACCGATGTAGGTGCTTCCATCGGGGTTCTTCAGGAAAACGCTATCTTTGGCTCCGCGGGTATATGGTTCGTAGCTGTAAATGTTAGCGTCTGTCTTTGGGGTGATGGAGATGAACATACGCGTCGGACGCATTATGAGGATTCGGGATGTAAAGAGCCGAATCGACGATGGGGACATAGTGGCGACCACCATCGTGAAGTTTCTGCAAGAACTTCTCGCCCTCAGGATATCCAAAGCTGTTTGGGTCGTTTTCGAAATCACGGTAGGCCTTCATGTAATCAATATCATTCCTGGGATAAAGAATTAGATTGTCATTCGGAAAAAATCATGCAAGTTTGGGCTGCCTTACCAGAGAGTCTCGAGAGGAATTTCGAATTTCTCAAAGGTTGACAAGACCGAATCCATCACAGACCAATTCTGATATCCCCAGCGGCACTGGTGGTAGCCAAATGAAAAGTACTGCTGCATCGCAGGAAGACCAACAGTGCTGACCTGGTAGTCTCTTGTGACATCGGCTTGGGTTGGTCCAGAGTAGAAGGTCAAGTCAATGCTTCCACCAAGAGCACGCCAAATGAGGCTTCGAGGGCGGGTAAGGACCTCCTGACCATGGGCATTTCTCATGAAGACACCGTGCGAATAGGAAACATAATCTTTGGACTGATCAGCGTGGTCACTTGACACCAGCTTGTGATGACCCTTTCCATCGACCTCGTAGTAGCGAGTGTCGAGGTAAAATGGATGAGATCCATAGATGTTGCTATGAGCGCATTACATTAGCTTTTGTCGTGCAAACCAAGGATCCGGGAAACTTACCCATCAATTGGGTCCGCAGTATCCGATGCGTAAAGCGTGAGTGTCTTGTTCTGCAGAAGACGCAATTGCTGAATATGCTCGCCGATTCCGTAAAGATTGTAGTCATCGGGCAAGGCAGTGACGAACTCAATGAACTGGTCCTCAAACACCAAAACAGTGCCCGTGGTATCGAAGATAACATCCTTGTTCGACTTGCGAATCAACTTGAAACCGAAAGACGGTTCATTGGTCCAAGAGATCTCAATGTCACTCTGTGATTTGGATGCGTGCTTGTCGGCCTTTGGTCGAGGTACAAGGTCCTCGGGAAGCAGAAACCATGACGAGTTCGAAGAATCCATGTACGTCGGCGTGATCTCAACGCTGAGTCGATCTGTCGCAAGGTACTTGATCGAAAGATCCAGTGAGTCCACGTCATTTCCATATGCATTGCATGGGTCGCCAGCCAACTTCAAGGTAGCCGTGAGCCCGCTGGAATCATGATGGATGTCGGTTGCTTTGTAGCCAGGGCAGGCCGTCTGCGCGTCGATAGCTTGGGGGTCATCGATGTTGGCAATCAAATTAGCCCCCTCATCAGCTGCAGCAGGGACGGTAAACTGAGAGTATGCTGTGTTGACAGTGGTACTCGGTGCATGTGTCAAGCTGGCCCCATGAACGCCCTGCAATAGCCATGCACTGGCTAAGAGGCTGGTAGATCTCACCATGGCGCCTGTATTTTCCGTGCCAGTTTTGTAGGACGAAATCAGCTTTTGGTCGCACCACTTGGAATTCTTGCACACAGGGCTGGCTCTTTATAGCTTTCTATGGACCCCGGCAATTAGCTGCTGGGGTATCCTAGCGCGATAAATTCTCCGCGCTCGAAAATGACCGGTGTCTATCCGAAGACACTGGTTCCCGTGGTAAAACTCCGTTGAATTCCCGGGGGCTGGCGGGATCGACCCTGGAGTAACATTCTTGGAAACTCCCGCGGGGGCTAGAATACATGGAGACCCAAGCCATGCAGAAATGATCGTCATCCATTTTGCACTTTGCTCTTCGGAAAGAGCTTTCCAAAGCTGTGGAGCTTCAATTGTTTCCATGGACGCAATTGAGATTCTGAGCTCTTGAGCTTCTGATTGGCCAATTCCCCGATAAACGCCCGTACCTACTTTCCAGACCCCTGAAGTGCATGTTTGCAACACGGACGCTGACAGGTTCATCGAGCGACCCTGGCAATCGCGAGTCAATCAGATCGAAAGCCGATATAGTAGGTCGAGGAGGCTTAAATTTAACCTAGAAAGGCGAAGAGTAATCATGCCTTTAATTTAGACACGGCCTAGGCGGTAACTTGACGAAGTCATAATATTTGGCTAGTGACGTGGAAACAAAAGAAAACTGTGACCAATGCCATCATAGTGAGGCAATTGGGGGAATACCGAAAACAAAGCCGAGCTCTGGAGAACGGGAAGGTCATCGCGAAATCCTCGGTATTTTTCAGGAGCAGTGGATTTGATGGTCCCACTGTGCTTGATGCGGGGTACCACTTTGCATCTGGTTTGACTGGTAGCACCGCTCTGCCGGGCGAGTACCTACATAGCAATCAATTTGACGCATCGGAAGTTGGAGTGCCAGCTTTCCTCATAGATTTTGGTGCAGTGATCTAGGATATAGATTGGGGATTTGATATCATTCCTTGCAGGCCAATGATCGGCGGTTATCAACTCTCGGATGAGTCGTTCAATGCCCCACCCGAGCCTTTGTATTCTTTGTGCTGCTTCGGAATTCGGAATCCACTGCTAGCTTGTAAGTAGCAACCCGATAGATCGAGTAGCAATTTAACAGGTCGCCGTTGTGGTACAGTGCCTCGTGATGCCGCCCGCCTCTATGTATGGGTTCCCAAAGGATCATAAAACGAGATGTATTCCGTTTCTTGCTCACCAGTCCCAGAACACATAAACTTTCAAGACTTAAAGAACATCTTATGCCGGTTGCATATAGATGACAGCATAATTCCCTCGTACATATACGTATCTCAATATACAATTGAAGAAATCCGGATTGTGTTAAATTTTACGCTAATGATTTTTAAATTCACAAGTATCTGCCCCCTCCTCCCTCATCTCCCTCAGCCTCTTAATTCATCCCACGGTGTACTCATCCACGTCCTGAGCGAGAAGCCTTACATTCCTGTCATTTAATGTCATGTCCATATATGTCTTGAGGTAGTTACTCAGTCTCTTGGGGCCTCTATCTAAATAGCCACTCATCTTTGCCTCTCTGCATTGCTTTAAGCGAGAGAACGGTATTGGCTAGCTTTCCTAAGAGAGCTTCAAACTTATATACACAGATCAGTCTAGATTGTTGAGATCCGAATCAAATACTATATTTTGGCATCCTTCACGCCCTGACGCCTCCAATATATCAGTCATACTTCATTGTGGCGGATAGTTACAGCTTATGATATGAAGACCCTTTTGGGAACTCTCTTTTGCCTCTTCCCCACGAATGATGGAAAGCAACAGAATTCGGATTTTTTTCCATTTTCCTTATTCCCCCTTTCCCTTGAAAAAAATAATTGCATGATGAAAATCTCATTACGGATCATTCGGTAAACATGGCAGCGTCGGGTAGTGGAAACCGTATGATCGCGGCCATTTATTGGTACTACAGTAAACTCACGTCCCGTGTTGATTGCGATAAGAGCAGATAAGATAAAGCCACGTGATAATGCCGCGTGCGGAGGCGAATCAGAGCGGAGGCGGAGTCCAGCCACGAAGAGTCACGGGTGGCGTCACGAGAACAAGTTTTAGAAACTGCTGGAATGGCGAAGTGGCAACCAGGAAATACGAAAGCCTACGTTTCTACAAAGTGGAACCAAATGTATGATAGAAACTGGCTAATATGGCCAGTGCGAATTGATTGGGTAATAGAGTATTGGGACGCCAGCTAAGGCGAAGTAAAAAGAGAGCCCGTTTAATCCGTGTTGAATAAAGTGAAAAAAAAAAAAGGAAAAGAAGCCTCAGCTTCAAAGCCCGACCGAACGCCATGCAGGCCACGTAGGACCTATCTTAGTCGAAATCATAAAATAGCAAATGATGGCTTACTGGCCACCACGAAGACGGAGCACCAGGTGGAGAGTGGACTCCTTCTGAATGTTGTAGTCAGAAAGAGTGCGACCATCCTCCAGCTGCTTACCAGCGAAAATGAGACGCTGCTGGTCTGGGGGAATGCCCTCCTTGTCTTGGATCTTACTCTTCACGTTGTCGATAGTATCCGAAGACTCCACCTCCAGGGTAATGGTCTTGCCAGTGAGAGTCTTGACGAAAATCTGCATACCACCACGGAGACGTAGAACCAAGTGCAAGGTAGATTCCTTCTGGATGTTGTAATCGGAAAGTGTGCGGCCATCCTCAAGTTGCTTGCCGGCGAAAATCAGACGCTGCTGGTCTGGGGGAATGCCCTCCTTATCTTGAATCTTGGACTTGACGTTATCGATAGTGTCGGAGGACTCTACCTCCAGGGTGATAGTCTTTCCAGTGAGGGTCTTGACGAAAATCTGCATACCACCACGGAGACGGAGTACCAAGTGGAGAGTAGATTCCTTTTGAATATTGTAGTCGGAGAGGGTACGACCATCCTCGAGTTGCTTGCCAGCGAAAATCAGGCGCTGCTGGTCAGGAGGGATGCCCTCCTTGTCCTGAATCTTGGACTTGACATTATCGATGGTGTCGCTGGACTCGACCTCAAGGGTGATGGTCTTGCCAGTCAGGGTCTTGACGAAGATCTGCATACCACCACGGAGACGCAGGACCAAGTGAAGGGTGGACTCCTTCTGGATGTTGTAGTCCGAAAGGGTGCGGCCGTCCTCAAGCTGCTTACCAGCAAAGATAAGACGCTGCTGGTCGGGAGGGATGCCTTCCTTGTCCTGGATCTTGGACTTAACGTTGTCGATGGTGTCGGAGGATTCGACCTCAAGAGTGATGGTCTTTCCGGTCACTGGGTCAGATGGTTAGTAACGTGTAAAGGCAATGATGATAATGCGTGGCGACATCTAGGCACCAAGATAGGATGGGAGAGGGAGAGATGAGGGGATGAACTCACGAGTCTTAACAAAGATCTGCATGATGGCGACGGTTATTGAGGTTAATGCAGTGATGGGTTGAGGCGTGCACGATGAGAAAAGGGGGGTGTGGTGTGTTGGAGAGGAGAGAAGGCAGGGAAGGCGAAGAGAGGGGGTTAAGTACTTCGAAGCGGAGAGGGGCGAGTTGTCTGACTAAGAAAGCCAGTGACGCGATAGCAAATGGGGAAAGCACTAGAAAGCCTGGATGCCGGGTGCCGGATGAGTCAAGAAAGTTAGGAACAGGTCATTGACGCCACCAGTGGTAAAACGGGAAAATCTTGTTCCCGAGGTTTCCCATAAAGTAGAATTTTCACCACGCTAGATTAAATTCTTCTATAGAGTTTCAAGCCGAAGAAGTTCTACTCCGTGCCGTGTCCCAGATGGTCAAGCAAGCGATGACGTGTGAGGCCTTATCGCGAAAAGAGGGGGTGGAACCTGAAATGGAGTCTAGCGGCTATCGAGGTACCCAGATACGGGTTCACTATGGAGACTGCGCCCCCCTTAATTATTCTATACTTAGCCAGTCAGGTGATGCATTCGGGCAAAGGATCGACGCCCCAACAAAAACGTTATTCTATACTATACATGACTATTGATTCAGAAAAAAGTCAATCGGAAGAAATTTTCAACGTTTTCCTGAAAAAGAAAATTGGTATCGCTAACGAAGGATATATAGACAAGATCCCGCGATTTGCTCAAAGGCGGAGAAATCCACCCTTGTCGCCGTTTTCCTCGGCGACTCCGGATCCAAAAAACACATCAACAATCCCGACACAAGAATGCGAAAACTTGGACTGCACGCAGTCCATGCTTTCCTTGGTTTCGTCCAGAGAGTCAACCAAGCTTGATGCCATGGTGGATAGAGTAAAATAAAAGGCAATAAATAAAACGAGAATAACACACTCGGCCGTACACAGTTCATAAAGTTCGTGATCCTCGTTCATCGCTGAGAGCTATGCGAGAAAGGTTATACCACAAAAAAAGAAAAAAAAAAAACAAGAGTAAAAACACAGAACGAGGCTAGAAAGAGAATCTTCGACAGGAAAAGGAAATAAAGAAAGGCGGTTCCCAGGAACCGGAAAAAGAAAAAGCAAAACACACGTCCTTCTCACTAGGAGTCAGGTACAGAGAGGTATGATAAAAGAGTGGGGGATACGCTCACGCATCGTTACGACGTATATCGCATAATGATCATCCAGGTCATCTTGGCGCAATAAAGAAACAAATCGCTGGAGTGTAACTTGCTGTTGAAAACAGGTCGTGTAAAGACATCATCATCATGCGCATGCGCATCAGGTCATTTAGTTCGCACGAATAACAAGACGGTAAACAAATTTGTTGGACAGGCAGTCAAAGTCGTTACGGTTGAATGTCGAGCCGGACCGACCACGCAGGTAGTTCTCTGAGGATTGTATTAGCTTGGAAATAACAGGGGTGATATTGGAATGGAGCTTACCGTGCTGTTCGACATGTTGGCGGACCTCAGTCATAGTGTTGCACACATCCGGATTGGAGTACAGAAGTTGGTGGTGCTTTTGCGAGTCCCACTCGGTCAAAGGAGGCAACTTCTGCGAAATGGCTTGGAACAGTCCGACGATGACACCGACGGGAGTGGTCTCCATGTCGGTGCAGAACTTATCGACGGCAGCCTGATCCGGTGTGCGGTAGTGTTGGTCGAACTGCATCTCCTCCCAGACAGCCAAGAGAATGCAAGCCAGGATGAAAATCGTGGGCCAGTTCTTCAACTTCTCACCACTGTACACGCTTGAGTAGAGCGCTGAGAGCTCCTCGAGCACATCCTTCTGAAGTTCACGCCACATGCTAGCCATGGCACACTTAATCTGGAAGTTGATCATGACGGGAGCCATGGTCTTGCCTCGGAACTTGGAGGAGGCCTCGGAAATACGACCCAGGAAGCCATCATCGTCACCGAGACCCTCCACCATGGTAACGTGGAGAGTCAAGTTGTAAGCAATGATCAGCTTCAATGCTTTCCGAATGACAGGCAGCTTGGTGCGGTAGTAATAGCGGAAGGCGGTCTTGAGCATCTGAGTCAAGAATGGAGTGCCCTCAAAGTAGTCGTCGACGAACTTCTCAAAGGTGCCATTGCCGTCGATATGGCGGTCCAGGTAGTCAGACAATGTAGCGTGCGAGATACCCTCCATGCCAGCAGAGAGTTTAGCGGTCTCGACTTCATATTGTGTAGGCTCGCGGTGCATTGACTCAACCCAATCAATGGTGAAGCACTGCTCGTCGCGGACATAGACCTCGCGAGCCTTGATCGGTAGGATCTGACCATAGCCGTGTGTGATGAACAGGGTACGCTCCTGGTCCGAGAAACCCTTGATGTTGCCAACAGAGAATCCCATAGAAATGTGACGCTCATAATCTGCCTTCCAGTCCTTCATGAAATAGCCAATCTCCTTGATGTCGATGCGAGTGCACGGCACCTGCCATAATCGCGCATGTGATGGCTGGCAGCCGGCACAGGGCTCACCCTTATCGCAGGTCTTTTTCAGGAACTTGCAGCGCAAGCAAGCACGCAATTTACGTATTTCGCTTGCCTGTTTACGCTGGTCCGGCTTGAGAGGACCCTTCCGCTTGCCAACACGCTTCTCGGTCTCGGGCTTGCCGGTTTGAGATTGCTTGCGAACCTTGGTCTCGGAGGTCTTGGCTGCGATGGGACTCTTTCTTGAAGGTTTCCGACTTGGGGGAGAGGCTGATGAATGAGAACCAGAAGAGCGAGTGGGTGAAGTAGACTTCTTAATGGGCACAGGAATCGGGCGGACCATAGCACTAGGGCTGACAGCAGAAGGCGATCGGGAGCCTGGTGAAGAGTGCTCATGACGCACAAGAGCGTTACTTGGCGGGGAAGTTCCAGCGAAGCTCAGAGCAGCATTGTGGCTGTACGGTAGATCCATGCCTTCAGATCCGGGAGAACTAATCGGGTGGGCGATTTCAACGAAGCTGCCGTAGGAGGTTGAATATGAAGACTCGGAAAGACTGCGGTCGTGAAGCGTCTGGGTGGGGTTGACGAAGACACCTTGCTCGGGGAAGCCGAAATCCAGTGAGCGACGGTGATCCACTGTGCTCCATCCATTGTCGCTACTCGAGAGGGAACGGACCTCGAGGTAGGTATCGGTGGGGGAGCTACTCTCCAACACTGGGTGCGGGGCATATGAAACTTCCGGAATTCCGTTGGGGAAGCCCATCAAGTCGTGCTGGAAGTCGTGATAGGTGAATGGCACCATGTCGACGGGGGCCGATAGCGGCAGATAAGGTCCATCGAGTAGACCAGCACTCATCTGGCCCTGAGGGCCGGACATCAGATCCACCGGGGACGACTGAATGGCCATGCCATAGCTCGCGGCGGTAAATTGGGGGGCGGATGATGGGTCCTCGGGCGAATAAGACAAATGTTGATGGTGAGGGGTCTGTTGCAAATGTTGGTGGTAGTGCCAGTCGACCATTAGATTAGGATCTTGGGCCACCGACTGTTCCAGAGGGTGACCGCTGGTTTGGAGAGGCGATAAATCATGGGTTTCGTCTGACCGTGGGGGATGTTGGTCGACCGCTACAGGCCATGTTTGCTGTAGATAACCTCTAGAATCGTAATCGACGCCGATGAGGCCGTCACTTGATAGATCGACATTCGACATGGTGCTGATGTCGAAGGTTCAAGTTGTGTAAAAGAGAAAAGAAGGGAGGAAAAGGACCAGCCTGGATGAAAAGGGCCTTCTTCAGAGTGAGAGTGACACAGCCATTTTGGGGGGGGAAAGTCGAAGAAGCAGAGGCGGTGGGGGGGACAAAGCAGCGGTGAGCAAGAGATGCGCTAGGGGAGTTATCGTGTGGAGAGTGGAGAATGGCTGGTTTCCTACTGCCACGCTCTGCATCCGATTTATGTTTTGTTGAAACTAGTTGACTTTTTTTTTCTTGCTGGTTGCAAATCCCATGATCATGGACTGTGCGCTGAATCACTAGATTATGGAGTCTTCACTGACTGGTCGACAAGGATTGACCTTAAAGCTGGGGGACAAGAGAAACACGAGAATGAGATTCTTATATAGGGTGATGACTCGTATTTTTATTTTTTCTTATTCTATGCTCCATGGTCATTCACCTCGTGTATCGACATTTTGTTTACCACCTTCTATACTATCTGAGGACCCGTGGTGCCACGGAACTGAGCGGACTTCGTGGGCGAGACACACGGGAAGATAGTCGGAACGGGAGATCAGTGGAGCCAGGCAAAAAAAAAAGCCATGGAGCCAAAAGATGGAAAAGAGGGAAACTAATGGCCAAGTCCGTGGCAATAAGGATTAGGACCGTGCTCCCGGACGATCTGACATCGGATCGTGATGCTACAATAGTCAAGTCCGTCCTGGTTGGGTCCAATCACCAGCTCTAGTGCAGCAAATGGCGTCTGTGATTCGTATCTTCCAAGTTCCTCTCTGGGTGCCACCATTCCTCATGGGTGCTAGGGCATCACTGTGGGGGCTGACCATGCAGTAGGCAAGAGCAGGGATTTCCGTTGGACCATGTCGATCTGACAGAAAAAAGTAAAAAAAAAAAAAAAAGAAAAAGAAAAAGTAGGCTCAAAAAGGGATTTCGAGCATGGAATCCCCATGAACCCTGAATAAACCCCTTCGGAACGAGACCGACGCCCTCGACAGGTCCATTTGATCAACTTGAGCCCAACCCGCACGGAGGCTGTCCAAGGTAGGAGAGGACCGTGAGGCACATGCAGCCAGCAAGGGACAAGAAAGAAAGAGAACCGCCACTGCGGATGTTGGAGGATTATATGCACCCTTCACCAGCCACCGTCGCGTGCAGTCAGTTTGTGCATATTTGGATATATCACATCATGGCACAACATGGCTATTGGTGGAGGTGTACGGGGGCCTCTGACATGCAGATGCGGAGGATTCAATAGCCTCTGCACGCTGGCATGACGCACCTCGGGCCACGAGAACGTCTAAACGCTCAATTTTGTGGGTATTGCCTTTGTGTTTCATAACAGGGGTTAGCTTCATCTTTGGCTCAGGAAGACTTGGGGAGGACATGTAGATAGAGCATATTGTGGGTTGAACCCCGCGCGATCAAAGGGAAAAAGGAAAAATTAAAGTGGGGAGAACAATAGCAACGTCAATCCTCTCCTCACCAACAATAATAACGATAATACGAGAACTCGGCCCAGCAACAAGATTTACTACACAATCATTTTTCTTTGTTCGTCTTGACAAGTTTGAAGCTTTTAAGTCCATGCCACCCATCGTCGCAGGGAAGCATCGACGCAAAGTTCGCTTCCCATCCAGCAATTCCACCAACCAACCCCCACCAACTCAATCCTCCACATCTACCAACCAGAAGCGCCCAGGATTAGTGCGTCAGACCAAATCACCGACATCAGCCGAAAAAATGGCGAGCCAAGCAGCACGGCCGGGGGTCCCAGACTTGTTCACGCAGCCGCCGCCCATCCGCGACCCGCTCGTGACAGAGACCACTGATCTGCAGGATGCGACGCTTGAGAAGTGCCTGCCTTTCCTAAAAGGCATCCAAAATAGTCAATCTGGCCCCTTCAATACATGCGGAGTGCCTGCACTCCAGCGTGATGATCATGTAGCCTTTGCCTTTGATTCCTTGGAAGATTATCCCCCCAGCTTTGTCATCTTGGACGCCAGCCGCCCATGGATGGCATACTGGGGTCTAACCTCATTGTTCTTGATGGGAGAGGATCCCACTCGATTCCGAGAACGGTGAGTTTTGACACCTCCAGAAGGCCCCTTTCTTCAGGGATCCTGTTTTGCTTTTTTTGGTATTTCCTTTTTCTTGTCAAGGATACTCCCGCTCAAATTACATATCACCAGCATGACATGAAAAAAGAAAAAATGAAACATTCATCGCTAAGACTCGTGCAGGTTGATTAACACTCTGCGACCCGCACAGAACCCTACCGGGGGTTTTGGTGGCGGTCGTGGTCAAATATCCCACCTAGCTGGTAGCTATGCCGCCGTTCTATCGCTTGCAACCGTTGGGGGCGAGGATGCGTTTGCATTGATTGATCGGCAAGCAATGTGAGTTGTCATCTTGTTAGCAGGGAACCTTGTTTTTTTGTGCGTGCGTCTGACCGGTTCCCCAGGTGGCAATGGCTGGGCCGATTGAAGCAGGCCGATGGGGGCTTTCGCGTCTGCGAGGGCGGGGAAAAGGACGTGCGGTAAGTTGCCCTTGCTCCCGAAGCTAGATCTGGGCTCTAACCTCGTGCAGTGGTGGATACTGCGTCATGGCTATTATTACTTTGCTCGATTTGCCTATCGAGTTACCCGCGGACTGTGAAGCCCGGCAGGCTGGTTTAGAGAACTTGACCGATGGCCTTGCCCAATATATGTCGCGCTGTAAGAAAAATCGTCCTCTCTGTCCTCTCTGTCCTCTCCTTATACTAATTCCTTGTTTGGCATACAGGTCAAACATATGAGGGCGGCATCTCGGGCAGCCCAGGCGTAGAAGCGCATGGGGCATATGCCTACTGCGCGTTGGCCTGCTTGGCCCTCCTGGGGCCCCCAGAAGAGACTATTCCCAGGTACGATCATAAGCATTGCCCGAGTCGATATTGTTTACGTCACTAATTGGTTTAGACATATGGATGTGCCTATGCTAGTGTCATGGCTATCTGCACGCCAATATGCCCCCGAGGGTGGGTTTTCGGGCAGAACTAACAAGTTAGTCGATGGATGCTACAGCCACTGGGTTGGCGGATGCTGGCCACTGCTCCAGTCTGCTTTAGATGGCAAACCACAAAGCAATGGACCTCCGGCCACGACTGTGGGTCATCTGTTCAGCCGCGAAGGATTATCCCGCTATATCCTCGGATGTTGCCAATCGAACAACGGCGGCCTTCGCGATAAACCAGGAAAGTATGTATTGCCCATCAAAGTTCAAAAAACAATGGTTTCGCTGACTGTGACACCAAGGCACCCCGATTCTTACCACACCTGCTACGTACTTGCGGGCTTGAGCGCCATGCAGCACTACCATTATCGCACGGACTCGAGCCCTACATCAAGCAAGATGTTTTCATCTGCCTTCTCTTGGCGCTCGAGCCCGATCCGCGAAGGCAATGTGTATGAGAAGAGCGACCGACTCGAGCCACTCCACCCTCTTTATGGAATTCCGTACCCCAGTGCCGATGCGATGCGGCTCTGGTGTGAAGCCCGACCCATTACGCCTTAGTGGCCGGGAGGGGCGTGAACGTGATGCGGTGTCATCTGACGGGTTTCTCTAGAACGCCACCTGTGCAGCATTTCAGTGAGATCGGAGCAAGTATGATGGACAGATCAAAAGTGTGTTTCCCGAGAAACTTTGGAGAATGAGTCCGAAGACCGGATGATGCAAAGGCCACGGGTTTGGGATTTCTCCGATAGGGGAGCCTAGCGAGCTTTAGAGTACAGATTCTAGGTCTTTACGCAAGGGATTGGGGGAAGAAAAAGCCGAATGTCTGGAGTGCAACGTCGGATTCGGAGACTCATTTCTGTCAAAGATTAATTTCGATTGAATTCGATTTCAGATATCATATTTCAGATTTGCATATTTATTTTAAGTAGAGGAAGAAACCTTGACATTGGATACTGACGATCCCGATTGTTTGCTGGAACATAATCTGCACGAGGCCCAACAAGGCAAAGGTACAATACGTGAAAGACTGATAAATCAACGCCCTCCCCACCGTACAGCTTGCCAACTCATCACTGCGTCCGATGCCTGTCGAGTAACTTTGATGAAACTATTCTCAACCCAGGGGGGCGTGCATTGAGTCTGGAATCTTCTTGTCTTGTTTTCCTGTAGATTCGGATTTTTTTTTCTTTTTTTTTCTGGGTGGTTTTTTTCCCGGTCTGATCGTGTCTCTGTTGTCCCTTCCCAGGCGCGTTCTGCACAACATGACTCCTTGGCGCCAATCACACCGGCGGTGGATTACTGCAGCGCTTCTCCAAGACTCAGCGGCAAATTCCCTTCTTCAACTACTGCGTCTACTGCGGGGCATGGTGACGGACCAAAAACTCACAAACTCAAAATGGTTAACGAACAAGGGCATGGAGTTCCATGTCCCATGTTCTGCAGCGCTTTAGCAAGCTCCGAGTCCAGTTCCCATTTTCGCTACCCTCTTTCCCATGCCCATTGACTTGATCTGAAACCGCGAGAGTCCGGCCGACCCCCGTCCGTCTTTATCTGCGTGTTCAATTTTCAATCAATTCTTCAGTTTATTTTACTAATTTATCTCTCTGTTCGATCGGCGAATTGCAGGCGGGGGAACCTAAGCCCACAACGGACCCCGGAACCTCAATTCGGCTTGATTCGACTGGCAAGTAGCTATGCCAGCGCATCAGGCACTTCTAAAAAATAGTCCGAAAATACACAGTCAATTCCCATGGCAGATTGACCTAGAGTAACCCATTAGAGCGATTGTGGGCTTTTTGCCCCTTTGCCTAACCATTCCTGGTGTTTCGTGAATGAGATGTCACGGATCCCAAGACCTTGAATTGAGGAATTAGGAGCGAAAAGTGAAAGTTTGACTCTGTTTTCACTCGGTTTATTTCCCTGTACTGACATATCAAGAGAAAATATTTCCCCCTCCCCCTCTTCCTCGGCTTTTCCCAGCGACTACTGAGACGACGGTGTCTGATCCTTCTGCAGAGCAACGGGAGACGAAAACACCTGGGCAGCTTAGTACCTAGTACCCAGCAATGTAAGTAATCTCTTTTCTAAAATTACTGTACACGGTCTTAATTGCAACTGTCTCCCCTGGAACTTTCTGCTGGTACTGTATACGTCCAACGGTAAGCCCCACCTGTTTCCATAGAAAGTAAGTATATGGCAAAGCAGCTCGTCTACCATCATTGACTTTTCTAAAACCGAATTTCGTTTTTTTTCGGCCTGCTTCTCTGGTACGGTGAAAACCTGTATTTGTATAGATGTATATGTGGCGTGGCACCTTCCAATGTCTCGTTAATCTTTTTTATCTTCTCTCCATTCCCTTTTTCTCTCCCCAGGCATTCCCGCCCAAACCCAAGCCCTGGAACCGAGTCGTCTAGAGCAAGTCTACCCAAAATAAAATTAAAGATTAAAGGACATCCGCCGCAGCCGAAGCCGAAACCTCCACCTTGAGAACAGCAGTTGCCAACAAACCCGTTTATCGTTGCAAATACCAACGGCGTTGGGCATCATAATCCGCATATCTTGGAGCTGCACCAGCCAGCTGGCCCAGCCTCGCCTCGCCTCAGCCCTACCCGTTCCCGCTCTCACTTACAGCATCAACCAATCCCTTCAATGCTGTCAGGGTAGCTGTCTCACTTCTGTTGCAAAGTTAACAGGGCTTCACGCCGGTTCCCGCGCTACTTTCCTTTCTCGGAGATCAAGCTTCAGTTCAGACGCAATCGATTGACCGTGTGGTCGACTTCAAAAGAAAATGTACTATATTCTTTACCTGGCAAGTAAGTACTTCACCACCCTAGACAGGCTGGTCCTATCTCCCTTGCCTCTCCTGTTTCTCACCCTGCATTGCATCTGCATCGGTTCTGGCATTGCCTTGTCCCTTTATCAATGCAACATTTAATACATCCCACCGGGTCCAGCGGCCCGTGGTTTGCCCCGATCCTGCCAACATTACCCCCATTCAATGTTTGAACGTTGCATGTTTGCGGAAATATATATCCACGCCAATTTCGTTTCATGCCCATGACCCGCATATCCCCACAATGAACTTGAATACGAACATGATATCCAATGAAACACGAACACAGCTTGATTGCAGAAGGAACAAAAGAAAAACAAACTAACAGGAACTAGGCCTTTGCCGCCGCCGCCACTGGCAAGAACCTTCCTACGAAGCCTACACTACACAAAAAGGATTCACCTGCATAGTCCGGGTAAACAACCGCGAATACCAAACAGAAAGTGTTTGCGCCTCGGAAGCACTAGCCCAAGAAAGCGCAGCTATGCGCGCATATCTGATCTGCCGCAATTTCTCCGTCAATGATGGCATGATCCCTGCGGGTCATGCACGGGCGCATGGCGGGGCCGCGCAGGGTATTCCTGTTGCAATCGGAACGGGACGGAAGACAAGAGATGATGATGATACGGAGGGGAGTACCAGCAGTGGAGGGAGCTGGAGTGGGGGAAGTAGTCCTGAGCGAATGATGAGGTTGGACAGAGAATTGCATTTGGGGTTAGGTGGGGCGGGGACGGATTCGAGTTCGGGATCCGGGTCTGAGGCAGGGACGAGACCTGTTTCATTGGTTGGGATGATTGATTATGCGAGGGAGATGTGAGCTTGGTTGATGGGTTATGAGCAGAGATGAGAGATGGGATGACGGTACATGGTGGCTGATATTTCTCGCGAGAGATTGGTATGGATGGGGAACTTACGACTTACGACTACGACTTATGAGATGGCTTTCTGCATGCGCATTTTATGTTTGAAGCATGCTTCTTGTCTTTGATAGATGGAAAAGCTCAGGCTGCGGCTGTGACGCTATGCTTATGATTGTTCTGTGTTGTCTTTTGGCCTCGTGTCCAAGCTAATGATGCATAGATGTGGTTGACATGGAAGGCACTATGACTTCCAAAACTTAGGATTGACATATTTGCATTGTGGAGGTCAGCGGTTTTTTACCTGATCGTGTGGCTATTTTTTCTAGTTTATATCGCACTTCATCAGAGAATGTCCAAGCTTGCATCGGGGACAGTTTTTAGGTTAACTTTGAAGAGTATAATAATCGAATTGAGAACAATTCAGTCGAAATTATGTCTCATCCTTGCCAATATAAGACAAGGATCGCTGGGTCCGACCGCTTTGTAGTATATACATTTTAACCGAGTTTGTACATATTGATCTAGTCGCAACCTCGTTCAATGAGATCATTACCTAAACACCCAATTGTTCAAACACTTCCTCGGAAGTCCAGAATGCGCATCTCCGAGCCAAATCCTCCCACGAGTTAGAGGAATTCCGGATGGTCTTCATTCCGCTATCAGGTCCACCAATAACCTGCACATTGTACACCCCGGATGAAGATTTCGGCGCACTAGACCAACCAGAGATTGAGCCGCTGGCCTTGGATGGGTTTCCGTACGTCGCAAAAGAGGCCCAGCTGCCACTCATCTCGCTTGCAAGCTCGATATCAGATTCCGAGGACAAGTCCGCGTAAACGGTAGTTGCCTGATTGAAGACGTAGGGGATATCACTAAAATGGCACACTCCATAGAAGAGCTCACCATATACCTCCAGAAAAGGCGTGAAGACAGTCTGGTTCAAGTTGTAGAGGTAGGTCGCGGTGGAATCAGTGGACCACTTGCTGTTCATCTTCGCAGCGTAGAGAGCTGGGCATGTAAACTGCGAATCACGGACGATCTGGCTAGCTTGGAAGAACTCCGCTGAGATGCCCTCTGAGGTGTAGGGGGAGAATTGGGAAATGGGGTAAAGAGCCATCGCCTTCTTAAGATTCTTCTCGGAGAGATTCGGGTTCTGGGCTGCGATGAACTCGGCGACTTCCTCGACGGTTGTGGCAGAAGTGTCTGAGAACAGGGAACCATCATTCTCATTCCAGCCAATAATGATATCAATGTTTCGGGTGAAACGGCCAGAAGACAGAAGCTTGGAGGGACTATCGGGGATAAAAGATGAAGGGGACGTGGGAATGAAGACGTCCAATCCGCCGGATGATTGGATGCTGAACTCGTATTCAATCATAGCTGGCAGAATAGTGTCGAGAGGAAGCGCCCGGAGACAAGCAAGCTCCTTAGCACTTGTAGAGGCAGTGCAGTTGATGGCCTTGATGAATGCAGCGGTATGATCCATGGAGGTGTTGCTCGCGATGCCGGAGTCAGCAACGGCACAACCAGACTGCATGATAGCTCGCTTGAAAGGAGCTTTTTTCGCGCCACCATAAGCGGTAATCTGCAGACCAATTCCAGCAGCACCATCACTCTCTCCAAAGACGGTCACATTTTCAGGATCGCCGCCAAAAGCTGTAATGTGCTCCTGCACCCACTCGAGCGCAAGACGCTGGTCGAGCAGACCCGCGTTCAAGGAATTCTCGGCACTCAATGCTGGGGACGCGGCAAAACCAAGAAGTCCAAGTCTGTAGTTCATTGCGACGTAGATCACAGGTGTGCCTGCCTCAGCCGTGCCGAGAACGAATGCGGTCGGCTCATAGGCTGTATCATAGATCTGGCCGACCGTGTCTCCACCGCCATAGATCCAGACCATCACAGGCAGCTTATCGCTGCTCGTTACATTTGCCGGCCTGTCAATTCGCAGGGTAAGACAATCCTCGGAGACGCTGGTGACATTGTCGAAGATCGGAAAAGTCGGGATTGGGTCTTCCTGTTGAGGGCAGGCTGCACCAGACTGGGTGGCATTGACCACAGTGCCGGCGGGATAGGTGTATGACTTTGGTGGGGCAAAGCGATTGTTGCCGCTAGTATCCTGACCGAATCGAATATTCTTGAATGACTCGACGCTGTTCGCCGATGTGCCCTCAAACGTCACATGTCCCGAGCGGACTTTAGGGTTCGCATTGCCGCATGCTGCAAGAGCAGAAAGAAGGAGAAGTCCAAGAGCAGCACGGGCCATTTTCAGGATGCTTCAAAGATCTCCTTGGCGTTTAAACTTCTGACACTGTACTCTGACTGCAGTTGCTTACATCCGACACTGTAAGGTGCTGACTTTGTGGGAGAGTGGGCTATTAATGTATTTGTCGGGATAGAGGGACTCTCATGGTCCCTGGTCCTGCGGTCCATTGACTCGGCCAAGACGCGCACGCCAGCCGCAATGGACTTGAAGGATTGGAAATAACGCTAAATTTCCGGACAGAAGACGGGCAAGTGGGTAAGCCCCGCACAAGGCTCTGGAAATTGCATCGAGCTTCCCATGTTTAGTATCTAGATCCGAGCAATGTGGATTTGTTGGTCAATATTATCAAGCTTACAGACGGGATTCTCCATACGATAGACGCTGTGAATAAGAAGAAAATTTAGTATCAAGCAACCGCTGCACAAATGGGACTAACAACTCGCTTCTGCTGTCCGGTGAACTAATCATACCAAGTCTTTGGCGGATTACTTGCATTATAACGAAATTGCATGGCGCTCCGTTAATTGCGAGGCATTTAGCTGCATCGTGGCGTATATGAGTGAGACAAACTATTGATTTGTCATATTAATGGCGATTGTACTTAGTTTGCAGCCGCGTACGTCTAATCTCAGAGACTCTATGATAACATTGGAGCAATACGCTAAGATCGTCGACTGACAAGACCAGAAGATAAAGTTTTTCAAAGAATCCATAGCCGAAGAATGAACTTGAGTTCCTCAAAGGTTGCAGCGTGCTAAACAATGAACATGAAGAAGAATCTCCCATGGCCTACTCGTGCCAAAAATCGCCCCCACCGCTAGGGGCCCCCGGGGCCGGGACCACTGGGTCCACGGGTGCTCACCAAGATGCAACCCTAAGCGATTTCAATTTTCAGGCCTCTCTGAGTTTAATCACTGGCTTAAGTAGTATTCTGAAGTAGAATTGTCCTATGAATCCGAGGGTCTTGACTCAACTAGCACCTATGAGTAGATGAGCCCTCAAGCACGGAGTAATACTCCGTATCTTTTTACCACTTGAGTGTCTTGGTGCGAAATGCACCTTGACTGGTGCACCAATCCGGGGCTGGCGCTACAGACGGATCAATATGCAAAGAATTCGTGTACAAAAGAACATTGGCGTCCAAGCACTGGTCACTTGCTTGCCTTAAAACTCAGGCTTGGAAACCTTGCATCACCAGCCACACACAGCCACAGCAACGCGAAACCGATAAAGCGCCACGTTGACGTCATGAATCGGCCAAAGACAGGGAAATGTGCAGAGCTCTTGAGTCTGGATGATGTACCTGGATCACCCTAGCTCCAGAGTGCCCAGCATTCTAGGCGCTTTCCACGCCTTCTGGAGTTTCATACTCCACTATTTCCGTGACACGTCCCCTGCGTCATGAGTTGACCGCTACGTCTGCTCTTCACCCACTTTCCTTGAACTATGCACCGCACCTACTCCTGGCTCGACACTGAATATAAAGATACCCAGAGCACATCCTACAAACATCATACGTAACCATGCGATCATTGACAAAGGGCTGCGTCCCATTATTGTCGCCGGTAGCGAGCCGTGGTTGGTCGCGTGGGGTACGAACATGTTCATCCGGGCGTTGGGCGTCAACTGTTGCTCGGCATACCGGCCAGGGGGCCAAGCAAGACCCTAGGAGCTACCTGGACTCCGAGGGTAGGAATCATCGGTTCCAATGCCAGGCAAATGCTGTTCGGAGGGACTCAGACTCGGTCGTTGAAAAAGGCAAATTACGTCGAGAAGATTGGCGACAATGAGAGGATTGAGGACGTACTGGAGTCCCTAGAAGTCAGAGATGACACGAAGGACACCCAGCCCCATCTGAGCATGAATGAACAAAACGCAAAACGGGCCGAGGAAATGTCAAAGGGTGAATCTACTGCTCCAAACGATTGATCGCATGAGCCTAACTAATCTATCGCAGGAAAAATGTTGACAACGCCATCACGATTGTTCAAATTGATCATTCCTCTAACAACCATCGACACAAAAGGCAACAATGACAAGGGTAAGAAGTCCCCAGCTCGTCCCCAGTTCTCGACTCCCAACTAAAAATAACGCAGGAATCGAGCCAATCGCAATCCTAGTCCACCCCCAACAACCCCTCTCCTACCTAGAACAACTCATCCAATCCGAACTCCCCCCAATTGGAGGCGAAAAAGAAAATCTCCGCCCACCCATCATTTCATTCATAGCCCTGCAACACGAAGACAACGCCATCAAGCCCAAAAAGCGTGTCGATGAGCTCGAAAACACAGTCGAAACAGAACAGCAACATGGCGCCCCCGCGCGCCGCCGTCGATCCCATGAAGAAGATGCAGAGATCTACAGCTATCCTCGGAAAACAGACTCAAGCCTGGACTCTCTGGACGGCAAGCCTGAACGCTTCGTACGATGGTCCCAAGCCACCGAAGTGGGCGACTTCATCCGCGATGCAGCACGCACACGCGAGTTCATCGTGTCGATAGAAGGTGCACCGAGCGGACTGGGAGAGATTCGTGTGGCTGTCCCGTCATTTGATGAACGTACATATTTCCTTCGAATGCGCTTGCGGAAGCTTTCGCGCCGTATCCAAAAGATCGCAGAGGTCAAACACATGTGCGATGAGTTGGCGCAGCGTGGTGCGCAACGAGTTGCGATTGGAGGATTTGGAATTCTCTCGGTATGGTGGTACAGTGTTTATAAGTTGACCTTTGAGACGGATCTGGGATGGGATACTATGGAGCCGGTTACGTATCTGGTCAGTTTGTCCACGTTGATGGGTGGTTATTTGTGGTTTTTGTATCACAATCGGGAGATCTCGTATAAGTCTGCCCTCGACTTTACGGTCAACGCACGACAGAAGAAGCTGTACCAGCAGCATAAGGTTGATTTGCAGCTTTGGGAGACGCTTATTGAGGAGGGGAAGTCGTTGAGAAGGGAGATCAAGGGTATTGCGGCGGAATATGATGCGGAGTGGAATGAGCGGGTTGATGAGCAGGACGAGCGGGTTACTGAGGCGCTGAGGTCGGATCAGAAGGATGAGAAGAACAAGGACGGTCAGGAGAAGGACAACAAGGAGAAGGATGGTGATTGATTGAAGATACTTGGAAAATCCCCAGGATCATAGCGTGTTCTTTATGACTGTTGATACTAGCATTCAAAACCTCGGACAATATGCAAATACAACAAACAATTGAGATATTAATGTATACAAACGCTTCAATCACGTAACCATGAAAAGACCGAATCTAAAGTGTCCCATTCCGCACAGGGTCATAGTAACCTTTCTTTGGAGCCTCCTCGACCTGCCTGGGTCTTTTGTCTGAAGTAAAACCTGCATTAGTGCCATATCCTAAAGCTTAATTCAAGTCCCTTGAAAGGGGGTTTCTTACCAACATCGGCAACGACCCCATTGTTCTCCCCCTTCCTCCGGTTCCGATTATTTCTCACATCCCGCGAGCGGAACACACTGTACAATAACCAGCCAGCCACCCAGTTGGGTCCATATTCGCTATTGGTAGCGCCGCGGTCAAAGAGAGGTCGAGTGAGAGGACCGGCATTGCGCCAGATCTCCATGATGGCCCAGCGCTGGTGGTCGGGGAGGATGTGGTGCCAGAAGAAGGGAGGGCGGGTATTAGGGTCGGCGCGGACGCTGTCGAGGAGGTGTGAGGTATCTTGGTTCATATGGTTGTAAACCATGATTGCTTCGTCCTGAAAGATTGAATGATATGTTTAGAACGAATTTCTTGACTTGACGTGCTAGGTAGGGATTGAAGATTGTGGATGGGGGTAAGAGCAAGAATACAGAAAGATAGAATATAAACATGGTTATAGAAATGGGCTGACTTACTCGCATGGCACGGTAGTACTGTTCATGTTGTGGGTCATGGGGGTTCAAGCCCAAAGCGTGGATGAATTCCTCCTTCGAAACTCGGGGACCGACGGGTGGCATTTTAGGTAGTTGATTGATGCCTTCAAATGTCAGATTGCAATGTGATTTTAATGCAAGTTCAAAGCTTGCACTGGGTATGTAGAGCTGGACGAGATTTCTTGAGAGCGAGAGACTCAAGACACAATACTAAAGAGCTGAAGAAGATGTTGAGCAGAATGAAGCATCGAAAATGCCTTCCCAAGGCAAGGCTTTATATCATTGATGAAATATATCACTGACGACACTCAGGATTCAACATTGCCGATTCAACGGCCAGCAAATCCCGATACGCAATCTGCGCAGCCGCTTCCGACAGATCAATGCAATCAAATCTCTGGCAGCGGGACGAGGCAGATTAACGAACGAGGGTGAACACTCAAGCAGGCTGCAATGTGCAATCGGTGGTGTGGGTAAGCAATTCTAGCAGACAAGGAAGTCAATCGAGTCGGAGTTGAGACAATGATTTAGGTTCTATGTCAGTGTCTGTTTGCAGAGTCCGAGACATCAGGGGACATTGGGGTACCTGGGTGGACGAGGAAACAAAAAAATGTAGAAGAAAAACAAATATGATTGATCATACAAAAGCAATCATTCGGAGATATAGCTTATCGCGGGCAAAAGGGGGAGTTAAACCCACCCTGTCTCCTGTTGTTCAGGGATAGGACTTATTAAGGTCTACGCGATGCATCTGTAAGATCCGTAGCTCCTCCTTGGCTCCGTTGGGGTTGTACAATGCACCTGCTTGACAGTTTCACAGCTGTTGATATCCAATCCCGGACCACTTTAAATGGAGGCTCTGGTTGGAGGGTTTTCTAAGGTGTCAACGGGATGGAGAGGTAGGGAGAAGGGATCAAGGTAATCGGCTAAGCTACGCGGTTATTTTATTTGAGCGTGAAGAGGTAGCATGTAAGCGTAGGGTCAAAGACAGTGAGGTACATCCAGCTATCCTTTCTTCAATTGAATAAGGCACGGGACGTTCCGCTTGCCAGGGAGAGACAGACCATGGAAGTGAGTCAGGGCCAGCGTCAGCATCGAGGACTTAGAGCAGCAGATATCAGCCACAGGAAGATGTTCGAGGGAGACTATCCGAGCTCGAGTCTGCTATCCGAGACAGAGCAAGATACTATGACTCGCATGCATGAGATGAGGAACTTTCGAGGTTATTTTGTATACATCTGATTCGGAAGCAATCAATCCGGGCAATTTGGAGAGGCAAAGCTGACACCCTTACATATGATGAATAAACAGGCCTATTGAACAAGATAATACACTCCCACTCCAAAGCCCGCGAGAAAAGGAAAGCCGTTTAGGCGAGCAATAAACTCCCAACCACACTACTAACGCGCGCTAGTAGCCATATGGAGATCGAAATCAAAAACAACCCGGCTTAAACACCAAATGGTGTCGAGGATACCTGGCACAAACATCCAAAGAACCCCAAGCGGCTAGAAAATCCCGCTTAAAAGCGAAAAGTACCTGTACCTGCCCGTAGCCGCAGACAAGAAGACTCGTCAACCATGCAGTGCGACGCAGCAAGCCGCCCCCCAGGCAACGCGCCCCATAATTGCAATTTCACCGATACAGAAAACGGCCAACTTGCTTTCGTTGGAACGGAAGTCAATCCGTTGACCCGTTTTCATCAATGCGTGCATGCGTCAATTTTGCGGAGAAAATGGTAGTATTGCATTGCAGATGGTGTGACTTGACTCGATCTCTGTAGTTTTGCGTTGTTTGTGCAAAACAGTCTTTAAGGTTCTATAAGGGAATGAAGGTCAACATGCAGGTGAGAAGGGATGAAGTGTAACAGTAATATAAAGGAAGAGAATGAGAAGGTTGAGCTGCGCACTAAGCCAAACGGATTTACGTGTTGTCCCGTATGGGAAGCCCATTAGACAAGTCAACCTCAAGCCAAGCAAAGCAGATGATCGTTCATATCTACCAATACTAACATCAACGCTGTCATGCTTGTGACACAGAGACTCTGTAAACTTTAGCGCTTCGGACACGAGGGATATTCTACAACCCCGACAACTGATCACATTCTAGAGTAGGGAGCTCTGGATCATAACCAGGAACATTACCAACCAGGGAGGGAGATACAGAAGCGTGGACAAGGTAACGCGAACTGTAACTTTGGCTTCTCCACTGCGTCGGAGCTTTTTCAATTTCTTAACCTTTTTCTTCGGTTGCATCAGTCGCCCTTAGAAGGCAGATGTTACCCGGTACACACGAGGCAACCGTTAACCGGCCTTCGGTGCGTCATGATTTTATGTCTACAACTCCATAGTCAGATAGGTAGTCTAGGTAGCAAAGCCAGCCTCCATCTGTCATATTCCAAGTCTGCATCCCCCCGCTGTCTGTGTGCTGCATCGCATCGCATCGCATTGCATATTCTTCAACTGAGATAGGTATCATTGAGTCTAGCCCCATCTACCTACATCTACCCGCGTTCATTAAACTCTCGCCATCCCGACTAGTACCCAATCAAACAGCCCGTGGACAACAAAATCCCCCGTCAACCGGGGCCAGGGCACACCTAACACTCATGTGGATAAAACCAAAACCAAGGAAGAAGGAGATGCACCATCAACCATCATGGACCCGTCACTGAGCGAAAGTAATCATCACTCGGACCCTCTGACCGGGAATCCGCTTATGCAGGTTCCCGATTGCCGATTTTGAAATGTCGGCGGGCAAGCGATGGCGAGAGACTGGGACTGGGGTTGTGATGCAGCTTACCTGTGAAGATATCGATTTCCTGGCTTCTGGTTTGTTGAGTAGTCAAGTTCGTATGCAATTGTAGTTTGCAATTTTCTAGAGGGAGTTGAGGTGTTATGGAGTGCGTTTGAGCGGCTTCAGATGGGCCACTCGTCGTCGTTGTCGTTCGGCTTGGGTGGGTATTTGGATAGTTACAATCGAATAGCCGTTTGGAGAAGCTTGGGTACACCGTTTCCCTCCATGCTTTGAAGAAATATCCTTGCTGTTGTGTTGATGGGTATCCCAAGTGAAGTATAAAAGCGAAGTGGAGCAAAATAAGGCTGGACCAGTTGGCGGTGAACGGTTGGTATACACAGCCACCACACACCTGAAACACCAACTCATCTCATGACGATCTACGAATATTATCTCCATGATCGATCATCGCGGTCGACGAACAAGTGGGAATCTTCCAATCGGCATGTATGCGCCACATTCCCCAGATTTCGATCGATTGGGCCGTTAATTCAAGCTTATCGACCGACTCCAGTCCCACGCATGTGGCTGAAGGAAGGTTTCGGAGTCACCAATGGACAGAGTCAAGACTGGGGGATTTGTGGACCAGGGCGTCTCGATCGGTCGAATCTCGCGCGCTAAGGTGGGTTCTACGATACGTACGTCTAGAAATTACAAAGCCACTACGCCACTGGAGGTGCAATACAGATTCGGATGTGAGCAGAAATGATTTCTGGGGTTGTCTCATCCAGATTATTGTCTTAGATATGCAAGCAACATAGCCAGGTAGGAGCACTCGGATTCCCCTATCTCCATAACTCTTCAGTTCCCTCAGCTGTGGGGAAATGCACTGTCGCAATCTCGCCTGCACTTGTGTGGACGCTGCCTGCACTTGCGAGCGTCCACACAAGTGCTTCCAGATCTCTGGAGCTATAGGCGTGGGGGTTGGGTGGTATGTACGTCAAGAAGCCAGAAACCAGACATAAATAATAAAGGCCATTGCAATGCTCCATCCGTCGCTAAAAAAAAAAAAAGGGAGGAGGGGATAAAGATAAACAGTGGGAGCAAACCGTGAACCTCAGACCTAGGCTTTCTTAGGCTCTTTGTCCTTAGGCTCCTCTTTCTTCTCTTCCTTCTTCACGTCTTCCTTGTCGTCCTTCTTCTCCTCCTCCTTCTTCTCTTCCTTCACCTCCTCCTTTTTCTCCTCCTTCTCTTCTTCTTCGGGCTTAAGATCCTCACCGTAGTATCGGCGCAGGAACCGCTCAACTTTAGCGTATGCGATCTTCACCTCCTTCACAGTGGTATCAATTTTTTTGAGCGAAATCTTATCGTCGGGCTGTGTTGTAGAGCCGGTCTCGTCTTTACGGGCGCCGAAGTGCTGAATCTTTTCACAGCCGTCCTTAACGTGTGTGAGACCCAGAGTGGCCGAGGAGCCCTTCAAAAAGTGACCAAGAGATGAAAGATCATCCAAGTCCTCATCCGCGCTGTAAAGGGAGGTTAGGCCATCTCCATGAGTGTGAGAATACTTTCCATGTCACTTACACAGCCTTCTCCATCTTTTCGAATGTAGTCTTAGCCTGCTCGAAGAAGCCGTAGACAATACCCTTGCTGAATTCGCGTTCATCGTCATCATCCATTTCCAGGATCTGCTCAAAGGTGCCCTCATCGATGATATCAGCAACATCAGACAGCTGAGGAGGACCCTCCTTCTTCTGGTCGTACGTCAGTTTCACATGCTTGGCTTGGAGTTTGAACCTAGACATACCGGCTCCTGAGCCTTCGTATTCTCGGCAGGTGCCATGATGAATGTGTGTTGAAGAGATGTGGAGTGAATAGGATCAACCTAAGTCCACTGCACGAATCGCGATGAGATCGAACAGCTGCCCGATCTAATAGTCAACCCTGATTAGGGCCTTGACAGATCTGTATAATCAAGTCAGCCTATATCTCCTCAGTTAATTCTTAAAAGTGCGTCGTGATTACGACGATGAATGCGATGGAAACAAGTCATGTAACGCCCAGATACAGTCTCATTTCCCGGGGGAAATGCCAGCAAGCCCACAGGGGGTGTCGCCTTACAAGCCAGGGAAGAACTACAGATTGAGGCGAAAGACCAAAAGGCCAGGGTGATGGGAGAATAAAAGGGTACAGGCGAGCGTTGGATCTAGGCGTATGCACGCGGGGCAGGGATCAAGAGCCCCAGATCACAAGAACCAGGCTATCACACTGTGGCGGGGTGGAACTCCGGGTGAAAAGGACCCAACGAAACGGGAATCACCACGGAAGAGGGGCAGTGACAATGGCAGCTTACTTAGCGATACCGCGAGGCGAAGCCGAAGGGACAAGAAGTTAATGGAAGAGGGAGTGAGAAAGATCGAGGGGGGGGGGGGAAGGAAATAGTGACGGGCCCATTCACCATATACTGAGTGCACGGCGGGGCTTGAAATGAACGAGCTGCACGAAAGCCCCAGGGTCCCACACCGGAAACAACGCAACAGGCACAAAATTGATAACCAGATTTGCCAGAATTGATAAACCAAAAAAAGAAAAATAAGGAAAAAAATGATGATCGAATCGGGGATCGCGTGTAATGGAGGGGGGATATTGGCCAGGTTCAGGCTAAAAAAGGAGGGGCAAGTTGGGGGAAATTTGGCTTATCCCACCTTTTGGAGATTCTGATATAAGATTGCAACTCTTCTAGCAGAGAAGGCCTTTCCAGATGACAGAAAGGCAAGGGTCGAAAGTTTACCAGAGAGGAGAGGGAGTGAGAAAGAAGGTTAGCGAGAAAGAGGGCGGAGAAACGTTTAGGTGGGTAATTATGGCCGGCAGGAACGAGTGGAGGTGCACCGTTTCCCGTGCAATCTATTCGTAGGGTGATTTTGGTTTTCAGTTGGTAACTTTGTAACAAAAAAAAATTGGTTTTTTTTTGCTAACTGTCAATAAAGGTGTCTAATGTCAATAAAGGTGTCTATAGATTGATTACCTTGCTCTTACTGGCCTCTTCGGCATTATCCTATATGCAGATTAGAACCCTAGCACGGATTTGTATATTGTCTCCGTTCGAGCATGGGGCCATCAGTATCCAGCAGAGTTCAATCCTGGTCATCCGAATCTTGTCATTCCTTCAAGCTGAATTGGGGGGGGGGGTGGATGCTTTTCTCCACCTACGCTTCCCCCGCTCAATTTCTGCCACTAGATTGGATATGATTTTTTCCCTCTTTTTCGTAATGCACGATATCCAGCCTCATCTACAAGGACAGCTGGAAACGTCACTGGATCATAGTCATCAGAATGAAGTGTGAAACCATGAAATACCTGGGCCCTTGTTCCACCGGGAACCGAGCAACGGCATGAGATCATCCTCCATTCCCTTCCACCAGTGAGAATCTGCGTACCAAGTCAGTACATAGTGGAGACTCCCAAAAGACGCAACCTATAAGATCAATACTGAACATGTTACAGGGAAGCCATGGGAAAAGTGACCAGCCTAAACCTAGGGATCTGGCAGCGGAAGGGGGAAGGAAGCAGCCGCGAAACGACATCATCGGGGCGCCGATCCCAGCACAGGCACGTCACTGGTGTTGTCGTCTAGTTGCCCATGTTCCGAGCCGCACGTGGACCAAATCATCTCGTTCGGTTTTGCGTGCTGGATAGATTATCCCGTGGATCTCTCCACTTTGAATGGTTATCTGGTGGACCGACAAGGCAGGTAGAAAAAAAAGCAAAAATGGAATAAAAAAATAAAAATCAATAAAAGGAAAAATTAGATAGGTCGGCCATAGTCCGCAGCAATACGGGGGGTCGTTGGGCTCCTAATCGCCGGGGAGGGGGGAATAGTCCGGGCTCCATTCATGACTTGCACTCTGTATATTTCGAGTATTCGTACAGATCAATGCATTGCACTGCAACCGGACAGTATGGGTGTGGGAAGGTCTGGGCCCTCGGGGACCGTAAACCATGTGTCGCTAACCAGCCAAAAATACCCTTTCTCCCCTGTATCTTGCGCTGGAATGTTGCATGAACCCCGAGGAATCTGACGTAGCGACAACCCTGGACCCCGTTGGACACTCAGATTGTGAAAGCGAGAGGGGTTGTTAGGGGGGATTCGGGCTAAGACACGAGCGATTATGCTGTCACCGATGACGATGTTTGGGTGGGCAACGAAAAAATGGGCGAACCTAAGGTAGAATCGTCAATTCACCCCCCTTGGTGTTGAGATGGATGACCATCAATTGGAAACGCATTGAGGATCCAGGGTAGTTGAAATCATCCAAAATCAAAAGCCTCCTCTTCCGCGCGAAGCGTAGTCGCCTCTTTTGTTTATATAGCAGACGGGGGCATTCGTGCCTCTGGTGGCTGTCTCCTGGTTTTGCGTATGAAGTGGTTGGTCCCAACAGCCGTCAACCAATAATCGTGGATGATTTTAGCCATGACATCATGGTGGGGTTTCCATCCATATCTTCCAGCCTCTGATGTCATATCTCTTCTGTGGTACAACAATACGCGTCACTTACGGAGTGCTTGGCACCGGCACCCATGGAGTGTGTCTTGTGTCCGCCCTGGCCAAGTCACGTTATTCTTAGCGATCATGCGCTATGCAGAACCCCACATCATACTTGGCTGTATACCCAGGTACAGGAGTCTTATGAACCACGCCGGAGCTAGTTCACTCAGCTCCAAGTACGTATTCTGTACTCCGTGCCTTAGCCTAAGGACCAATGCAGGGTGAAATCATCGGCTATCCTCATGATATCACGTTGCATAAGCTCGTATGACAGTCGGACTTCGTTCAAAAGGGGTGTGCGACATGATATCATTTGCTTGCAGGTGTCACATCAGACTGAGCATCGGCAAGTATTGGAGATATCAAATGGCTTTGCTCATGATGACTTATACCGACGAGATAGCTGGCTACGGTTGCATTCTAACAAATCTAACAAGTCTGATACAATAGAAACTCTTACTCACTCATTCGCCAGTGATGCCCAATTATGGGGCCAAACCGGCAATGTTTGCTTTGGTACGAAGAATACGGGGCTTATGTGCCTCCCAGCGCCAGCCCCAAGTGGTCCTCGGCAGCGTGATAACGCCCTCGAAAACATGGGGCTCCCAAGGAAGCCTTCCGTTTGGTTGCTGGTACCTGCAGTTCACTGGAACTAGTCCTAAGATTTGGGCACTAGATTCAATAGTAGACAGTCACTATCCCCAACGCAGCCGTATACTCGGTTCTGACCGACAGCCACAATTTTACGGCATTCATTCGGCTGCGAGAGCAAACAATGAAATGATACACCAATCACTAATCTGACAGCTGCAGCTTCCAAGAGATCCAGGCGATCGGACAAAGAACCCCACAACCCTGAAGGCTTCGAGGGGTCTTCTAGAACTGCTTATGTAACCATCCGAGGTCCCTTTCTCGATTCCAGATTCAACATTCAACAACTCAACGCCTTACAGCGCCCATTCGCGCCCCCATCAATTATTATCGCTGAACATCCAGCACAGCTTTGAATCTGGAGCCAAAGATCATCATCGTTTTTATCTCCAGGCTCAAAATAAAACCAAACCATCACAATGCCCTCATCCTCAACCGCGGACAAACCGCGCTCTTCCGGTCCTTCAGGCATCACAAGAGCCTACCTCTTCTTCTACAATGCCCTCAACCTCGCAACATGGGGCTTCTGCGTCGCCTACACAGCCTCATTGGTCCCTGGCCACTTCGCCAGCAACAGCCTAAACTCAATTTTCGGCCAAACCTTCTCCCCATACCTCCTCGCAACGCAATCCATTGCTACCCTCGAAGTCCTGCACAGCCTGCTCAAGCTCGTGCGCGCCCCCTTCTTCACAACCGCAATGCAGGTCGCCAGCCGTCTGCTTCTTGTCTGGGGAATCATGGTTCCATTCGGCGGCCAGGTTGTCGGTGCGTCCACCACCCAGCTGGGCGATTATGCGTATCTGGGCTGCGTGGGTGCATGGGGAATTACTGAAGTGATCCGGTATGGATTTTTTGCCATTACCCTTTCTGGGAATGATGTGCCGAAGTGGTGGACTTGGCTGCGATACAACACTTTCTATGTCTTGTACCCTGTTGGTATCTCGAGTGAAGTCGCGCTCGTTTACCTGTCGCTGGGTCCGGCTGGGGATATTAGTCCTTTGCTTTTCTGGGGTCTTGTTGCTATCCTGGCTATCTATGTGCCTGGTTCTTATATCCTTTACACGCACATGATTGCGCAGCGTCGCAAGGTCATGCGTGGCAAGCAGCGCGCTGATTAAAGAATCTCAGGCTGCAATGCGAACTCACTATTACGGGGTTTCGCGTATGATATGTGGTGCTACAGACTAATGGCGATGGGACCTCGGAGCTCGGTAAAATCACCGTAATCATATAGATACTGTCTCTAGCTCGCGAGGCCAAGACAGAAAAAGCATACATAGCGACGACGGATAATTATTCAATAATGCTTGATACCTATTAGTCAATCATGGCTATTCCAATGCTATGCAAAATACTTCAATCCAATTCTCGCCGTCCATACGTTGGTTCTTAGAGGTGCAATTGCCTCACATTTCCCGCATGAGAGCATTGATAGCTTGCGCCGCAAACTTTTTCCGCTCGTTTTCCGGTAAATCAGCACCCATATCTGCAATTATGTCAGTATAATCAAGTTCATCCTAGCAGTGTAACCCAGCATACCTTTAATAGCCTGCACACGCATCATCAGGCCCTCCATAGACTCAACCTTGATTTCATCATCCCCGTCCTCAAAGTCGCCAAAGTCTCCTTCCTCACCATCACCACCACCATGCTCAATCGCCATGCGCAAACCAAGCATCTCGCGCTCCAACTCTTGGACTTCCTGCCCGAAACCGCGAGTACGTGATTTGCTGCCCCCAAGCAATCCGGCCTCGAGATCATCATCGAAGTCAAAGTCCAGCTCCTGGTCCGCATCTGGATCGCGCAAGTCTCCAGGTCCAGTCCAGTCGTGGGTCTCAAGCACCTCCTTGATACGCGGCATGCCCTCGTATTCTTCAGAAGGTTAGCGAAAATCCACGAATATATCAATTAATACCGCCGGGGGGATAATCGGAAGTATACAAGACAGGAAAATCATACCTCCAAACTTATTCTTCGTCTTCTCGCCCTGTCCCTTCGGATCCCACTCAACAACTTCCCACCCAATACATCCCAAATCAAACAACATATCTTCCCACCAAGAAGCAGAAAACGGCACGTCCTCACTCCCCAAATCTTCATCGTCAAGGCCCAATCCCATCTCATCAGAATCACGAGCGCCGGAAGAAGTAGAAGTAGATCCCGGCATTTCACTCTTCGGTGCCCCGACTAGAACAAATATGCCAGAAACTTCACCACCCATACCCCCACGCTCTTCATCAATGCGCTCTTTTACTGCCCCGATATCACGCATGAGATCCAGTACCGCGCGTACATCATCGCGCGAAGCAGGATCAGGACCCGGACGAGGATCTGTCTCGCTAGGATTCTTAACACAGACTAGCAATGCGCCTACGGCGTCGCGGACAACCTCGGCTTCATCGCTGAGGAATTCCGTGCGCCACTGTTGCCCACTGGCGTCGGTAGATGTTTGCGGAGCTGATTCCTCGTTTCCGGGGAAAGGCACCTCGTCAACCCATATTGGGATCTCGGCTGAGTAGTATTTTGTGTTTAGGAGGAGTGGGCTGTGGGTTGTGTAGCCTGCGAAGGAGTTTGTGGTGTCTGGTGGTGTGGGAGAGGTAGTGTCTTTGTCTTTAGGCGGGGTAGTTGATGATGCTTCGACGGGAGGGGTTTGTTCTTGTTGTGGGAGATCGTGGACTGGGACGTTTGTGAGCGCATGTAGGAGAGGTGGGATTATAGAGACTGATTGGGTTGGCGGCGCGAGGATTAGGAGACGGCGTGAGTTGGTGATTTGTTTCACCTTCGGCTTGGAGGGGGTTGCGGGGGAGGCATTGGAGGCCATGGCGGAAAGCGAGAGGGTTGGTTGTAACTCTTGATGTAATTGTCCAACTCTTCAGAGTTCAACTGTGTATACCTGCGGATAAGCGCGTATTTGAGGGCGTGGTTGCTGGAGGGCGGAAACGTGAAGAAGTTGAGACCTGGTCCCCCGCATGGAGAGAAAAAGTTGCGGAGATCACATCATCTCCGAAATGTTTACCTACTTATACTAGGTATGACCATATCGTCCATATGAGCAAGTTCTGATCTGAACATTGTATTTCTAGTAGATAGGATCTTATTAATCAGTCCTACTCGTCATTTGAAGCTTGGATCTCACAGCAGATCCCACTGCGGTTAAGAATCTACATTGAACATACTGGCCCCTAAGCCAGCTGAAATATTCAGGATGTGTAATATATGCGCCAGATATTTGTTCGTAAGAGATATACGAGTCATCATGGAATGCCTACACCCCAGACCCAGCAAGATGGAAAGAAAGCCTGAGAACTTTTCCCATAACGAACCAAAGAAAACAAAAGACGAACGCCAACCACTAGAATCCGCCAGGTCTTAAAACTGCGCTCTTGTACTATCTCCATGCATTGCGAATTTACCGACCACGGCCGCCGGCACGAGCACGCTGCACAGTAGCCTTACCACGGGCCAGACCAACACCGCGTCCACGCTGTCCTCGTGAGCGGAACATAGGGGCGTTCCTACAGTAAAAACAGTCAGCAGACGTTCGAAACACGCAAATTTGAAACCCCATTTCTGGATGTAAATTATGGCCATATTTGGGCTAAAATCGATAGCGGTGTGGTGATAACCGAACGGAACGTACCTCAACATATCCGGCACAATGAAAAATCGCACATGACTTCCACGAATGTAGACCTGGTCGAGATGCGAGACACGGCCATCGCGAGCGGTAACGGTGATATCCTTGAGCTGAACGTTCATGTTGTCCTCAGCTGTAAGAGAACGCAAGTCAGCGGTGTGTTTATGGTATTGGGGTTATTGAGCCAGTGCTGTCATCCATTGAGGATCTGGCCTGCTTTGAAGACCCAATTTACACAGTAGCAAATAGTTTTACGCACCTTCCAACAGCTTCCCTCGGTAGACAACGCCCGATGTGATCTCGAGTGTCACGACATGGCCCTGAAAACGATGTTAGCATCCTGTCAGTCCCCAGTCTCCTCCATGCCAGAGTTATGCTATCGCCATCTGGCGAAAAGACTGATCAAAATGATTGGAACGCACCTGCGCCTCGTTCAGGAGCTTGATGGGGATGCCGATGGTGCTAGTGAGCTTGCCCATCTTGAAGGAATGTGCAACGCGGGGAGGGGGATCGGATTAGGAGTGGTGGCGAAGATGTATGTCAGACACAATCGCAGAAGTCGGCTCAGCAATAGGCTCGTTGTTTCGAACCTGGACGAGTAAAGCGGTGGTGGTGGTTGGCGGGATGGTAAGACGGCGGTGGAGATGGCGGAGGTCGCGAGGTGAGTTTTGCGGCTAAGCTTCCTCCTTTCCGCTTTGGGTGTTTCTTCCCTATAAAATTCCAGACCGCGACAACATACTCTCACAACGGCACCACCACGCTCATGGCATTACAATAGCGATAACGACTACTCAAAATAAACAACTATCTCCAATCAGAACCCGTTTCAAACCCAAACCCTCTACTGGAGCCTTTCACAATGGCTGGCTCTCCTAACTCCAACCTCCGCGGCTTCAATCACGCCGTCCAAACTCTCCTCAAACAGCCCTCACAATTCCTCCCACATCTCACCATCCCAACATTCACTCATCTCCCGGAAGAGCTGGGCCCCCACCTCATCAACTCGCGACCATCCTCCCAAACCACCAACCCCGAAAAGCAACAACAACCACCCAAAATACCAACAATTCGCGCCCTAGTCCTAGACAAAGACAATACCCTCTGTCCCCCAAAAACAACAACATTCCCGCCCAAAATCCTCACAAAGCTCTCCGAACTCCGCAACTCCCCCACAAGCCCCTTCAACCAAACCAAAAACCCAAACGCAATCCTAATCGTCTCCAACCGCGCCGGCAGCCACCCAAGCTACGACTCAGAAGTGCAATCGCTAGAAACCCAGCTCGCTCATCTCAAGATCCCCGTTTTCAGGCTACCGGCTGGTACGGAGAAGAAGCCTTTCTGTGGCGATGAGGTTGTGCAGTGGTTCCGGGAGCGGGAGGTGATTAGTTCGCCGAGTGAGATTGCGGTTGTGGGAGATCGGTTGGGGACGGATGTCATTATGGCGGGGCTGATGGGCTCTTGGAGTGTTTGGTGTAAGGAAGGAGTGTATGAGGTTGGCGAGGAGGGGAAACCGGAGAGGAATATCTTGGAGAAGATGGAGGTTTGGATTGAAAAGTATTTGAGGGAGAGCAGGGGACTTAAGGCGCCTGTACCCAAGGGATGGGAATAAGAATCTGGCTTTGAGAAAGAAGCCGTGGGATGCAACGAGGTGTTCACATAAAACAGAGGCGACTGGAGATAACTTGTATAATATTTGTTAATATAGAGTTTAGATAAAAGATCCACAGAGTATCTATCTGCCGTATGTGAAAACCATACCACGACCTTGGATCAGACGATGGCAAGGGACAGTCATCGAGGATTATGGACTGCGCAGGATCTAGATGAATTTACAAGAACTACGAAAACAGATATGACAGAAAAAGAGTTAATTTCAGAGCCTAGTGCCAATCTCCCACTCGTCGTTTACCGCCAGACCAGCGCTATTTCCATCTCCTGAGAAGAGACATCCAGAATATTTCAATTCTGCAGACCACCAGGAGCAGCGCTGGTTTCATCAAACACAAAGAGGTGCCGACAGGTTGTTGTGTGAAGACTGGTTCTAAACTCATGATGAGAATGACCATCTGATGCATGGGTAGAAAAGCCCAACTCAATCTTTTGATGATCAATCCCATCATCGATAACACAAAAACTCAAGCACACAGAAAAGGAAAAGAAATTTGGGGTCAAGAGTGTGTCTCCGTCCAAGTCGGTCTGTTTGGCATAACCACGTAAAAAAAGGACCCTGGCTTGCAGATCAAAAAAAAAAAAAAAAAAATCAAAGTAGAAATGGTGAGCCAGGGAAGAAAAGAAAAAGAAGAAAAATAATAATCAGGAATCAACCGAAACATCCGGGATTCCATCAAATTTAGAATAAAAGAAGCTGAAAATCACAAATCGCTTCAGGACCGGCCCCAGAATGGAAAGGGTATTAATACAAAACAACGCATAAACAGAAGGGATATATGTCACGCAGTCAAAAAAAAAAGAAACAGCAATCAGTCCAGTCGGATTTGCTTTCCCGGCCATCGCCAGCGAGACGCGAAGTTGCTCCAGGCAAATCGATCATGGCGGCATGTAATCATACCAACGTTGATCCTACCAGATTCAGGACAACGAGGGATTTCCGAGATGGAGACTAAAACCCATCGACATAGCGCCACAAGCACTCCCAAGGCCGTGAAACATCAATAATATAGAAATAAAGTCAATTCGAGAAATCAAGATCCGGAGGGCAATCCCTGGGAGTTAATTTCATCGAGATTGACCATGCCATGAGAGTAATCACCCAAGGCTGGAGAACCGTGACCTGACATGCCATGCATCGGTAGTTCAAAGCTGGGTCCTTCGTGCGAAATCGCATAGTTGATGTTATGCTTTGGGTACATATCGCTCATCGAAAGTCCATCCTCGACAAAACCTGATTGCTGATCGTGCGAATAGCCATACATGTCAGACGAAGAATGAGACATGTTGGACAAGGGGGGCGAGTGATTAGCGATCATGGGATCGGCAGGGCTTACACCGGAATAGGGCGATGTTGCGTGGGAGCCAACAGTTGATGTATCAGACGGGCCTGTGGAAACAAATTGAGGCACATTGAACTGAGGAGGCATGCTGGCAACAGGAGTTGACTCGCCCTGTCCAGCGCTGCTAAACATCGAGGGGCTAGCAAACTCGGAAGGTGATGCGGTGGTCGTGGCAGACATGGGGTTCGTCCGGAAATCCAGTCCATAACCATCAGTGTCAATGCGCAAGTCAGTAGGAAGGGCATGCGCAGATTGCGGGATCGGGGCATAGATACCAGCCTCAGCAGGGTTGTACGGGGCTGGAGTCTGCGGCATGTGGAAAGAACTCATGGGGCCTTGCAAAGTAGAGATATCAACTGCTACTGGTACGGAGCGACTGCGTTGACGCTTGTGTCCGCGGGCAGCGGGCATGTTGAAACCCAAGTGGTTGTGATCCTGGTAAAGATTCATATAGGCTGGTGGGGCAAAGTGGTTGGGCTGGGAAGCAGGGCGCTGGATGAAAGGCGGAGACATCGCTGCGGGCACAACAAAGTTGCTGCTGCTATTTCCGTATGCCAATCGGTTCTGGAAAGATTCCAGAGACACAAGCTTGGCGAGCTGCACACTCAGCACCTTAGGATGGCCTCCCAGGTGATGAATCATGATTTGGCTCGCTTGCTGCTCCTCGGTGAAATCGCCACATTGGTAGAAACCCCCAGAGTTGGAAGAATCCATGTAAAACATGGGTGGGCGGTTAAGCTCCACTACCAGACCACCAGGCCGGGGCGGTTGACCGTTCGGTCCGGGATTGGGGTCTCCAGTTTCCAAGGTGATGTTCTTGATATGGGCGAACGGGTATTCGATCTTATAACCAGCCGAGTCGTTGTTGATATAGTATGTCATGCAGGCCTTGTCGGGCGAATAGAAAATGACTAGATCCATCGCGTTCTGTCCAATGCGCCGCCAGCTACCGATTGTCAAGGAACGACAAGTGAAATGCGAGATGACGACTTTGCCAGAAGGGTTGGCCTCGTTAGCATACATGCTAGGGCTGGTGTATCCTGCTGTGCGTCCGAAGGGATCGCGGGTTCCGGGCTTGCTGGGATCGAATTGCATCGCAAGGTAATGGCGCATTGACTCGGGAATCGAATCACAGCCCTCACCGGTCTCAATACTTTTTTTGGCGAGCATCTTGATTTTGGCACGACTAATTCTGAGTCAGCATACTTTCAATCCCATTATAAGGGTAAACAGAGGACCCACCGATTCTGGAACCAAATCTGGACTGAACGTTCTGTCATGTTGATATCTTGGGCAATTCGTTCGCGGGTGGCAGCAGTGGGTGTCGGGTTCTTGTTGAATTCGACCTCGAGAAGGACGAGTTGATCCTGGGTCGCACGTTGGCGCTTGTTGTTCTTTTGCTGTTGAGTCAAAGTGCTCTTCCGGGGTGGCCGGCGCGAAGCACTTGATGACGGAGCCGTAGTAGCACTCGAAGTTGAGGGCGAAGGGGTCGAGTTTGGGGGCGAAGATGACCCCGTTGTGGGCGCGCCCGTTGGGTCGGGGGTTTCACTAAACGACATTTTGTAATGCGGTCGACGGAGATCAGGATGCAAAAGACGAGTTCGCCAAATCTATCAGGTATTCCGATAGGTTGAATTTTGGTTAAATTGCGTATAGAAGTTTCTTCTCAATCCTCTAGAGAAGATGATGCGTGACGATCCGGCCGACAGGTGGAGAGGGGTGGGTGGGTGTAGAAATGACTGATTGTCTTCCAAATGATGTTCTCTGGGAGCAGCTTCAAGCGCGAGAGAAAGAATCCAAAAACGAATGAAAGCGCTCTGGCGTAGGGATGATATCGAATCGCGTTCGATGATCCACGTCAGAAACGGGGAGGTTGGGTGGTAAGGGCGCGTCGCAGAGGCGTCCTAAGGAAAGGTATAGAAATAAAAAGGCTGGCCTATGCAGCGCAGATAGAAGGGCAAGGGATTTTCCCAGCAATGACTCGATCAAATGAATGAGGTTGGCTGGCGGAATCGCAAATACCCAAGTTGAATCGATCAACAAGGAACGGGGCTTTCAAAGGAGGGGAAAAAACCGTTCGAAACGAAGGTGGGAGGCAGAAAGAGCGATACGGATCGTCGTGAAAGAATGAAACGAGCGACCTGGCAAAAAAGAAAGGAAGGAAGAAAAATGGAAGACACACACAGAACAAGAAGAGGAGGGAAGACGAAGTTTGGAAGGGAAATCAGGAGATGCTGACTACGCCGGGAACCAGGAACCACCAGGTAAACCAAACAGTCTAACCTACTACTATTGGCATCCGTGGGGCTAGTCGCTTCCGACCGCCCCATGGCCGATATACATTTACTTTGCTTTTTTAGCCTAGAATCCTTATGACATCTGCCTTCTACCTATTCTTCAGTACCAAGGGGGGAAAAAAAAAAAAAAAAAAGGGGAAAGGGGCGAAGGCTTTCATGTTCGGCCCCTGCGTCGGGCTGCATACAGCCAAAACCAAATTCTTCGGACGGAGCGATATGATTGACTCTGAGCCTCTTTCACCCAGAAGAGGGGTTTCGCATGCGCTATCTCCTTACTCGGGTAGCCATCACACAAGAGACTTGTCCCACTTTTGCCATTGTGTGCTGTACGACGGAACTTACCGATTGTCCAGAACCAGGGAAAGCCACGGTCCAGGTGGTTTACAGACTTATGGGGAGGGTCTCGTGGCGTTGAGAGAACCAGACCAGTCGATCCCCAGGAACGGGATGATGTCTATTAAGAAACCCAACCCAAACTCATACCCTGATCGTCACCAAATGCCGCCGAACGGCAACCACGTGAGATCCGCGGATATCTGAAACACCGGATTCTTGTGATATGTATACGCGTCGCGGGGAGACAATACACAAAGAACACACACCAATTGTTGACCTATGTAAATGCCTCGGAGTCCGGTTTGTTCTTAATGCTAGTTTTCAATAGTCGCAATAGAACGTGCAGACTCAAGGCCCCCGGGGGAAAACCACTTGCCCCTGATTCGAGAACATATCAGCCACGGCTCCAGTTAGCGCCACTGTTGACCACCCACGGTTCCAGGGGCTGCTCCAGCAACTCCTCACCAATCATCGTACACTTAAAGTCGGAGGCCCCACGGTGCCTCGAGTGCTGGGTGCTGTCTGTGGACTGTCACCAAAAGAGAATATTCAGGTACCCGCCCCATAAACTCTTATGATTGGTCTCAGGGTCCATGACAGGTCCTTCCAGACCACAACGTCGGACAGTGGTACAGTCCCAAACTGTACAATTCAGGGTGCAACCTGTCTCTTCATACGTACTGTACCTGGCTGACCGGGCGGGCCTGACCAGTTCTGATCATTCTGGGAAATGCTCCGTGCGCGTTTTGCCTGCAAGTTCCCATTGGTCCGACCTGACCGAAAAGACCATTCAGAATGGAGGATGTTCTTTTCCTTGCTACAGCCTGCAGCGCACGTCACACTTGGATCCCCGTGCGCCATTGCGTTCTTCCGTCGCATCCGATGGTAGTGCCGAGACACGAACTGTATCATCAACTGTGTCAGGGCGCTGTTGGGTTCACCAAGGTGAGGATTGGAATTGGACATCCCGGGCAGTCAAGGAGGACTACATCTGTGCAACCGTCAATCCTGGTCACATTAAATCATTGCTCTTGGATCCAGGGGTCGAGGCTGGTTGAAATCCACTGCGCTATTTTTGGCGGGAAACCGGCCTTCTGGTTTGTTGCCTGTTTGGGACTAGCGCCATGGTTCCACACGAGTACGAACCCACTCGGACATTACGCATAACTATCCTGAAAAAATGTCTTAAGGGTTGTGCTAGTCACATTTATGATGGATTACGATTTTGGCTGGCCGATGACATGCATTTACAAGATCACAGTGAATGTCCATTCAAGCTTATCTGCACCTCAACCATCTAACAGCGAGATTGCCACTGCCAAGAGGTATATTTAGAACATGACCCTTGGATCCAGATCAAAAAATGAACAGGCAAGACTGTTCATCCAGTAACTTGATCCGCTTTTCCGCACAAGAGATTGCCAGACTATTCGACTCGGTCTGATCCATGATCTCCCAAACCTGTTCTGTCAGTCGCATTGCCGTGTTCCGTTGCTGCTCTCGATAATACGCCGTCATCGACTCGTGCTTTTGTCGCACCCAAACCCGGTCTTCCAGAGTGACTGCTTCACGCGCAGCGAGATAGAAAGGTTGAGGAAGAGATGAATCGGGTCCACAGCCTGTCGATAGTTGATTCATCAATCGAAAGCAAGTATGTGTTAAATGTTGGACCCGAGGCGAGCGGGTTGGATCGCGAAACACACGTCGCGCAAGTAGGAGATGCGAGCTCCAGTAGAAACACTCTGTCAGAATATCCAAAGGCGGGCGCACACAGTCATCCGGAATAGGCTCTGTATATTGTGCGCCCCATAACCGGAGGTCACTCTCCAGGCAATATGCCTGGGTAAGCAAGTGATCAATTGGGGCATCTTGTTCCACTTGTTCTTCCATGTCGCACGCCAGGTGTGCGATCTGTACCATGAAGCACATTAGTGGCTGGGGACAGCCAGTCATTTTATGAAACGATGGCTCCGACTGATCCCATCTCTCTGTATCAGGCCGAAAAAGCATGAAATCCCGCGGTGCATATGGTCGCCGTTGCCGTGAGAATGCCAGCATAAGGTCAACCATGGCAAACCGCTGCACGGTCATTCGCATGAGAGCAGAACGTGGTATGTGGCGAAAGTAGTCCAATGACTCCATGAGAAACGAGGCGCACCGCATATGGGGTTCTAGAACACCATCTTCCGACTGCGCGATAACAACGCCCTGTAACACAACGGCTGTGAGCAGAGCTTCATGGTCTACCATGCTCGTCTCTGATGTAACATCTCTGGTCACACGGGTACCTGGACGAGTGACCAACTGGAGATTCTGGCCTATGGTGCGGAGCATTCGCTGCTGGCGTTGTGCGGCACTCGATACGCTGCCCATGCCGAAGTTCAGCATGTGTTCTGTGGCTATGCAGACGATTGTCTCACGCAAGATAGGGGATGATAGTGCGATGAATGATAGGTGCCGGTAAGGATTGTCTGGTCCATCTAAGGCAGGGACGTTTGATGAGACTAGACTCACGTCTGGGGAAGCAGTTAGCTGTCTAGGCTGCATGTGAATATTATTGACACCAGAGTTCGTACAGTATTCCCATGCCAATTTCTCTTCATTCGAGTCGAATGGACTGTTCTCAAAGAGAGATGGTGGCAGGTTGAGCTGTCTGGTATCATCTACATTTTCTGTATCTCTGTACCGAGACCTGGGTCTCGATACAGTGAGCTGGGACTTTTGAACCCATTTCACCCCTGACGGCCATTGACAGTCAAGCCCCCTTGTTGAGCAGAAAGAGCACTTTGGTCTTTTCTCATCACATTTATTGTGCCTGGTCCGACACGAAAGACACCCTAGCGATGCGCTCTGTTAGTGAAACGGCATGTCAATCTCAAATGGGCTATCGATACCGGTGCGCGATCGTGAAAAGCGTTCCCCACCGGGCATTCCGTGATCAGAAAAGATGTCACACAGTAGGTATGGCAAATTGACGATATGTTATTAAGCTCATGAGCAGATCGAGGGGATCTTCGCTTCCCCGCTTATCGCGACACCACGGTCACATGATGGGCATCCAATCGTACAAGAGATCAAGTATACCAAGTGCTTCATGGCAGGGATATAACTAGGGCACTCAAATATGTAAAATATTGGTACTTGGAATTGATTGCGAGATTTCCCTAGCTTTATACTGGTGGAATGATACTCAAATGATTACTCATGAACAGCCATTGACCAATGATTGGACATACCTTCATAAAAGTTGAAAAACACACACAATAATCTCAGTTTATCGATAGCAACCTTCCAATGAGCGAAGAATTGTATCCATACCTTGAGGTCTTTCAAATCGTTTATGCCACCAGTTGGCCAAAAATCATTAGGTTTCCAAGGTTGGTAATGAGACAACAGTCCTAGTTTAAAAGACCAATGGTTCGAGCTAGACGAGACTAGTCACTCTCTAGAAACCTCTACCTAGGCAGAGATCTTACCGGAATTTTGAACAAGCAACAGTGAACTCATTCTTCTTCATGACGGGGGAAGACCCTGTTTCGTGTGGTTGAACCGAGGCAATAACTAGACCCACTATCTCCAATCTTCCATGGAAAAACCCCTCGCCAATAACAGCGAGAATTTTTCAGGGCCGGACCCTGCGAACATCTATTAACTTACCTCATAACATATAGTCTCTTCCCCGCTTCGCCGCTCTAAGGCAAAGCCACCAACGGTCTCAGAAACATCTGGATCATTTTGTTGACCCTTCGCACTACACTACCACCCTTCACATCTTGCCAGAATGTCTATCAGAACAGTTGCAGTTGCTGGAGGCTCAGGCTCCCTCGGCGGGCCCATAATCGAATCTCTTGTGTCATCCTCCTTCGAGGTAACAGCTCTCATCCGGGCCGGCAGCCAAGCTTCTTTCCCGGCACCAGTGAAAACCATCACGGTCGATTATGCTTCTCACGAGAGTCTTGTTTCTGCCTTCCAGGGAATCGATGCTGTGATCTCAGTTCTAAGTGGACCAGGACTGGAATACCAACCTGCCATTCTTGACGCTGCCATTGAAGCTGGCGTGTCCAGATTCTTGCCCAGCGAGTTCGGCTCCAATACCTACATCCCAAAGACGTCAGAAATCCCAATCTTCCAGGGCAAGGTCGCTTTCCAGAAAACTTTGGAACAGAAGGTGGCACAAAATCCGAGTCTGTCATATTCATTAATCGTCCATGGTCCCTTGTTTGATTTCTGTCTCTCTGGTGGCTTGTTTGGGGATATTAAAAACCGCGAGATGACTATTTATGATGGCGGAGATAATATGTTCTCAACGACTTGCTTAGCCGATCTTGGTTCAGTTGTTGTTGGTGTTCTGAAGAACCCTGAGCAGACCAAGAACCGGGCGATCTTCGTTGAGGGCGCGAACCTCACTCAGAACAAGCTTTTGAGCAGCTTGGAAAAAGTGACGGGGTCTACCTGGACGAGAAAAGAGGGGTCTATTGCGGAACTGAATGCTGCTATGATGGCTGAGATGCAGAAGGAGCAGCCAAATCCTGGTGTTTTTGTCCCGGGTTTCCTGAAGGTTGCTATCTTTGGTGGATCTGCGTATGGCTCAGACTTGAACGAGCAGACACCTGGACTCGACAATGATGTCGTCGGTCTAAAGGCATACAGCGAGGAGGAGCTAGAGGAGAAGATTAAAAGTATTGTGGGTTGAAGTTTCTTATAATCAAGTATGTCCTGTATACTCAGACGTCGTACATATACTATCTCCCAAGCTATTATATCAATATTTCGATTTGAATACACTCGCGGACCAAACTTCCCAGATTGCCTACTGACCCAAAACGTCCACAATAACTCGAACCACACGATCCACGATCAATTCAATCTCTGCTCGAGTAGTGTTATAGGCAGGAGCCAAGCAGACATGGTCGCCATTAATACCGTCTACTCCACCATTTCCCGGAATGAAGGAGATAGCATGCTCTGGCTTCAGTCCAGAGGCATGAACAGCCCAAGCCACACCCTGTGATGGAGGGTACGGCTCTTTAGTTTGTTTATCTTTCACAAATTCAATCTATGCCATTGTTAGTACAGATTCAACGATGCGGACGAAAATAGGTTGACTTACAGCCCAAAAGAGCCCTCGCCCGCGAATATCACCAACGTGAGGATGGTCATCAAGTTTCTCGTGCAGCAACTGGCTTAGATAGGCGCCCATCTCAAGAACATTATGAAGAAGGTTATCTTCCTGGATAATCTTCTGCACCCGATATGCAGCCGCGCATGAAACTGGATGACCTTGGTAGGTCTGGCTGTGGGAGAATGATCCAGTACCCTTTGTCAAGGTATCAACGACATGCTTGTTAATCAAAAGACCAGCAATAGGAGCATATCCACCGCCGAGGCCTTTAGCAATAGTCTGAAGGTCGGGAACGACATCTTCCTGCTCCCAGGCGTGCAGAGTTCCAGTACGACCCATACCCGACATCACCTCATCCAAGATAAGCAACGCACCGTGACGCTGACAGACTTCTTTCATAGCTTTCAAGTAACCAGGAAGCGGGGGCATGCATCCTAATGTCTAATAAAACCGTTAAAAAAAGCTTATTCTACCTTGTATAGAGTCACTCACAGCACCAGCCATTGTCTCCGCGACAAAAGCGCAGACTGTATCGGGTCCAAGCCTCTGGAACTCATCTTCCAGCTCTTGGGCAAGCCTGCCAACATAGCTTTCAACCGATTCACCTGGCTTCATATCTCGGTAGGGGTAGCATTGCGAGACATGTGAGACATTCTTTGCCAGAACCTTCTCATACAAAGCTCTGCGGCCAACGTGATGACCCACTGACAGTGAACCCAAAGTGTTACCATGATATGATTGCTTGCGAGCGATAAAATTGGCGCGCTGGGGCTGGGGTGTGGGTAGCTCCATAAAGTACTGAACTGCCATTTTCAAAGAAGCTTCCACAGCTTCGGTGCCTATGAACAGAATTCAAGGTTAGAGCAGCGTATCTGAGAGATCAACGTTCAAGACTTACCTGAAGCCACAATGAATGCTCGAGACATTTTGCCTCCAGTTGAATCAACCAAGAACTTGCAAAGATTTTCCATCGCGCTGTTGGAGAAATACAACGCATAGCAGTAGGAGACTTTCTGCAGTTGCTCCTGAATGGCTTCGTGCACTCGCTTATCATTGTGTCCAAGACAGGACACCGCAGCGCCGCAAGTGGCATCCAGAATCTCCAATCCAGTATCTGTGATGAGGTAGCTTCCCCTACCGCCGACAATGTTGAGAGGCTTCTGGCGAAGTTGGCGGTAAAGAACACCACTTTCACCGTCGGAGACTCCATTCAGAGCTCCCTTGGTTTCAGTGATTTGCGCCGTAGGCAAGTCAGCTACATCTGGCTCGTAGTCACCCATATTGTAGGTATCCAAATTTATAAGACCTCAAGGTAGGAATATGTATCAATTGTATAAGGGAATATTGAAGGAGGGGTTAAGTATAAGAAGACGGGAAGGCAAAGCTCAACTTTATAGCACGCTCCCTGGTCCTGCCTTGCCACATGTACACCACTTCTCCTTCTCAACGGGTATCTTTACCCCAGAATCCAACCTAGTGAACCACACTGATTCGCTTTTTCCCGGTGACAGACGCGAGCCGCACGAGCATCAACGTATGTCTTATCGCGATAACTAAACCCAAAGAGGAAATATTTGTCGGACCCACTTGCATCAACGACGTTGTTGGTCGTCATGAGTGACGATAAGAGACGAATCACTCTGATCCTTGGAATACGCTCTATCAGTTACTTCAAAGTATATCGCTATGATTGGTTGATAGTCCCGACAATCGAAATGTGATTTGGTCCAAGTACCGACCTGCGGATGACATTCATTTGGTGCCCGCATCTAGATAAATCTGGTCCCGGACCGAGTCACTTCACATGTGGCTTTCCGTGGGAAGTTAATTGATCGTTTGATCGGATATAAGGTCATCGGCACTCGTAAGTACCATATGGATGGGGATTTGGCACCTAATCGGATTGAGACAATTGCTTTTGATGATTTAATGTTGAGCTGGTACTTAATGAATTGGCCTGTCTTTGATTTCAAGCAAGCAATGGTAATAATATATGATTTATTTATGGGAATATAGCCCCTCTCCTGTGAAACCACGTCTTGGTCGTATCAATTCCCAACAGAGTAACCAACAGCATTTTGCCAAATATGTCCAGATCCTCTGGCTGGGCACTCGTCAGAACCCAGGAGAAGTCCAAATTGCCCACGACATAATGTGGCTTTTCTGCCCACGCCACAGCGAAATCAAAGGCACTTTGAGCACTCCAAAGGTGGGATGATAGGTACCAAGAATGCTGAATGCCTAGTTTGCCATCGCAGACCAGACCAGAAGTGCCCTGAAGCACTTTGTATATTTGCATAAAGAAGAACGCGAGCAGAACGGTCCTCCGGGCGGATTCTTGGAGAACCCAGGAATCCCAAAAGCCGTGGACAGCATCGATGGATAGCGGCATTGGTTCTATGGAATCTGACGGGAGGGGAAGGTTTAGGTGGCTCAGAAGGGTCAGGACGGAAGACTCGAGCGATGTGAAAAGGGCGCCTGCTGTCGCTTGAGAGCGGATGTCACCGTCGAATAGTCGCATGACTTGGTAAAGAATCAAGGCTTGAACCCGCGCAAGTAGTTCGATAGTAGTAGTTGGTTCAGGGGTGGATATAAGGTCTATTATTCTTGCATCGAATAGAGCCATTATAACCGCTGCGTTTGCCTCGTTTTTGGACATATATAAAGAGCAGCAAGCAAAAGCATCTGAGAAGCATGAGTGAGAAGCTCCGAAGAAGTATTCAATGAGAACATACCCTGCATTGTCCGTGGCATATAATTTTGATAAAGTTTGGGGTGACACCATGGTGTTTGGTTTTCAAGAACCATCATTTTAGGTGATTGTGCAATAATGTCGATCGCGAACTGAAGGTTGTTCGCGATTATTTCTGGCAAAGGCCTTGGTTGTCTTGCTCGTGGTATAGCTAGGTCAAAATTGGGGCCCACATTAACCTCTCGATCAGGATTCTCCATATAAATTCCAGATAATTGAGACCATTGATTGTGGCAACTTGGAAGTGAATCCACTAGGCCTGTCATGGCCGGGAAAGTGGCGGATTGGGGATATAGATCCAAGCTTGGCTGAATTTGGCAAGTTGCATTAGAATTCCCTTGGAGATCACCCGCGAAATTAGTTAATTGAGGGGCCTCGGACAAATTCTCACATGGCTGTCGCCACGGATAGAAGCAAACCACACCCCGGTAAATACACCGGGAGCAAGCCGGGAGGCCGAGGTCACAGCGCCGTTTTGCGGTCTTGCATGCTTCGCAAGACTTCCGCCGCGGCAGGGGGATCGACTCGTACGTCATGGTCTATCGGCGAGTGGAGTGGAAGGCACGGCGGTTCGCTTTGCAAGCTAAGACTCGATTTCGGTTTAGCTTACGGAATTCCGCAATCCGATGTGGGCCTATATTTTCCGTTGACCAATCAGAAGAGACTTGTTATTTAAGGTGATGGGGAGTTCCGCAATCTAAACTTGGAATTCCACATGCTGAGCACGAGGTATCAGACTCGGTCAAGATCAAAAGGACATATTTGGATCACTGTTAACATTTAAAAGGCCGTCGATGACCATTCTTCGACTGTAAGATCACGGTCTACAAGCATTCCAATTCATCCTTTCCATTCTCAACTATGCCTTCACAGTCCGTTTTCGTCTGCGGTGCGACCGGTACTCAAGGTGGCGCCTTAACAAACCAACTCCTGGGCAAAGACATTAGCATCAACGCTATTACTCGAAACATCAACTCCACCGAAGCTCAACGCCTGGTCTCCCTTGGCGTATCCCTGACTGAGGGCGATTTCGACGACGAAGAATGCCTCAAAAAAGCCATGGCCGACTGTACCAGTCTCTTTCTCAATCTGCGACTCGACTTGACCCAGCCTACCGCCGAGCTTGACCAAGCTCGAAAGATTATCTCGGTCGCTAAAAAGGCCGGCATCAAACACGTCATCTACACCAGTGCCTTGGCAACCAACAGCCCCGAACGACTACCCCACTGGACTCCATCCGGCATTATAGGCATGCTTCTCCTCGGGAAACAAGCCATCGAGAACGAAGTGAAAGCCGCCGGATTCGAAACGTGGACCATTTTACGTCCCGGGAATTTCATGTCCAACTTCTTAGACCCACTGGTTCGAATGTACCAGGGCCTTGTCGAAACAGGCAAATTTACGACTGCCTTTCTCCCGGACACTATCATCCCGATGTCCGACCCTAACGACATTGGCAAGTTTGCCGCTGCTGCCATTCTTGAGCCAGCCAAGTTCAATCATCAGGAGATCGAGACCGTATCCCAGATGATGACTGCCAAGGAGATTGTGAAGGATCTATCTGCAGCCACTGGGAAGGATATCCGAGCGGTGTTCTTGTCAGAGGAGGAAATCACCGACCAACTTCCAAAGAACCCGATTCTTGGTCCACAAAAGGTGATGCGAGATCTTTCAATGTTTGTGGAAATGAAGAACGTACAGAAATGGGGGATTGAGCTGGGAACCTTTGCTGGATTTTTGGAGCGAGAGAAGGAACGGGTGGACAGGACATACCTGTAAATATTGACGAGGTATCACCGAGAATATCATGGACTTGTTCCTCCCATAAAAGCTGAATCGTTACGAGTCAAGCACTGCTCATTGATGGCAACTCTTTGTACTGACGGAGTCGAATGATCAACAATCAAAAACGCGGCGAATACCTATCCTCCCTTCTTTGACCGCCACCATGCCATCAATCCTCATCTAATCATCTCGTAGCATCCTTACTGTGACCAACGGCCTTCCCCGAGATCTCGCTAGTAAGCTGAGTGAGCGCTAAGTAAGGTCATATCCAGACGTAATTAATGATCACCTGAATGGCTCAGGTGACAGCATAAAAATAGCGAGGAAGATCTAAAACGATCGTGGCGCAAGGCTCTTATAATGATCCGGGCTTATACTCCGCAGTGTGGCTTACGGCTTACCCTATCCGCCACTTCCGTATGCCGCTGCTACTGGATAAACGCGCTTGGCTCCAGGCCACCCGGCACTAGGCCAAAGCCAAGTCTAAATCCAATGGGTATCCACGATCCTAGCGTGGTGAATCAATTATTAGAATCAGTGGCACTGCAAGGACCCTGAATACACTGATTGGTGTAACCAAGGGGTGCAAGATCCGCATCTAACTGAAAAATGGGGGGCCTTCGTGCATCTAACCGAGACATCTTACCGAGATCTGCGAGACTTGGCAAATCACCTGCTCTCAACCATAGTTGCTTTGAAACCTTCCTGCGTCGACCCTGGAAAATCAGGGCTGGGTCCTGGGGTTCCTGGGCATAAAACCCCAGGTTCTTCTACCCTAGCATTTCATTCAACATCAACATCACTCTCGTTCATACCACTATTCTTTAACTTTTACCTTCTCCAGTACAATTATTTTCGCTATTTGCATTTAATTACCATCATGCAATTCCTTTTCTCCCTCGCTGCATTTGCCGGTCTTGCTCTGGCCCAGAATGCTCATATCGGACTGCCCAAGGCTGGCCAGACGGTCGCCGCCGGCAGCGATGTCATTGTTCAGGTCCAGCGTCCCGTATGTTGATACCGATCAGTCTTCCAAATTTCTTTCTAATCAAGCATCTAGAACTCTTTGACCAAGTCGGAGGAAATGGCCATTGCAATTGGTTTCGCCTCTTGTGGCAGTGGAGGGTGCCATCCCGCCGATGAAGTCATGGGTACAGTAGTTTACAACGGAAAGTTTAACCCTGTATACCACGAGACCTACCTACCTCCATACCAGAACTTCACCGTCACTGTTCCCTCTTCATTTAAGGCAGGCAATGCCCAGGTCAACGTGGCCCATGCCACTCTTGTCGGAGTAAGTGTTATTCTACTATCGGGATCTGCTTTCACTGTACTAACAATCTATCAGGCCGGCTTGTACCCCGATATGGAGACTTTGAACCAGACCATTATCATTTCCTAAGTACATAAGTTCATGCTCTGCCATCTAGGCACATGATATGATCTGTAAATCTTGTCTTCATTTGTATCTGTTGTTTTTTCTGGAAATAGTTTTAGAATATACAAGCCCGTCCATGATTCAATGCAATCTGAATTCCATCCTCATATCCTGTTCTTCTTCGATTTGAATTCAGAGTTATGCAGGTTTCGTGGTGGGTTAGCCCAGGCTAAGCCATCAGATACAGAAGAATAAATCACCCACTTGAGCGCTGAACCAAATCTGGACAGGTACTGGAACCAACTCACATGTCTTGCGTTTTTCATCTATATCCACCACGAAGCCCAACATATATACCATGTCATATAGCTCTTCGATAGATTTTACTTTGCTCCAACAGAATAGTCTCAGTAGCTCCATTCATCGCCTGATGCCACAACCAACGAAACAAATATCACTCGATCAAGTTTCACCTACCAGAAAGTCAAATTTAAGACTCAGAGTCCTCCGTAGTACCTATGACAAAATGTGTGACACCAGGTCTAGATTAGCAATAAGAGCAGTATTACACCGTTCAGGGCCGTGTTACCGGGAACACAATCGCGTCCCCAACACTAATGGTAAACTTCAGACAGGGGTTTCCTTGCTATCAATTACGGTGTTCCGTACAGATAGGTCGTACTGCCATGAAATACGACATGTGCCTCGTGTGTCGCTGCATGGTAATGGGTGTGGCTGCTAGTTCCTCTTTGTCCATTTTCCAGTGGCCTCCTTTTACCCACTCGTTTTGCTTACAGGTTGCTAGTGCTTTCTCAAAGTTTACATATATCGAAACATTTCGGGAGGCGACAACGGTAGACTATGAATCTGGCGAGTAAGCTGTCTGCTGAATATGGAATGTTTCTGGACGGACCTGGGTCGCTATCATGATGGGAGTGTTTTGTCGACTGGGCCTCGATAGAGGTGGAAGGAATCAAGGTGAGATTTAGATGGGAGGCTCACGGCGTATAAGTGGGTTCATAAACCGCTCCGTATATGCGGAGGACTTGACAGCTAGCCGATTCTATGCATTACCTACAGGATCGCTATTCGGGAATCGATCGCTTGAGTACTAAGTCAATATTGTCGCGCTCAAGGGGCCATCTGAGGTGTTTAATTTAATGAACATGCGGGGATCGATCATTAGAGGATGGAACCTCGTCTTTGTTTCGTTTTGGATCGGATTCTCACTCGGTGACCAGGGTCCGAATGATAAGAAGCTTTTCGGCGTGATAATGGCATACGCGGTAGAGGAAAGTATCAGAAATAGGAGCTTGTTAGCAAATATAATGCGAAAGCATTGCTAAACTGCTAAAGATTGGATGATGTAAAAGCTCTCGAGTCGACCGCAGCGACCAGTACGGCATAGGGTTGATCTGGACAGTCAAGAGGACCTTCTCAGATGCATGTCATAGACCGGTGAATAGACGGTGACTGTTTATCGGGGCAAAATGCAGTGCTTCAAGCTGGACTGCTATATCTGTCATCGATAGTTCGGATCTGAAGAGGAGACTCCATATATTTAGCCATCGGGTAATCAAGTTTCTCGTGGAAATTCAAATCATATTTATCGTTCTGGTCACAACCACCAAATAAGCATCGAGGTGGCGTCTCTAGGCCATTCTAGTTATTTATTGAAAAATTGGAGGACTGATGCACTCCACCATGTGCACTCCAGATGCTGATCATGGTATAGGGAGATGGACACCAGCAGAGTCCCACATAGCGGGCTCCATATGTAGCTTTCAAAAGCTCAAAGAATGTCAAGGTGAGCGTATCTGCCACAAATTAGGTTTTCATGACATATACTCCATGATGTCCGTATGTTGTAATTGTGCAGATGGCTACAAAGATCCACTTTGGAGTCACCGCGATCGGGGTTTGCCGCACCAAGGCCGATCTAACTTGAATGAGCTCCCGAGGTCACCGCTAATAAGTTCCGGCCAGTGTCCTACAAAGCAAGATGATTGACCCCACAGACTATCACCCATTTTTCCTCCGTGGAGCCCAGACTTGCGTTATTTTTGACCAACTTGCACGAGCGGAGTGGACAGGAGCCAATGGAAGCCATACAAGAGTTCAGATCTGCCGGAAGTGGGGGCATTTAGCTACGCCACCAAGAGGAGAAAAGGACAGGTCAATTCACGAAATTGACCAGGTTCACGAGGTCCTCCGCTCCAGATTGGTACCTTGTCATTGCGAATGTCCTTTTTTTTAGCTTGACTGACCCTTGGAAAGTCGACGGGAAAGGATCGAGCCGCGGAAAACGGAACCAACCCCTCGATTTCCACAGGAGCATGCGACCCCCACAGACCCATCGGTCCGGAATCTTGGAACAGCTCGGGAAGTATCATACACGTACTGTAAACAAACCCATTGACTGTGTGAGTGGAGAACGGAAGCATGAACCTGTCAGGAACTCGGAGATGCAAGATCCACTGTTCGTCTGCGCAGCTAGTGCGATCGCCTCGTCAGATCCGTGCGTTCTTCGCCAATTGCCACAACAAGGTCTGATTTTTGAAGAACTGGTTTCTCATGATTGACGTGTTCGTCCGAATGCTAACCTGTGCATGCCCGAGGAAGTCAAAGATGCTTGTGGGGAATATCTCTGTCTATCTTACTCTCTACAGTACAGTATGCAGTCGTATACCCCACTCGCCATGGAAGAAAAATCAGGAATCGTAATATTACAAGTTCGTCATGACTCTGCTGTCGTTCGTTTCAACTGGATCTCCAGCCCCTTTGCCCCTATCGGTAAATTGGCACCGTCGTCATTCTGATCAAAATACAATCGCCAAATTTCACGCCCGTCGATTCCCAGCTCCTTCTCTGCTTGCTCCTGAAGCTCATCCTCGGGCAACCGGACTGCCAGCCACCCTTCCCATCCCTCAAGCGTAATATGTTGCTCATCTTTTGTCCAGTCAAAGGGCCCACAGATATGGCCTTCGGAATCCGGACGACCACCCCAGCGCATTTCATGCGTGTTGGCATCTAGAAAGACCCAGCGAAGAGTAGGGGCCTCTTCGCCACTGATGGTTACTATACCTGACGTGTTGTTTGGTGGGAAGTCAGGATGTGTATAGAATCCCCCATTAAAAGGCACCATTGTGGCGCTAGGATGTTTGGTGATATAGAGCTGCACAATACAAAAGTACCATTAGTTTATCTTTCGCCTTCAGCCTGTTACCTGCACCTCGGAACTTACTTTGCCGTCTAGACCCACTTGGACCTGGGCATTGTGCACCTGTGACCGCATCTCCGGAGTGCCCTGGGTGATGGAGCAGGTGGCCACTAGGTGAGAGCGCTGCTTGCGGGCCGAGGTGCGACGAGCCTCCTCCTGATCTCGAGATCCCTGAGTAGCCTCATTCATACCAATCATAGTTGGCAGCATAGCCGCCATCATGGCGATTCCGATCACCATGGTGCAGAATTAGGCACGGGAATGAGCTAAATTGCAGGTGTGTGTGTTACAGAAAGAATTTGTGGGTGTCTGGCGTATAACAGATAAATACAGGGCTTTTCAGCTCCCGTCAGTGGAGATGCGCAGATTGGCACCATAGGTGGATACGATCTAAGTGGGTATAGATCCCACTTGGTGCCGTGGATTGCATCATCTTTTCTGCAACTAAACCAGACGAGCAGTTCGATAAACAGAGCACAGACGGTGGTGCTGAGATGCTTCTCCACTGGAGCTGATCCCCTAACAAGCCCACGTTCAGCTGTGACCTCAACACGGGCTGGGAGGAGGTTGAAATAGCTCAATGGTGTCGAATAAACAGCCGTCCTGTTTCCCCTGACCCATACTCTTTTTTTTCTTTCCTCATTCCTTCCTGCGCCTGCTTTTCTCCAGGGTTATCTTATTTTCCCTGCATTTTCCACACCCCGCCCACCCTTCTCTTAATCAACCGACCTGCCCATTTTTCTGAAATGGCTGACACCAGGTATCTCTCTCAATTTCTTTGTGTTATCCTCCCCCGAATTGATTCTGCTCTCGCCATCTGGTTTCTTTATTTTGTACACCATTCTCACCCTCCATCCATGGCCCAAAAATCAAAGAAGATCAAGAACAAGCCGAGGCCTCCGCCGGCCCCAGGCTCCGTTCGCGAGGATTCTCCTCAACAGGATGCTCCTGTAGAGGATGCACCTGCAGAGGACCCTGCTGGACAGGATGATTCTAAGCCTGGGGATCCCCCGTCCGAGAATCCTCCACTCGAGGAGCAAGCTGCTCCCTCTGAGAAGGAGGATACCTCACCCGGACAGGAGGATCCCACACCTGCAGAGCAGGTCCCAACCCCAGGGCAACAAGAGTCTTCATCTGGGCAGCCAGATCCTCCAGCAGAGAAGCAAGATGCTCCAGCCGAGCAGGATTCTCCAGGGCAACCCTTCGCTAACTCTCCTCCGCCACCTAGTGCTCCTACCACGGACACCCGTCCCCAGGGCGGCCGCAGGCCTGATGCCACCGGCAAGGTCGGCGAGCTTGCCGAGACCGTTCCCAACGCCGGCCTCCAGATTCCCGGTGCTCCCCAGCAGGAGGATGAGAAGAGCAGCTTGAAGATCAAGATCCACCTCAACATCCACGCCAAGGTCCGCCTCGATCTCGATGCCCAAATCTATGGTGATGTTGTCATTGGTCTGCTGTAAGGAGCGGAGGAAGTTAGTCAGGTACGTATGCCTCGTGAGTCCGGTAATGAGAGCTATGCTGACAATTGTTGAATTAGGTCATGTACTGGGTTGCATTGTTTACCCACAAGGACAGATGAATGTATATAAATGATCGTCATGCTGGGTATGATCTCTTTCCAGGCTGTCTTCGGAATTGACGAGCCTTGGCTTGAAATATTTTCTCTTTCCACCAGTAGAGAGCGTTCTATGATCCGTTGTTTTGATTTCATTTCTGCAATTGGCAATTCAGAGAACCTTGTTGCGACAGGGACCTTTCCAAGCTTGTTTAATTTGGCGTTTCGGGCTGTCCACACCTGAGCCTTGATCGATGCATTCGAACGCCTTATCATACATCTTGCCTTAATTCCAGGTCTTGTAGACTAAGCTGTAAAACGCCCCTAGCATTGAGGATGTTTCAATGAGGTCTGGTCTTGACGCCGGTTGGTTCTACATTATCCCTCAATTCCTCACGAGTCTTTCCCTCCTGAACATATTGCTCCATGTTCACCATGGGAGCTAGACTCCAACCTCGGGTCTAAGTTAGCGTTGCATCCACCAAGGCACTTTGGTTCTAGGTCCAAACTTTGCTCTGCAACGTTCTCAATAAATTCCAATTCAAGCCCAGCATGGAAGAAGGGTCAGCTACATCAAACAAAATTCCATAGAACTAGCTCATACCAAGAAGGCCTCGATTTTCACAGTTACGACAGCGGTCGCTGGCTCCGAAGTGAGAAACATGGGCCTGCTCATACGCTTCATTGATTTCGATTTCGAAGCAATGTGCTCCAAAATTCTCGAGCTATCTGGAAAATAATATCTACTTAATTGTGAAAAGATAAAAGGCTGCTCTAACCGAGCCTTTATCTTCACCTTCAACGACAACTGGCGACTTGTAGCCAAACTACCATTCAGAGTTGCCGGCCCGGCAAAACTCACCACAGCATCTGAGATTGCTTGTATTAAGTGCCTTAGGACATACCCATTCAAGTACCGTAGGACATGCCCACTCGCACCAATTTTGACATGATAAACACTTATTCTCTCAAGTTCAGTAACTAACAAACATTCCCATCTCACAGATGCTGGATTGGAGCGCCGATGTCTCAACTCCCATTGGAAGCGAGTATATCACCACCGAACATGCAGGCGGGGTGTCAGTCTGGAAGAAATAGTCGTTCATGATAGTGAACCAGCGAATCCGATTTATCGAGGCTGTGTACGAGCAGCTGAAGAAGGTAGTCAAACTGAACTCCCCGCCTACGGAAGCATCGATTTTGACGACGAGCATGTCAAATTTTATCCTACAAAGGCCCTCAAAGATGGTTTCTGTATTAGATCACACTGATGGCCACGGGGAGTGTGGTTAGTATTGGGAAACCAGGCTGGACGAAGGCTGAGGCAACAACTTTTTGCATGAGAGCCCTGATTGAATTAGGGCAGCCATAACCCAAAATTGGATGGTCTATCCCTGGTGTGTATGGATCCTAAAGCAGGGATATGCTTGTTGAATGAGTACATTGTGAGCGGGCGTGTTTTTCTCCTTCGCCTGTTTTTCTCTTCAAAAATGACAAACGACGAAAATATGCCTCGCATGTCTATTCATTGTGGAAGCCTGTGTGAAAATCATTCCAAACGAAGGAGAGAAGGAAACTAGTATAATAAAGTAAGTGTCAAGGTGATGTGACCGTATAGCGATACAAGTCCAAATTTCTGAACGAAAACATACTAGTACTATCAATACCGCAACAGAATAGTGCTTTCCAGGACAAAAAGAATCACAACGAAGTCGGAAAATTACCAAGCTCTTCCTCACGACTTCCTTAGCCTCAGAGCGCCATAAGAATAAATATCATGGTCAGACAGATTGGAACCCGTGGTAGGGTTTTCTTTGCGAGACTCAGCTCAATCTCGATTCACAGCTTTTGGCGTCGTCAGCTCATTTTCAATAACTGCCATTCGATTATTTATTTCGCGCCACTCGAGACCCGCGCTTCTCTGGTTTCGCCATTTCAAATAGTTTCCAAGGGCCATCGAAAGGCCTAGTAGAATAAGCCCCGGCTGCGCAATGGACCGTGCAGCGACAGTAGCTTGGTGGATTGGCATTGTGCATTGCCTCTAGTAATGCAAATCGACTGTACTTTTGAACTTCAAAATCAAATGTTCAAAGGGAGTAGAGATGAGAAAAATACTTTCACGGGCGAGCTTTACAAAATACAGAAATGTATGATGGGAAGTAAGATAATCGCACTAAACCAATTGCGTAGCTGATCGATCCAAACTGGATGCGGCTTGGGTATAGCAAAGTCACCATGAGGTGGAAGGCGTTGGCCTTTTCACTTCCACTGATCATCTAGGATAAGGATACTCTAGGTAGACCAAACGCAATGAACCCTGAACAACAAGAGACTAGAATCAGTTCAGCGTGGTAGTATTGGGTACACCCAAAGTACCTAATTCCTCACACTAGGCTACCCCAAGACTTGAACATATGGGCTATTACTGTGCTTGATCCATGTGATGCTGACCTCGGAGTCTCATGTTTTCTTGCCTATGTTGAAAAGTTTCCATGTACAAAAAGAGTCTTATGAGGTACAGCTATGGAGTTTACTTGGGATATGGTTTACAAAGTATGCAGTAAGAGTCAAAACAATTTTCCATCACGAGTTGTATTTCCAAAGCTAAGATATACCACCTGTACAGTCTCTCCTCACAAAGGAAGAAACCATATACATCAAGTCGGGAAACACCTGGGCACTCGATTTCTCCATTCCGACTCCGTAACGCCACAGTCAACCTTGGAATGGTCCTCGACGGCCAGGGGTGGCAAACCAAATTAAAGGTCTTCTTGCGATGGACCCAACTTATTCTTGATCAGCGCTTTTAGGCCTCGCCATTTTGGTCTCAATGTTTGACATTCTATTTTGCATTTTGCACCGTTCATCATCGAGGTCAAATCCGGACGGATTGTGGTAGACAAAAAAGGTTGACAAACCCATCAGAAGAGCAGTGGTGACTAGAACGGACTGGTTCATCGTAATTCGAGGCATTGGCATTGTGTAATTTGATCAGAAATATATGTTGTAGCTTTAGAATCGGCAATAAAATGATAGGAGTAAAGATGGTGAAAAATGCTTTCACAGGGGCTTAAAACATATTGAAGCATGACATACTAAACCTATTGCGTGGTCAACCGACCCCAAACTAGATGCGGGATAGTTGAAGCGACGTAGCCGTGAGATGTGTAATGATCTCGGGTTGCTCAGTCAGCCGAGAATTCTTGTATAGATAGACTCTAGTCTTTTTGGTGGATGGGATATTGTTTACCGAGTTGATGGGGCGCATTGAAGCCAGAAAACTTCTCGGGGATGGTTTTGATTTATTAGTTACCTGAAGGACTGACCTAAAAGAAATCAACAGATTATACAACAATATGGTATAATCAGTGAACTACATGTGGATTGCATGACCAACTGGTTGTGTACCCCACATCAACTACTACACAGCCTCAACTTCAGCCCTGTCCAGTCTGGGCACGTCATTTAATTTCGTCATCTGCTGACTTGATCTTTTTCACCTCTACAACTACCTACTCTTCTTCTCAGACATGGGTGTAAGTGTGGCCTTTTCCTCCCGAACAACTACAGCCCTGACCTTCATATTCAGTTCGCCTCCAAAATTGCCGCGACCCAGAACAGTCAGACCCAAAACCCCCAAGGTCAAGGTCAAAATATGCCTAGCAACCAAGGCACCTACGGTGGTGCACCGCCAGCTGGATACACTGGGGGGCCGCCTGCAGCGCTGCGGCCTGGTGGATACGTAAGTCTGATCAGCTGCGATGAACTCGACGTCATGCAATGTTTACAGTGAACTGACCGAAGAAAAACCAGTCGCAACAACAACAACCCCAACAACCGCAGTACCAGGCTTATGCAGGATCCCCACCTCCAAATCAGGGATCGGTAAGCATTGTTTTGTGATTTTATTCTTCCTCTTGCACCTCCCCTATCACTTTTTCGATTTCGGTTCTTTTGGTCTTTTTTCGAGTTTACCCCTCCACGCGCTTTCCGGGATCCCAACTCCCACCATGTCGGACCCCTACTACCGACAGGGTCCTGGATACCCTACGTACGGCGGCTCACCAGCTCAACAACATCAGCCTTATCATGCCCCTTCCCCGGCTGCGACCCCCTATTCAAGGCCACCTCCGCAGCAAGCTTCCCCCTACCCCGCATCCCCTCAGCAGGGCGGCTATGCACGTCCTCCGCCGCCGCCGCCTACAGGCCAACCCTACGGATCTTCGGGATCGCCGTACCCTGGACAACAATCCCAATATCCGGGACAACAGTCTCCATACTTGGGGCAGCAACCACAACAGCCAGTGCAGCAGGCTCCCCCTTTGCGCGACCAACAACAACCTTCCTATCCTGGACAGCAACCGCCCTACCCTGGACAACAACAACCATACTCTGGACAGCAACAGGCCTATTCCGGACAACAGCCACCATACCCTGGACAGCAACAAGCCTACCCTGGACAACAGCCTGCCTATGTACATATCAGCCCCCATGTATCTTGTGCTACGTTGTGCTTACGTGTTTCTGCGTTGAAGTCTCCAAGGAATATGCCTTCAAGATTAGTGCTGACTGAAAATAGAATCAAGGACCTTACCCACCTCAGGGAGCTCCGTATCCCGGTGGCCAGGGCCGCCCTGGACCTTCCCCGGGACCACCTGGACAGTATGGTGCGCCCGGTGGTGGTCCCCCTCAGCAGGCTGCCCCACCTACCCAACAACAGGTCGCAGCTTATCGTCAGCTGTTGATCTCCACCATCCAGGAGAAGAATCTCCAGAGCTTCTACCCACCCGAACGTTTGGACCGACTGGTGCAGTCACTGGCCAGCAATGCGCCAGCTAAGTTGCAGAATCTGATCCACGAATGGAATGTGCCTATGGAGGTGGCTACGGACGTGATGAAGCTGGCGCTGTTCGATGTCATTCTATATGTGGATGATAGCGGATCTATCGAGTTTGAAGAGAAGGGACTGCGGAAAGATCAGCTGCGCCAAATTCTTGGGATCGTAGCTACTGCGGCCGCCACCTTTGACGAGGATGGTATCTCGGTGCGATTCATGAACTCCCCAGAGATGGGGGATGGAATTCGCAATGCCAACGACGTCAATGCGCTGGTTTCTCGTGTTCGGTTCTCGGGATTGACGCCCCTTGGTACCAGCTTGAAGAGCAAGGTCATCGACCCTATGATCGTCGGCCCTGCCCGCGCAGGCCGTCTTGATAAACCAGTGCTGGTCATTACCATCACTGACGGTCAGCCCGCCGGGGAGCCTCACAGCAGTGTGAACGATGCCATCCGTCATGCGGTTGACGAGACTTCGCGCACTCGTTACGGCCGTGGTGCAGTTTCTTTCCAGTTTTCGCAGGTGGGCAATGACCAACGGGCGCGTGAGTTCCTGGGTGATCTCGATGAGGATCCTCAGATCGGTAGCCTGATTGATTGCACGTCGAGTAGGTGTGCCACGATCCTATGTGACCGTTTCCAGATTTTAACGTTTTGAATGCAGACTTCGAAGTTGAGCAGGACGAGATGTCGCGTGCCAACCCTCCGGTGCATCTGACTCGAGAGCTTTGGGTTTGTTTAACCCCGTTCACTTGAATCTGAGAACATACTGATTGTTTCCTATAGTGCGCTAAACTGATGCTCGGTGCGATCGACTCTTCTTATGACACCAAGGACGAGAAAGCTGCTGGACGTGCTGGCGGAGGCCCGCCTCCCCAGGCTCCTTATGGTGGATACAACCAGCAGCCGCCTGGCGGTCAACCTGGGTATGGGGCCCCACCATCTGGATACCAGTCTGGGCCTCCTCAAAACTCCTACAGCCCTCAGCCCGGATATGGCCAGGCCCCTCCCCAGCAGCAGCAGCCTCCGTATTCAGGCGCCAACCGTGGAGCTCCTTATGGGCAACCCCAGCCCTATGGCCATCCATCCGCTGGAGGAGCCGGAGGTTATCCGCCACCACCGCGTCGCTACTAGGAGTGACGTCATATCCACTTATCGCTTCTTCTTGGCGCGTTCTCGAATTTTTCATCTTCCCCACAATTTGCCCATGGGAAATATGTAAGGCCAAATAGAATGGCAGGAATTTGAGGCTAAATAGTATCCTTTTTTCAGCCTTTATATTTAACCGGAAATCCACGCAATCAGTTCTCCAATTTGAGCAGGGAATGGGCGCACGCACGGAGCGCCTGTTAATTAGCTTAGGCCGTCGAACTTGTCCTAGTGACTATACTAGTTAGTAGTTCCCCTCCCAACAACCCAAGCCCAAGAACGTAGCGATCAGCCCCTTTTCAACCAAGGAAATTCTCATTCATGACGGAAGGGAACCCCACCAGCCCGAAGAAGTCGTACAGAGGGAAAAGGTACGCGTACTGTAGAGCTGAACATGGGACATGTAGATTTAGCCTTGCCACCGAAGTTTTAATTTAGAAAAACGTTTTAGGCTCCACGCTAAAGACTGGGTTTGGTTGGCTAAGTGTCTGGATGCAGGAGCCATGGTTGCGGAGAGGACTTGGTGGCTGTGTTTTGTCGCAAGCACATGGCAGATGCAACCATCATTTGCGCACACGCAGTGGATCCCTTCTGTACCACGAATCTGGACTTTCCTGACTTTTGACAGGCTCCAGTTTTCCATTCGCCTCTGTTCAACTTAATTTCTACTTTCTTTCCCTCTGGTTTAGCGTGGCCTTAAACCGCTTTTGGAGGGTTTGCCGCATTCGGTGTTGCGTTGCCTCTCTTGTCAACACGCCTTCGCTATTTTCTTCACGCAATATCGATGTTGACACTGTTCTCCTTTGAATAATCGACCCCGAAGAGTACCTTGTGTTGGTTCCTTGCGTCGACTATCGTTCCTGCGGTTATAGCCACCCCTCGTTATATACCGCGATATCGAACTCTTCTGCCATGTGCTGAGCAGAGCGACCAAAGAGAGAATGACCAATGTTTTGAACACCTCCAGTTCGCACATTCGCTCAATTCCTTCCTAGCAAGATACGGGGGAACAGAACACCTAGAACGATCTAGAGGAGAAGGGGACAAAAGGCCGATCGAAACCCTGTGAGGTAATCGATCTTCGATTTCGCGCAGGCACGATCTCACATTCCCCGCCATGTCCAACAATGACGAGCCAACCGATGGCTCTCGACAGTCGCAGGACATTGTGCAGCGACCATCGCTCGTTTCGTCGCGTACCATGTCCGACGTGGGTCGCCGTTCCTTCCAACATGTGCGATTTTCCACCGATCTCGAACGCCCCGTCGCCGAAGAGCAGCCAACCACCCCCAACGACGACCGACGCCCCAGCTCTCGCGGCCTAACAATTAACACGGCGCTGGCGCCTCCGAATGTCCCACAACCAGCTCGCTCGCCCACCTCCCCACTCTCCCCTAATACCGGTCCCAATCCCCGCGCCACACTCTCTCCGACATCTCCACCAGGCACTGACTCCAACGGTCGGTCACGGTCGCGAAACCGTGGATACTCTTTGCGCCGGTCTCTTTTCAACAGGAATATTCTATCGCAGCCAGAACAAGATGACGTGGACGCAGCAGAGATGGGAGAGGCCAAGGGCACCAGCCCGGTACGGGAAGAGGGACCCGTTCTTGCACCGCCGACGATGCCTAGCCCTGTGGAAGAAAAGAATGATTTGACTGTCGCACCGACCGCGACCGTCGAATCGGACAAAGAAGCTGCCTCGACGTATTTCTCCTCGGAGAATTCTGAGCATGGCTTCAAGAAGGATCACTACATGACAATTGCGCAGGAAAAGTGGTCGAGCAAGAAGGCGGAAATGGCCGTACTCTCAGATCGCTTCGAAGCATTCCTGATGAAGGTTCAGCATTTCATTTTGCGCATCAAGGAGATCCCGCCTACGCAGAATGGCCGCCATATCGATCTGAACCCCTCTTTGGTGGAGACTTATCTTGATGAGCGCACGGGGAAACCTTATACTGAGAATTGGATTCGATCGAGCCGCTACAGCTTTTGGAGTTTCTTTCCGCGCCAACTGTTCGCGCAGTTCACCAAATTGGCCAATTTCTACTTCCTGGTCATCGCTATCTTGCAAATGATCCCTGGGCTGAGTACCACTGGTACCTACACGACTATTGTTCCGCTCTTGATTTTCGTTGGTATCTCTATGGGTAAAGAAGGGTTTGATGACTGGCGCCGGTATCGTTTAGACAAGGAAGAGAACAACAGCTATGCGTCAGTGCTTCGGGCTACCGATGGACTCACAGAGGAAGATACAGAAGGAACCGCAGTGGCCAATGGCTACTATGACTGGGTCCAAATCAAGTGGCAGGATATTCGAGTTGGAGATGTCATCAAGCTGCACCGCGATGAGCCTGTCCCCGCCGATATTGCCTTGCTGCATGCCAACGGTCCAAATGGCGTAGCCTTCATCGAGACAATGGCCCTTGATGGAGAGACCAACCTGAAGAACAAGGCGCCGTGTCAATCGGTGGCCAAGGTGTGCTCCACTGAGGAAGACATCACCCGCAATGAGCTGCACTTCGTCGTAGAAGATCCGAATATGGATCTTTACAAATTCGATGGCCACGTTACTGTCAACGGGCAGGAGAAGCTGCCCTTGACAAACAACGAGATTGTCTACCGTGGAAGCATTCTGCGCAATACCGATCGCGCTATCGGTATGGTGATCTATACCGGCGAGGAATGCAAGATTCGAATGAACGCCAACAAGAACCCCCGAATCAAGCAGCCTGCTCTCCAGGCCAAGGTCAACCGCGTCGTCATGCTGATTGTGCTCATCGTCATCATCATGTCTGTGGTGTGCACAGTTGCCTACCGCTTCTGGTCGCAGGATGTTGAGAAACACTCCTGGTATCTTAAAAACGCCAGCGTGGCCTACGGTCCAGTTTTCACCTCTTATCTCATCATGTTCAATACTATGATCCCCATCTCGCTGTACGTGAGTATGGAGATCGTGAAGGTCGTTCAGATGTTCCTTCTCAACGACATTGACATGTACGATCCCGAAACCGACACTCCCCTCGAGGCACGAACATCCACTATCAATGAGGAACTGGGCCAAGTCAGCTACATTTTCTCCGACAAAACCGGTACTCTGACAAATAACTCCATGCGCTTCCGTAAGATTAGTGTTGCTGGAACGGCTTGGTTACATGACTCGGATCTCCAGGAAGAAGCTGCGCGTGAAGGCGAGAAACTCATTCACAAGAAGCGGACTGCCAAAGGCAAGAAGGCTATTGGACGGAAGTCCAATATCTCTGAAGCCCGCATGCCCCGTCCGTCCAATGTGTCTGCTGCAGACGTGCTGCGCCGCTCTACTCCTCACCGCACCACCGAGATGATCGAATACATCCAGCGCAAGCCATACACTATCTTTGCTCGAAAAGCCAGGCTGTTCATTCTGTCTATGGCGTTGTGTCACACCTGTATTCCTGAAAAAGATGAGGCGGGTGATTATACCTTCCAAGCTGCCTCTCCCGATGAACTTGCTCTCGTTTTGGCGGCTAAAGAATTGGGTTACTTGGTGATGGACCGACAGCCAAATAACTTGACTATCCGCACATACCCCAACGGCCCCGATGAGGCTGCTAGCGATGAGACTTACCAGATTCTGGATGTCATTGAGTTCTCGAGTGCACGGAAGCGTATGTCGGTTGTGGTCCGCATGCCTGACCAACGTATATGCGTGTTCTGCAAGGGTGCCGATACCTCTTTGATGCGTTTGCTTAAGCGTGCCGACCTGGCACAGGAGAAGGCGGAGGAGATCGCGCGTCGCACTAGCAAGCGTAAAGCCGCTGAAGCGAACCAAGTCATCCGCCGCAACAGCGATTATCACAGCCGGAAAGATAGTGGTGTTCGAAGCAGTATCAGTCGACCTAGCTTTACTCGCCGGCGCTCTTCCGTCTCTGGTCAGCATACGTCAGCTCTCCGTGCTAGCATTGATGTTTGGCTGCGTGACCGGGAGACAGATGGTGGTATCACCAACCGTGAAGCTGATAGCGAGTATTATTCTCCACGACCATCAGCGCAGATGTCCATTGGAAGAAACTCTGCGGTTATCTCGGATTCTGGCAGCTCTACAAACGGCGAGGAAGAAGAAGATCTTGTTGAAGAAGCCCTTGTGGTAAACGAGACCGCCATCTTTGAGCGGTGCTTCCAGCACCTGAACGACTTTGCGACTGATGGACTGCGTACTCTTTTGTACGGCCATCGATTCTTGGATGAAACTACCTACAACACATGGAAGGCTGCATACCACGATGCTTCTACCAGTATTATTGACCGACAGGAGAAGATCGAACAGGTTGGCGAGCAAATCGAACAACAGCTCGAATTGACGGGCGCTACTGCCATTGAAGACAAGTTGCAAAAGGGCGTTCCGGAGACCATCGACAAGCTGCGACGTGCCAACATCAAGTTGTGGATGTTGACCGGTGACAAGCGCGAAACTGCTATTAACGTTGGCCATGCTTGCCGTCTAGTCCGGGACTACTCGAAATTGACAATCCTTGATCACCAAAATGGTGATGTTGAACAGACAATCATTGACTTGACCAGCGAAATTCTTCGCGGTCGTGTCGCCCATTCTGTGGTGGTTGTTGATGGACAGACGCTCGCGACAATCGAAGCGAACGAAATTGTCCGAAAGCGCTTCTTCCAATTGGCTATTCGTGTAGACTCGGTGATCTGTTGTCGTGCCAGCCCCAAGCAGAAAGCGTTCCTTGTCAAGACGATTCGCACTCATCTCGACGATGCCATCACTCTTGCTATTGGAGACGGTGCGAACGATATCGCCATGATCCAGGAGGCCCATGTTGGTATCGGTATTGCTGGTAAAGAGGGCCTCCAGGCAGCGCGCATTTCAGACTATTCCATTGGACAGTTCCGGTTTTTGCAGAAGCTGCTTCTGGTTCATGGTCGATGGAATTATATGCGTGCATGCAAGTACACTCTTGGTACTTTTTGGAAGGAAATGCTATTTTACCTGACCCAGGCGCTTTACCAGCACACGAACGGGTACACTGGCACCAGTTTATATGAGTCTTGGAGTTTGAGTATGTTTAATACGCTCTTCACCTCTCTTGCTGTGATCTTCTTGGGCATTTTCACCAAGGACCTGGCCGCGTCGACACTGCTGGCTGTACCGGAACTCTACACCAAGGGTCAACGCAACGGCGGCTTCAATATTCGATTGTGGTTCGGTTGGTCGTTCATGGCTGCCTGCGAAGCGGTGATCATCTTCTTCACTATGTACGGCCTTTTCGGAATGATCCAAATCAACCTCAGTGATGTCGATACATTCGCTCTCGGCCTGCTCACCTTCACTACCTGTGTGGTGGTCATCAACACCAAACTGCAGGTCTTGGAAGTCCACAATAAAACCTACCTGAACCTCATCGTCATCATCATCTCCGTTGGCGGCTGGTTCCTGTGGAACATGATCCTCTCGAAACAATACAAGCTCAGTTCTGGAAAAGGAGTGTACGCCGTCCCCTCGAACTTCCTCCACCACGTTGGCCACAATCTCCTTTTCTGGGCCGTTCTTTTCGTCTCCGCCACGTCAGTCATCATGCTCGAAATGACAGTCAGCACCCTCCGCGCCCTCTTCTTCCCCACCGATGTCGACATCTTCCAAGAATACGAGCAAGACCTCGATATCCGCAGACGTTTCGAAGAAGCAGCAGCCACGGAACTCCAGCAGGGTTGGGATCACGGCACCAAGAAATCCAGTGTCGAGATTGCCCGTGAAAATATGGAGATGGATGCTCGTGAGCGTCATGTCCAGGAGTTGCTTGCTCGTCCGCGTGTCATGACCGAGGCTAAACCTGTTGCTCAGGAACATGAGCTCGAGGGCTACTCTAGTGGTAGTGCCAGTGTTAGCCAGGTCGGCAGCACTGCCCATGAGACAATCGAGAATAGCGTCGGTCTTGGACCTGTCTCACCTTCTGAATCCTGTGCCCCGCGCCGCTCTGTCGAGATTCACGAATTATTCAGTAAAGGCTTTGGTGCAATCCACAAAGGCCAACTGAAATAAGTCATGCTTGAATGAACATTTCCTAAGAGCGGCGTTGTCTATATGATGTACAGTGCTGTTTTTTTTTTCGTTTTCTTTCTTTGTCTTTTCCTTTTCATCATATCTCTCCCTTCATAGCGAGCGTCTATTTCCCTCGGTTCATTCCGACTTGATACCACTATCCATCTATCCTGGATATCCCCATTTCTCCCCTTCCGAGGAGAGGAATAAGAAGTCACGGCCTAAAAGGCGTTTATGTTTCATTTTTGCGCCATTGCTCTTGGTTGGGGTTTTTTTCTTTTATGCTCAGTCTCGCGGACAGACCTAGATACCCCGACTCAATTGGAAATCTGCTTTATTTGGAATCGATTCATCGTTGATTCTACGTTGATCTTTTGGAGTACGAGTATATAGACAGCGATAACTACAGTTCATACAGTTATTTTTATCCAAAGAATCTTAGAGGCTTTTCTAATGTAGACCTGACGTCAGCTACGGCGGCTTTGAACTAGTCACCTACGTAAGTATTTTGGCTAACTTAGCATGAGCATATCTCATAGTTACGTCGCTATATCTGTATCGCATCCATGTTGGGTCACTCAACCATCTGAATGGTTTAGTATGATTTTTAGACCCGTAAAAACACTTCCATTCATCCCTAATCCCTCCGAATACTGTTTTCACATTTCCACCCTCTGACTCACAAGCAATACCCATCCGTCAATCTACCATCATGCAGTCCCTCGCGTCAAGGAACTTTCCTTTTTATTTCATGTTATTTACGAATGCTATGGTTTGGCTAAAGTTGGGAATACTGCGTTCAGACCGGCACCAAATGCAGAATAGAATGACAAATATCGAAACTACATTCCAAGACTGGCGCGAGAATCGTCAATCGAGAATGCGCTGAACCCAGGAAACACGCCTAACTTGGGGTCAGATGTGTCAAGGATCGAGTAGAGGCGTTAGTGGAGTTGCGATGAAGAGCTTGATTGTCGACTCTTTGTCTATGATGGCGTTGATTATAGGGATAGGAGAATGTATCAGTGTATATTATTTAGGCTTGTAATGATATTGCTTCGACTCTTGCCTTCCCTCGAGTGCTCACACTCTGAACAAAAGAGTTCTAAACTAGTCTGCACAGGTGTTCTATCTAATTCTGTTGATGGTTTCCATCTGATTAGCAAGGAAATGGATGATTCACCGACTCTTCCTGCATCCCACCAAGTCGCCCTTCAAAGAACACGACGTGTGACCCGATCGACGCAAGGTGGATAGCTTTCCACTGTGAGTCCGCGGATTTGCCGGATCGGCCCCATCAAGCCGAGATGTGCGCCCTAACCATGGGTGCATTGCGCCAATGATTGGAACCCGGCATCCGAGCTACTGTTCTGGCCCCTGAACTGCTGACCTCAAAGAGATTGAAGGCACTGATGTCACTCGCAGGACGTGTTCAAAGGAATCTATTTGTAAATCATGTTCTCATACATTAGATGCGCTTCCTTTACCAACGCTACAATCTAGGTCTACGTGGTCTAGACTTCATGCACCGCTCTGTTTTATACTTTCTATACATCTCATCCCAGTTCAACGTAGCGCATTCTTTGCAAATTTCACTTAACAAGGGCACTTAACGCGTCGCTTCACTCGAACTCTCCTCCTCCTTCCTTCCTTCTCATCACTCTCCTACCAAAACACATCATCCCTTCCACCTCTCCACTGCAACCATGTCGAACCCAGTCCTCCGTCTGGGTATCCTAGGCGCATCAGAAACTATCCAAACAACCATCCTCCCAACTCTCGCCTCCCTCAAAACTCACTTCAAGCTCACCATAATCTACGACCAAAATGACACCGTCGCGAAACACTGCCAAAAAGAGTTCAATATCACCCACAGCACCACCTCCACTCAGGAACTGCTCACCCACCCAGAGGTGGACCTGGTGCTGAATCTCCTCCCCTTCGAATACCATGAGCAGTACACCATCGCCGCTCTGGAGGCTGGCAAACACGTCATGGTCGAGGTACCTCTCAGCCTCAGCATCAACGGTCTACGTTGCATCCGCAAAGCAACAGCGAAAGGCCTAGACGTGCGCTCAAACCACAGCACAAACAACGATACAATCTACAACCCGCCCAAAGTCTTCGTGGGCTGCGCACGTCGCTACGCGCCTTGTTTCACGGATGTTTTCAAAAAAGAACTTGCCAGCCTTGACCGCGTGTATTATGCGCGGTGCCGTAATATCTCTGGTCCCATGCGCATTTCCACCCTCCAAGAACCCTCTGTTAATGACACAAACGGATCGAGCCTCAATGCAAATGGATATGGAGATGGTCTCGTTCAGAATGGCGCTACCAAGGGACACGACGATGGCAATGTTACCAACAACACTGACGGGGTAACCCCGATCACAAGCGCGGAACACTTCGACGCCCTACTCACTGATATATTCGGTGCTGAAGACCTTACCCCGGACCGTATTGCTTTCTGTCGCTTCCTGGGTAACAGGGGTTGTCACGATCTCTCTCTAATGCGCGAGTCACTTGGTTTCCCCGATGCAGTCGCCAACGTAGCGATTACAGATCCATTCTACTCCACAATCTTCCACTACACCGATTCTGAATCCATCTGTGGTCCTTCTGGCGAGGGACACCCGTTCACAGTCATGTACGAAACGGGCGTGGACTCTGTCCCGCGGAGTGACGCCCATCTGACTGTCTACGGAGCTACAAAAACGATCTCTGTGGAATACGATGTGCCCAGCTTGACCAGGCCGGCAGCTTGTGGCAGTGAGGGACAGGTGAAGGTCATCGTGGAGGAGATGGAAAGTGAGAATGAGCACATCAATGGGAACGGATCTGCGAATGGGAACGGGGTCTCAAAAGGAAATGGATTCGTGCACCGTTCTCCCGTGAAGAGGACTGAGTACGTGAGCTCTGTTGCCGAGTCTTATGAGCGTGAGTTCCTGGCCATGCACTCGTATCTTCATCGTGGATATCAGACTGGAACTGGAGCTGAGGCCAAGACGACGGCTAATGATGCGCTGATGGATCTGCGGTTGCTGAATATGATTTTTGAGCACTATGATCGGCAGTGTGGTACTATTCGGACTCCTTTAGGTTAAAGATGGTGAATCTTTCACGCGACTTGATAGCAGGAGAGCGTTTTGACTTTCGTTGTGGTTAGTAATGGATGGATACCCCATGATTCAGCATATGATTTCTATTCGAGCTTCGGAGCAGACTTGGATCGTGATTCTAAAAGTCTTTCGGTCGTTTTACTGGCGTCGGTACACAGTTCATAGCAAATAGTAGGGATACAATGATATGCAGTTGGCGATTACGCCTTCAATTTAGAGTTCTTGATCTCATCTCTATGCACAAATACACTCCATAGATATCAGTGTGTTACAACCAGCAATGTATTGTACCCCAAGGTTAAACCCGGATAAGATAATCAATACATTTACCGCTTTCCTTTCTTCTTCTTATTCTTGTTACCACCGCCTCCTCCCCCAGAAGCATTCTGCGGCTGCGAAGCAGGCTCGCCGAGCTTCTCGTTGACAACGCCACCCTGTGTCCGTTCGGCAGCACGCTGCTTGCCCTTCCGGCCCTTCGGTCTGTATGAAGATCGGTCACGCAGTGGCAGCCAACGTTCAGGGTCGGCTTTCTTGGCAGGGTCGTAGTCCTTGGGCAGACGGGATTTTCGTACGCGCTTCACAACACGGCCCTCCTTGCCCGATGCAGAGCGCTTACGGGCACCAGCAAATGCGGCCGCGGCAGCAGCAGATGAGGCTGAGGGCGCGATACCGGCTGACTCCAGGGCAGAGATGTCGACGTCGGCTACCAGGTCACTAATGGCCGGCAAATGGTCGAGTTGAGATTCCACTTGGGAATAATCCAAGGTGGCCTTTGAGGCGACGTAGCCAGCAATAGCGACACGGTCGCTCGAATCTTGTTGGTATAGGGATTTGAACAGGTCACCTGCTGTGGCCAGGTCTGTCGGGCTGTCGGAGTGGAGGAGAGACTTTGCGGCAGCACGCAGGAGGGAGGTAGGGGGCTCGGGCTTGTTGCGCCAGTGGGAAGCAGCTTGTGCGAGGATTGAGCGAACCTGGAGTTTGCGGCCCTCAAGCTGGTACAGGGAAACGAGTACACTGAGTAGGCCAGGGTTGAAGCGGGCGTCTTGGTCGACTTCGGAAACGGATTCTTCCAAGGTCTTCAGTGATCGCTCCACGGCGGTGATGGCGGAAGTGGTGTTGCCAGCGCTGACGTACAGCTGAACGACGGTCAGGAGAAGACCCAGGTCCTTGGGTCGTCGCTCCAGCAAGGGAAGAATCTTCCTCAGGCCCTTGGAGCCGGTCTCTCCCTGGGCATGGGCTGCGGCGTTATACACGGAAAGAAGGTTTGTGCTGGCCTCGGCGGAAGGGCAAGAGCTTTTTGAGAGGCGCTTGGCTGTTGATCGGATCATGCCGTCGTATTTTTGGACAAGAAGATCCGTAGCGTGTGAGTTGCCCGTCAGAGCATTGTCCTGGAAAGCGAACAGCCGGTCGTTGTCTGTAGCCTCGGGAGTTTCGTGGACAGCCTTATACAAAAGGTAGGGGTTAACTGTAGTCTGGCGCGCCAGAACAATGTTGTTGCGAGCGATTTTCTTAGTTGAGAGCTCCGGGATACTGAATTGATAGTTAGCTTTCTATCTCTCGATTCTTTCACATGGCCTGGACGTACTCTTCCACTGAGATTTCCTTGAGGAGCGACTCGGCCTCTTCCATCTTGCCTTGTTGGATCAAGACATAGAGATACTGTACTGCAATTGGAAGCAACTCCGCAACTTTCTCTTCTGGTGAGAGGTCTTCTGATGTCTGACAAATATCTAGGCAAACGTTAGACTTCAAGATTCAACAATACAATGCAGCAGAATACCTACTCTTAGCCCGGTTCAGGAGCACTTCTCCCTGAGCGAATGCACCCTTGGCAATATTCAAACAAGCAGCGTTGTAAGCTGTTTCAAAGGCCTCCAAGTCCTCTCTGGATGGTCGATCGTGGCGCACGTATTCCGCCTCTCCCTTCCACTGAAGCTGGGCATCGGTAGCCCACGAGTTGATGCTCAAATCATTCTCTTCTCCGTGATGGGGCTCATTGGACAGCTTCTCGTAGATATCGGCGGCGCGACGGAATTGCTCAGCACGGTAGCTCTATATCGAAAACAAGTGTAAGCGCACGGACCGATGAGTTGTCCAGAATGGAAATTTTGGGTGACATACCACTTGAGCCTCAAGGTGACTAGCACCTCTGCTGGTACCGGATTGAGTCACAGCAGCGATTGCCTCCTCCAGTCGTGCGCATTTGTACAGCGCATACGCATGTTCCAAGCCCGCCCGCTTCTTCAGAGCATCGCCTCCGGCCTCCAGCACGCGCAGGGCATCTTCGTATCGGTCAAGTTTCAATAGAGCAATGACTTTGATGTGTTGGGTGTTCAGGTCGGATTTGGATTTGGCGAGGGCCGCGTTGCACGACTGGAGGACCTCCTCATGATCGTCAATCGATGCCCGCTGCAATAGCGAGCTTAGCGACTGCGCAACCATAACGGGGTTGCGCGGAGATTAACGAGGACGTCGGTGGGATATGAGTCAGTGGTATCTCGGGGGGATGTTCTAGGGAGTGGAATTTGGCGCTGGACAATCCAATTCGATATGTTGATCCACCTCCACAAGACCAGAGTGTGCGGAAATGGTGTTTCCCCATTTGGAAATCCTGCGTCATGGGGTTCAACGCCGCGCCGTATATGTCACGTGCTGTAATCCTACGGGCATCAGCAGCCACTCAGAACTTACGGCCTGACATAAAACTACACTATCTAGTTAAAAGTATTTCCCCAATTCAGTCTTTGGGCCTACCCATCAATTATACATATTCACTAAACAATTCATTACACCACCATATTTTACGCAAATTCTATATAATTACGCACAGTTATTAATACCCATCAATATTCTAAAAAAAAAAATCTACCCTAAGCTTTCTAGCCACTAGTCGTTGTCTCGTCACCCTTTATACTAACACATTAATCTTTACGTATAGTGTTACTCACTATAATTCTGCTACATACCTCTTCAGGTACTATTAAATACGTTATATCTTCCTCTAGAAATAAGCTTTAGATAAAATTTAAGAAGTCTTTGTTTTAACAATATATAGATAATCGTTGAAGGGGTTTAAAATCTTCGTGAATGCCTCGGCGGGTCCTCCACATTTACACATAAACTTTCAAACCGATACGTCCCTATAGTCATGAGTTAAAATAAGGCTTTTTGAAGCGAGCCTTTTTATTACTGAGTTGTACATGCTTCCCAAAAGTTGGTTGTTGGGTTGACCCGACCGGACCTGCACTTGGGGAAATACTTACGGTCCCCATTGGTATATTTTACCTTCGCAAGTTGATTCATATGGATTGTGAGGAATTTTGACCGTTTGATTTGAATATTTGATTGGCAAGGCAGCTCAGTGTCTTTGCTTGCAATCCTGTAACCAAAACTTGTTCCATCAGACGTACGCCGCAGCCTGTAGATATGCATTTTCACTATGTAAGTGTATGACTCGCATATTTTGTTGGTTGAGATCGAAATTTAAGAAGCACTGTTCAAGTTATGATCAATAATAGGTGGAGCCAATAGATCTTTACCTTCATGTACAGGTTCTTCTCGCCTCCTAGGGCGGCACTGCATGAAGGATTTTAAGCTGTCAAGGCAAGGGTACAGAGTTAAAAAAAAAAAAAATAAAATAAAAGATAAAAAAAAAAAAAAAAAAAAAAAAAAGAATCTCAGCAAGAGCAAATTTCATCAATCATGTTTTGGTTAAGCTATATTGAAAAATGGCGTGGATACTCAGCTATGTGATCTGTTCAAGTGATACATTATAGGTGTCGGTATCCAAATCTCTAAACGCTATGTTCAAGAGTCAATTTGGCCGAGCCCTTCAATTTATTGAATTCGCCCGTCATTGACCCTGGATCGGCGAGAAGGCTGTGCTTCATTCCGGAGGCTATGTAGGTTGGGGGCCAATTGTATCCGCCCCGTCAGACCACGTTAGGCGTAGTGCATTTTCACTAGTGTACTCCGTACGGAGTAGACCCTGAACTAACACTGTAGACCCTGAAAGTTTTTGATCCGTCCAATCCCAGGGGCAATAGTACCCTATGTCAAATCCCACAGCATTAGTATGCATCTGAAGTCGAACGGCTCATCGACAGGGGTTGATCGGCATTTAACTCCCAAATAAGATTGTCGGGCTAATGTAAAAGCCGAGGATTTCAAGGGTCTTGATAAAGAATCTCTCGGCTTTATCAAGAATTTGACATATTCTGGTGCATAACAATATCACACGGTGGGATTCAAGTCCTTCCCCGAAGTCGGATGACCGTCACGGTTTAATTCGTAGAGGAATACATCTGCACCACACAGACCATACAAAAGCAGGGCAGTGTAGTGGTGACGCGTGGACGTGGAGACTCCGTGCGGCATGACGGCGAGTCAGGGACCATCTTTGACTCGGGAAGTCTTGGCATAGCGTTGAGGAGATCTGAAGCGCCAATCCACACCCAGGATACTCCCGATGGCTCTGGGTATCTTTGGGGCCTCTATGTGTCCAAATGCTTGGCCGCGCCCTGGTTCATAGAATAAACAGCCTTATCAGAGACCAGATTCATTTCGAGGACACGTGATTAGACGACGTCATACCCCATGAAGACCCCTGTTGAATATGGCAATTGACCTTGCCTCTTTAGGGGAACCATGGAACCATGATCGTCCCCCTGTGCCGTCTCTTTCTCTTCCCGTTGATTCCGATTTTTGCTTCTCTCCACCACCTCATATATATTCTCTCTCCCTCCGTGGGATCCTTGCTGCATTTCTGCGCGCATTCCCCGCAATGCGGATGGTCATCCGTTAACATTTTACCCCGAATTCTTGTTTACGAGTACGAGGATAGGAATCCCTGAATCCCCGAATACCCCACGAACCGCGAAACAACTCCTCCGCGCAACTTAGAAGGGCGAAAAATATAGAAGAGATGATCTTTCAATCACGGGAAGGGGTCTTCCCGGCCTCTTGGGCCTGGAAAAAGATGATGCGCTTCGTCATCCTTTTTCTTGCTGTCACATTGTTCGCCGTCATGTTGTGGCCGTCATCTGGTGGTCACAACTCCCCATTGCACGCCCAATCGAACATAACTATTTCTTCGAGGGTGAAATGCAATCCCGACGACGACATGCTGCGTAGGATGGGCGTTGCCAAACTGGCCAAATACACACGTCGCGAAATTGTCGCAGAATTCTCCCCAGAGGACTTGCCCATGACCCAGCAGATCGACCAACCCATGCTGAACGTGAAATATAAACAGCCCAACACAGATGAGATCGAGGGGGCGCTGGACCGCTGCTCGGTTGACACCCCCTTGACTATTCAAGTCCCGAGGCCTCCAAAGGTTCCGGACGCATCACACATCGACTTTGGAGTCGCTACTACTGCATCGCGGTTGAATGAGTCCCTAGATCAATTTGTGCACTGGGCTGGGTACACGCGCACGCGCATCTTTGCACTCATCGAGCCCGATGAGTCAGGTGTCCAAGTCCAAAGTGTGCGTGCCAAGGCGGACGCGATGGGGGTCAATCTCCATATCACGGAGGCAGACGACGACTACCTGCACAGGTACTTTGCTCTGATTCCCCTGTTGGAGAGCAACTTGCGCGAATCGACACAATGGTCAATCATCATCGACGACGACACATTCTTCCCCTCGATGCCCGCACTCGTCGATGCGCTTGCCGCCTATGACCACACCAAACCCATGTACATCGGCGGAGTATCAGAGGGTGTCCCACAGATCGCAGCATTCGGCCTAATCGCATTTGGAGGCGCAGGCGTCTTACTGTCGCGACCACTGCTGTCAGAACTGACCACTGTCTACGATGAGTGTGAGCGAATGACCTTCACCGGTGACCGTCGCATCGCAAACTGCATCTACCAGTATACCACTACCCGTATGACGGTCGACCACCGTTTCCATCAGCTCGATCTGATGAAGGATGCCTCCGGCTTCTTTGAGTCCGGTCGCGAGCTTCCGCTCTCCGTGCATCACTGGAAATCCTGGTTCCAGGCCGATATCCCCAAGCTCAGCGTCATCTCCGAGCTGTGCGGGCCCACTTGTCTCCTCCGCCGATGGAAGTTCAGCGACGGCTGGATGCTGACCAACGGCTTCTCTGTCGTCAAATACGGCTGGACTCCAGGACCGAATGACCTTAGCATGGAAATGACGTGGGAACCGCACAATGGCGCCAACACCGAATCCTACCTTCACGAACTCGGCCCATTGCGCCACAAGGACTTGGAGAAGGTCAGCTATTTGCTCGCAGACTCCATCGTCGAGATGGACGGCAGTGTTCGACAATGGTATATCATGCGCGATGCGGATTTAGGCGATGAGATCCTGGAGCTCTCATGGCGAAAACGGTAGGTGTTGTTTGGATATGAATCTTTTGATTTTTTGATTCAATTTTCTTTCATTCACTGTACTTGCATATGCTCGTTGGGCAGCGGATTTCAGATGACTATTGGGTCATCTTTTGGCGAATTGGCCAACCCTTCTTCATTTGTCCGGCGCTGGGTCTTGGGCACATCTTGCATTTTTGTTTATAGATTGGTGATTCGGTGATTCACCTTTATACACTTTTTATGTCTCCGTGGTATTAATGCCGGGGATGACTCGCCCTAATGTGACAAGGATTATGCTTTTTTCCCCTATGCCTCATTAAAAGCCGTTCGTCTAGGCCCAATGCCCTGTTGTTAGATGCCGCTCTAAACAAAGGAGTGACACTTGATCTTTGCTATCTTTATATCGCCTACTATTAACCCTGTAATATCCTTCGTATGGGGGGCATAACATCTGGATAGACTTTCAATGCTACAAAATAATAAATAATTAACATAGAAGGACTAGGGTCTTCATGTTTCTCCTCGGGATAGTCGACCTCCCTCGAGGGCAAACGAGTTAATGCATGCCATTATAGGAAAGTTTCCTACGGTTTCTTTTACTCGCGTTGTTGGATCTAGTTCCGTTTTGATTTGAGAGACAGTTTGCCGTTTAAACCTAGCTTATATGTCGTGCCTTCCTCCTGACCAAGTAGTCGTGCTTGCCATGTTTAGAAACACATAAGATGAGAACCTCAGGATGTAGCACCAGGGATTTTCCTTTCCTCGCCATTCAGTACAGTCAGAGATCGTGTGATTGCTCCTGTTGATAGATCAGGGCTTCTCTCTCTTCTTCCTTTCTTCTCTCTCCATCCATCTACAATCTAGATTGTTTCTGTCTCCTCTCTTTTCCCTCTCAGATGAGTACAATCTAAAAGGTGGTGGTACTTCATCATTATTGATTTTTATCTCAATGTCTTTCTTCGCTACGCTGAGGCGGATTGGATGGACTGCAAGGACTAAGTTCGAAAGAATCACACTCCTTATAAACTGTTGAGAGGTCATGTGAATGTGATGCTCTCAGGTTGCCTACATCAGTGATTGTCTCTTGCTTCTTCTTGTTTTCCTTTCTTCTCTTCCCTCCATAGCACAATACAATTGCTTCCTGTTCGATCCATTCTTTCTGCTCACTCTTTCTGCTCACTCTTTCTGCTCACTCTTTCTGCTCACTCTTTCTGCTCACCATTACTGGTGTGCTCTTTCTCTTTCCTCGACTTGGGCGAGTCTCCTCTGATCCTTCACAGTGCTCTACGCTGATACAAACATCCCGACTTACACGGAGAACGCTTTGAAGATAAAAGATTGGTCTTTATAGCTTTATCGGAAGCTCTCTGGCGTAAAGGCTCAGCAGGTCAAATTATTTTCGCGGAATGCCCTTACCCTGAAGAATGTATGCTTCTTGTTGGATAAGGGGGCACTTGATGTGGGTGGTCACCCTGTTCGTTGCTTGCGATTCAAAATGGCCATTCTCTTGATGTCTATCAAGTTAAGCAGTCCGTCCTCCTGACCAAGCGCTTTGTATATGAAGTTGCTTTTTGGCTTTTCTTCTTTTTGGCTTTTCCTTTTGCTCTTTGTTCTTTGTTCTTTGTTTCCCTTTTTTTTTTTAACACATCGCCTACTTTTCAAGGTCAAGGTGTCTAATGTTCCAGCCTTGGGAGATTTGCTTGAAGCTCGATTATTACAACATGATGTCCTAAATTCCATTCCAAGTATGCTGTGCCTAGATATTCAATCTTCCGCAGAGTGATCAGCTGGTAGATACTGAAGTTTGACCCAACGGCTTGGGCATTTGACGGGATGTCAATAGCTGCTTTGAAAGTTTGTCGGATCCATGGTTCCAGATATGCTAGAGTAAACCACTCCCCACCTAGAAACGGAACCCTCGGGTGTTGATGTATCATCCTGGAATTCTACCCTTGACTTCCAGGCATGAAAATATTCACTTGTGCAAGTCCATGGCCGTAGATAGCCTCCTGTTCCCAAGTTTCAATATATATTACAGGATGGAATGCTTCAGGGCGTCAATTAGGTAGCCCTGGTACTAGCATATAGTGTGACGCGCTAGACAACATAACCTCGAACGCCCCCAGATTTTACCACGTGGACCTCGGGAGTGCCCTGAATATCCAGTGTTCACATGTTGAGTATATTTCATCATACTTTCTTGGATAGTCAGCTCATCATCCCATCACTTGAAAGTCTATCCAGATGTTACGCCCCCCATGCGAAGGATATTGCAGGGTCAATAGGTTTCAAGATGGATATGCATATCAGTTGCAGAAATTCAGTCCCAATTTATTTACAGTAGCTACATATGCACATACCTAAATATGTACATGACCGTCGGTATCCGTCGGTCTATACTCTTCGACCTCTCTACAACGTTTCAAGGCACAGAGATTCCAGCGGTAGGTGCGCTTGAAGAGAATGCACAAGACAGCTGACATGCAGGCTGATATTTTCTTTTTCCATGTCCACATACCCAAACGCCTCTGCCCCTACCCCTGTCGACGTCAATGTAGATCCAGTGACCAACGATTTACAGGAATATATCTCCGCGCCGGAGTTAGCTCGATCAGATCTCAACAAATTTACCCTTTCAAGCGAGACCAAAAAAACAAGCTCCACAGTTCGAATAAGCAAGCACAGTAAGTACAAGCGATGAAAGAAGCAAAAAGACGCAGCAGCACAAAAATTCGAATCACCGATGGCGTCGAAGTGGCGGCATTTACCGCACGAAACGCACTAAATGCTTCATTTCCTTTCTTCCAGGACCGTCATAGATCCGCTTGGCGCAAACAGACTCAAAAACGATTCTTGTATCTATCCACTTAGGAAAATTAGTGGGCATTGCTAAAGGAGATCGTTGTTGCTAAGAGAAAAACACGCGAAATGAGCCCGCGTTGATCGATCCGAACTATTTATTTAAATGGGTCTGAGGAACCGCGTGGGCCAGTGCACGCGATTTCCCCAGTGACATCATGTTGTCCTCCGTTACCCTTGGTCAAAGCGTAAATCTTTGCGTTTCTATATTCTGCCTTACCCTGATTTTCAGTTTGACTATGGTTTTCCATCTTCCTTGGCAATGGGAGTAACTTTCCCTTTGGAAGTTAAGTCACCCCTGGGAAATATCCAATCTGTTAAGGGGTACGACTCCTGTTCTACTAATAGAAATATATGGAGCCTAGCGTGGACTTGATACACCAAGACACGTCTCAGCCACAACCATGTGGGAATCGCCCCGTGCTAGGCAACCAATGATCATCTTGTGGCCCAACACATCTGCGGTGCTTCGAGAAATCAAGTAACAGCCTCTGATTAGGTGCTATATGATTGGATGGCCGCGAATTTGAGACAACGACATACTTTTTTTCTTGATTTGTTTTGCGTATTCACAATTTTTTTTTATCCCGCCATAGGACTCCATAGTGGAAGCAGGCGGATGGCTGCAGCGGATGCATAATCTCCGCTGCTCTCCACAGGGCCGGGATGAGGATTTGCGCGGCAGGTGTCGTCACAACGATCAGGGGTGAGAGGATCATCACAAAGCACTAAAGGAGGACGTAGGAGGTTGAGAGATTGAACCAATGATTGTTTAGTTGACTTGTCACTAACCAATCCAATTCTCTACTTCTGTTTCGTCTTTCGCATTCTGGCCCCCTTTAGGCAGCGGATTTGATTCTTAGCGGTAGGAGTCGGGCACTAAGCTGATTCTTGTTTTATTTTTTATTTTCTTATTTTTTTAATTCTATTTCTTACGAGTCTTCCCGAACAAAAGAAGAACAAAGAACTCGATGAATCATAAGACTTCTCAAGCTAAACTGGGAATGGATCTCTGGAAATCCATGCTGGTGTAGGGCTCGGACCCATTGTAACCGTGCAGGATGGAGTCAGGCAAACGGCGCTCCATTTTTCTTTTTCCATTTTTTCTTCCACGGCTTCTACGGTCCTTCGAAAACCCTTCTGGAAGGCCACCAGAAGGTCAGGAGAAGGCTTGGCATAGCCAATCCAGAGCGATCCTCCAGGCCGCTGTCCCCATCTGCGTGGCTATGGAGTGGAGTCCTGTAGAGGCTGAACCGGCCGGAGCCCTCTAGTGCCCCCGGAAAGGAAAAGGGGCAATGGACGAGACAAGGGGTAATTACCGATGCTCAGGGGTCTCCACAGTATGGATCGTCATCAGGAACCTGAATAGGGCTTCCTTGGCCGGGTCTCCGAAGCAGGGAGTAAGAAAAGGGTTGGATGAGAGTTTCCATGACCATGTGCAACGAGCCACACCGTGCCCCGTGTGTACGTACTCCGTCAAGGATGAGAACAGGAAATACTTCCGAAAGATTCGAAACCTTCTAGAAGGAAACAGCTCCATCGATTTAGCCTTCGGCCGTCCAGGTTCGGGTAGCAATAGTGGGAACAGACTATCGAGATGGGACAATCCCCTTTCCCGCAAGGCTTCGGCTTCTTCTGCACATCAAAAGTTTATGGGACTCGTGTCGCACCATCATAGAAAGTGAAAAGCAATCAATGCATGTCATCATCGTGAGAGCCCGCTTTCCTTCCCCCTTTTTGGTTCCCTTCACACGACCCCCAAATCGAGGTCATCCAGCTCTGTGCCCATATGTTGCTGGCCTAGGGCTAGCTGGTGTTGCCGTCATCCCCCTCTTACTATCGGGGAAGGTCCACATAGCTGCCCGATCCAATCTCCAGAGTCGTCAGTAAAGCGATTTCATAAACTCTGTTCTTGCAGACCCGTTTCACACTAGGGGAAGTCAAGTGTGTCCAGAGAGTGCCAATGGCGTGGGAAGAAAAAAGGCCGTAATCGTAGTAGTTTCTGATTCAGATCGGCGTTACTATCTCGTATCCACATTTTTCCTTACCAAATTGAGCGGATGATTTTTGATGAATTCATTTTGCGTGCAGGGACGGGGTGGAAAAGCGCACGTTGTGGATCCAGGATGCTGACGGGGGCCTTCTGGTGCCGCCCTGTTTCCTTCTAGCGCACTTCTCTGGGTCCGACTAGAGGAAACTAGTAGGGCCAGACAGTCTACGATGATGCAGGGATAGCCTCTTGTCTTTTTTCCTATTTCTTTCTATTTTATGTTATTTTATTTTTCTGGAAAAGGGTCAGAAAAAAAGGAGGCACCGGAAGAAACTCATGGTCTTTTAGTCGTTACTAACCATATTGCTATGTTCAAGAGTCTTTACGTATAACGTTAGAACGATATCAGGATCGATTAGTGATTCTCACCTAAGAAGAAAAAGCAATTAACCAAAAAACCGAGCTCAGATCGTAATCAATTTCCAAGTGGGACTTGAAGAAAGTAAATAATGATGTATGCTCTCATTCTACTGAAGTGGCACCTACCACACCTAATATTAATCCATTAACCTTTTCCCTTTTCCCTTCCCCTTTCTCGTTACTTTTTATTCTTTGCCTTTCCCTACATTCTCCGCAAACTTCTGAGTCCTTTCCCCCCTCTGACTTTCGATCCTTCCTACCTTCCTTTTCTACGTGTGAATAAAAAAATCCGTTCGTGTCCCTTGGAATGACGTGACCCTGACTGCGATTTCCCCTCGCCGTGCCACTGCACCTCGTGCGCCTGTTTGCTCTATACTTGCCTGGTATCGTCCTCATCGTGATCCAGCTGCGTCGCCGCCAGTCTCTTCGGCTGGATCACCTGCGCTATCATTCCTCGGTCTTTGGTGTTCGCGAAATACCGGAGGCCCGAGGGCAAAGCCAGGCAAGATTGGAGGGTCAAATCGGCGAGACAGAGCCACCAATCCACCGCTACGAATGAACTTTGACTGACCGTGCTTATTCCTGATAGGATTGCTACCCATTTTCCCTACACCTCCCCCCTCACGACGATCCCCACCACCAATCATATCCTCCGCGTCTAGCCGGTTACCTTAACTGGTCAGAATCTATCTCATCACGAAACAGTCTCCAGGAGACAGACGACAATTACGACCTCCCCTTCGGAACCGGAACTCGGTCCAGATACAAAACCTCGAGGCCCACATACGTAGGATCCACCAGTGAGCGGACTTTTGCAGTTCCACTGTGACAGGCATCAACATCTTCGTCTCGCTGCGATCCTCGAAAAACGCGTCGAGATCTCCTGCACGCGCTTCCCTACGAACCCTCGGGTCCTCGATTGTGAAAAGCAGACTCGGGTCACGTCCAGGATTACTCATTTGGCCCCGTCTATCTTTGCGCCAATACAACGAGTCGGTGCATGACATATCCCCATTCGGTGCCTTGCAAAATTCAATAAACACGGACTGAACCGCGCTCAAAGACGTTTGAACCAGAAAAGGACGACCTTTGCGCTGTCCTTGACCTCGGTCTTTCAGCTGATCGGTGGGTCGGGTCATGGACTTCACGACTATCCTTAATCGGAAGAACTCTGCCGCTGCAGCCGCCGCCGCCGCAGAAGCCCAATTACACCAACAATATCTTCAGGGTGCGCATATGAACCAACATACACCCTCGATGAAGGCCGAGCCTGGCGCTTCGGACAATCCCGTCAACGCGTACCCTCCTCACGCCGTCCCAATGGATCAGGGGCTTGCGGAAACCTTTTACTATGCTCAGGCACCAGGTGCCACGCCGCGGAACATGGGCTATGTCCCTGGTGGATATACCGGAGAACCGCAGGTTCAGCAAGCACCGATTCCCCTAGAGAGAACCGGTGCCGAGGCTCCACCAAAGACTTTCCATTGCTCTACGTGTAACAAGGGATTCGCTCGACGCAGTGATCTCGCACGACACGGTATGTATTTGCGCAGACCGTTGAAGTCACAACTAGGCTGACCTTGAGACTTTTCATAGAGCGAATTCATACCGGAGTCAGGCCGCATGCCTGCGATTGGCCTGGATGTGGGAAGCAGTTCATTCAACGCTCAGCATTGACGGTTCACTCCCGAGTCCACACTGGAGAAAAACCTCATATGTGTGAGCGATGTGGCAAGGTTCGTTTCTTTCTTTCTTCCATGTTTTCGGGTCAATGCTTATGAGTGATTCATTTTAGCCATTCAGCGATTCGTCCTCACTTGCCAGGCATCGCCGCATCCACTCCGGGAAGCGACCCTACAAATGCCCGTACGCAAACTGTCAGAAGACGTTCACCCGACGCACGACGTTGACCCGGCACCAAAACCACCACACTGGGACGATCGAGGAAGCTGCCGCTGAGACGGAAGCCAATCTGCGTCAGAACAAGGAACGCCGTGGCCCTGGTGAGGGAATGTTCCCTGATCATACCTCTATGGGCTCCACCCCGTCGCCTGGTCAGCACCCATCCATGTCGCCTGGGGGTGACCTCCCGCCCTTGAATATGCACCGTTCTGCCGGTGACTATTACATGGGCAGTGGCCCCATTCCAGCTCATGTGCGAGGAGACTTCTCTCAAGGGAGCCCCCGTGCTTCTCCGACAGCGACATCCCCGTCACTCTCGAGCTATGGCAGCGCACCTCACGGACGGCCTCCTATGACCTCGCATCCCTACGCTCCTCCACAGCCGCTGGAGCCCCCCGCCAACAATGACCATCGGCCGAACAGTGTGAATGGCAGCCCCCATATGACCAGCCTGGGATGGGCCTCGCCATCTCACGGCAGCATGCCTTCTCCTGGTTCGACCAACGACTTTGGTTACCCTGAACCCAGTGCGCCGGCATACCCAACCTCCATGCCTCCACACATGTACTTTCCCAACTCGACCATCCGCCGGCCCAATAGCACCGAACCGGATAACTACGAAACCAAGCCTCGGCTCGGTGACCACACCTGGTCTACACCAGTATGATACGAGCCACAGATCTCGATCATATCTACACCCACCATTTCCTATGTTTTCCTTTGTTCAATTATTTCATTGCATCATTTCCTTGATTCCCATGGAAACAAAGCCATTTTCCATCGTTTGTTGTTGATTCCACTGCTATCTTGCTTTTATTGCAGCATATTGATTTATTTTGTACCTATATACTGAGGGAGTTGGAGCTGTCTGATCGTGTTGCAGGTTTAAGGACCTTTTTTTCATTTTTGTTCAGGGTTGTCATCCCCATTGCTTTCGTTCCATTTTTGATTTATTTGATTGCTCGCGGATGACATTGTTTACCAAGACACGACCAGACGAGGAACAGCATAGATAGAGCGTGGGATTCGCCATTTTTACGGGGCTAACATTGTATCGGTTGGGAAATCGGGACTGGGGTTTCTTTTTTTGCTTGGGAGACCCGTGTTGCGGTGTCTGGATCTGGGTTTGATTGGGTTTTTTTTTTTGGTTCGCATATTCCTCTGTCTTTTGTTCTGCGATTGCATATCAGCTTAATCTGTGCTTCTTTGCTGTTTGTCGTTTCTGTCTTTGCTCATGCTATTCGCTTTCTCGCGTCGAATACCACTGTACACGAGGTCGACTTATCCAGCGATCCCATCTTTGTATCATAGTGTTTGCCATAGAACGGCGTCAATTCAATTTATCGATTGATACGGATAGCCTCCAGATTGACTTGACACGACTGTCTACCTTTGTATCGGTGCCAGGACCTTCTACCATGGTACCCTATTCCCTGAAGCTAGACAACAATGCACATCAGTCGATCGATTCAAAAGATAACCCTGTCCACAGGAATCAACGACAATACCGAGGCGACACAAAACCCCAGCGCAGTATCCAGTAAATGTGACCAGGTCAGTCGCATGCTGTATCATTCGAAATCCCCGTGTAACATTCCACTGTCGGCTGCCTTCTTACACCCAGTGCTCACCCATGCCCAGAACCAGGTGCCCAGATGCGCCGGTTGAACGAGTGTGCAAAGTCCTTGTATTTACCATACACCAGGTGACAAGGCTCCAGCAATGATCGACTTACGGGAACTACATTATGTATTCACGTACATACAACTCTCTACCCATAGACCAGGACTAGTACATTATTCCCCATAAAAGTGCATCCTCTATGTAATTCAGACTATTCAGGTGACGCAGGTGGAAGCACGAAAGCTGGGGCGTGGCTTGACGATCATGTTCACCATTGTCTGAAGGGGGGCGACCCAATCACTCAACCTGGAATCCGTACTACAGACAAAGCTCCATTCGTGCATGTACAGATACACCTGACCCCAACCCACGCATCCAGAAGGCTTGATATCAAATCAGGGAGCGCGATTTCCGAGCATCAACCCCTCAAATACAGTACCCACCTCTCTGTTCCATTCATTCTTGATTTTCCTGTTCCCGCGAAAAAGAGCGGCAGAGACAATAGATTCTCCGAACCCTGATTTGGAAGAAAAGAAAGGGAAAAAAAGCAAAAAGGCAGGATGATCACGATCGCATTAGCCCCGATGGGGCCGATGGGGGTTGTAGCATTTTTCTTTTGCCTCAAATGATTGGTCTCGGGGTCACGTTGGAAGAAATCCTGCAAGGGCCGGGCTTGAGCTGCAATATGCAACATCTGCCCAGGTAGTGAGTAGCATGTTGGATTACGTCGATAAATTACATACGCTAAAGTCCGAACTAGTTCCGGTAGCTAGGATGTGGATGTGGAGGCCCTGCATGAAAGGATTATAAAAGAAAGAAAAGCAAAGAGAGAAAGGATTTCCTCGTGTAGATCGCACGAGGCGCTACGTGGCTCAGGGACATTGTACCAGTCTAATTCGTGAGGATCAGATTCTGATCGGGCCAGACTAAAAGCGACCTCGCCCCCATGTGCTGAAACATAGTTGCTCTGAAGGGATTCAGAGTTGTAAGTTTATTTCAGTGTGTAACTTGCGGGTTAATGTGGCGAATAATAAATACATCGGGGATAAATACTTTAATTTCAATTCTGCCTGTTTTCTTTTGCGTCTCTCTTTTGCAAAAGAAAACAAAAATACTCCAAGGCTTGACTTGACCAATCTTAAGGATTCAGGGTTGTTGCATGATTCGGTGAAACTGATCCATACCCACGTTCAGGGCTGGACTGGGCTGGCTGTGTGGCTGGATAGCCTCGTTTCAGGCACGTCCACTAGTTTAACTAGCGGTGATCATCCAAGCGGAGAATCGAATACTCCGTACCATACATCCTCGCTCAGCATGTCTTAAGTCTCAAGATCATAGAAGGCTGGCTTTATTCTAGCGCTTCGTATTGGTACGGTGGCTCTCGTATTGGGTGTGGCGCGACTAGATCAATCTACTCCGTACTCTCCATAGATCCTTGATTTCAAAATATGATTGGATTCAGGTCATCGGGCTAAGCCTCCTGCATGGATGCGACGCCGAAATCTGCACCACAGCCACACTTTCCACGTCCATTTTGACGACTGTTGGAACCTGGTTACCTACTTGTGTACGGAGCTATGATCTATGGTTAGAGCCGGAGGAAATCCAGCCTTAACCGTCGCTAAATGCGGCTTGGTGCTATTCTAGGTAATTGCTCGGGTTGCGCTGCTACCCTGTGTCGATCCGTGGACGTAAATGGCTAGATCGTTGGATAAGGTACCTTGCGTTGATAAGAATTGCTCTCGGAATGCGTCGTTCGAGGTAGTGATGAGAGCTAGGTAGCAGGGAATCTGGAAGCTCTTGATAAAGATGGCGATTGATGTTGATTCTTGCCGGTTCCGAAGCTTGATGAATCATACAGGATTCAAAAAGGGGCCAGCGCAACGGCATCTCATTGCTACCAGTCCTTATCCTCACCGCATACTCCCCTCTAGCCTGATGCGTCCACCAACACCCAACTCCCTAGTGAAATTAGCAATTAAGCCCAGGATTCAACCAACCCCTATCGACACTCTGGTTCCCCTAGGTCTCTAATCAAACCCTTCACCTGCCTGAACGGTCCTCTTGGCCCCCGACCCACCTTAACAAGTGTCCGCTGCCGCTCCACTGTGTCAGGTGGCGGTCAGAGCTGTGCCGTGTTGTCCCTGTCTTCATTTCGAGGTCATGGTATCTCTTCAATTGCAGCTGTACTGTGGTAGGGTGCAGGGGACATGGGTGGCTCGTGGGAGGTGCTTGGGCGGTAAACCGTTACATGCAGAGGGCGGAAGTCGAGGCGAAAGCAGTTAGGCGTACATAGATGCTTGAGGGATTCAGTGGGTCGGGGTTGAGTGGATATAGGGATAAAGCCTCGCGATTTGAGTGGACCGCAACGAAAAAGCGAATAGCAACGTCAAGACAGCATTGAGTGGCTTTGGTTAATTCCGTTGATTAGCAGGAGTGAAGGCAGGAATGAACGAGACCATGAAATCCCCAGCATTGCGGTGGACCTTGAACTGTCAGTAAGCTTTGGGACCCCACACATGGTTTCCAGGTGAACCTAGAGGGATTAAAATAACAAGACCCGGCCCTGCAGGATAATTCGGGCATAGCCAGGTATTTATTATTAAATATTGGCTCCCCTGTCTCAGCCCAGACACTATGGGCTGTCCAAGTCCACTTGTCCAGCAAGGGGATCCACGGGCATGCCCCTCTCGGGCCAAGTCCAAGGAGATAGGGCCAAAACTGGGCTCACTGTAATCGAGAAACCAAAACCGGTTCTTGGGAATGAACCAACAGAATAATCCACAAATGAGTGAGAGTCGAGGATCGGCTCCGATGTCAGAGTCAGGGCCGTTCCAATTGAGGTCCATGCAGGAAGGTCGTACGGACCCAATCAAAGGAGAATTCTGGGGCCGGGTTTTTGGGACTATTGATCCAATACAATCCTCCTACGAGTTACTTACAGTAGCCTAGTTCGTCAACTCGAATTAATAATCCTTTAAACCAGTACCGAAAGTGTCGGGCAATTTGCAGTCGTTACACACTCGTCATCCGATTTGGGATCCGTGCCTGCGTGCATGAACGAGGGGCAAAAAGGCCTTGGATAAATAATGTACCTGTTACATTAGTGCCTCTCAGGTACTGCAGGAAACATTCCTCCAGCACGTACAGGTACGGGTGATCGGCTGTCACGGACTCACTGCGCGGATCTTGGTATGTTCCACCAGACGATGCCCAAGATACTGTGAACTGGGTCCCGGCCGCACCCGTATGTGTCTGGAGAGGGGGAAAAAGTGGGAACCGGAAGTAATACATGAACTCGGGAAGCCCCATCGATTTTTCGTTTTGCCCGCGCATGGCGCTTTTCTCCTCACCGAGTGGAGTGTGTAGGGAAATCTAGTTTAATCTGTCTATTCATGGTTAGTTCTGTATTACCGTCACTGCCACCCAAGGGGAAAGGAATATTACCTGCAGTATTATGTAAATCGGCGTTAACCAACTAGGAGTCGGCTGCGCTTAGTTGACATTGTGCTTGCGCACAGAGCCCCCTCCGGACTGGCTTCGGAGCAAAGGGAAGCTAAAAAGAAAGACGAGCATCGGAAACAAAAAAGAGAAGAACAAAAGAGACCTACGCATGAATGTGAGAAAGAAATTCTATCTCCTGTTTTCCTCTCATTGTAGTCGTTTCAGAACGGATCGTCTTTCCGAATGGAGATCATACCGAGGAAAAGTCGCAAGATTTTACTGACGGATACAGGGCCAGTAAGCTGTAATCTACAAATAAATCAAAAATCGGGTTTTGTAATTTACGTAATCTTACCGTTACTGAATTTACCAATCGCCCCGTCAGCTTCTCCTCCCCACTCTCCACTTCGCCTGACTCGCCCTCTCCTCATTCACTTTCTCTCTCGACTTGACTCTCTGTCTGGACTTCACTTTCCCTTCCTTCATACTCCTCCATTCCACTTTTCACCGTTCGCCGTCACTTCTGTTTTGTACCTTTCGATCTTATGGCGGATGGTGTTGCCTCACTTTGTGCAGTTGGCCGCCTGACCTGCAGCTCTCACGCTGCCATCCGACCCTGCTCGCTTCAACCTCGAAGCCTTTACCTCCAATCTTCCTCCCACAACTGCCTCTGATCACCATGTCTCCCGGATTTGAGATCCCCAAGTCCGGACTGTCTCTCCGCCAGGAGGATCAGTCCGGAGCCGCTCCGAAAACCACTCAGATCATGCGGCTAAACCTGGCGCAGAGCACTCTGGATGAACTTATGGAGAATCTGCGGAGTGACCAGCCAGCTCGACTTCGCCTGGGAAAACACCCGTCTCTTCACTATGCGGGCAAGTCTCAACCCTTTCACGCCTACCCCGAAACCCACCGTTCCGAGATCTACCATACTTCGACCGACGGAACCGACGATCGGGAAGTCTACTTTGCCGGTGTTCTGAGCCACAGCCTGGAGGTTGAAAAAGCCAAACAGGACACCGCCGCCACCGATCAGGCACTTGCCAATCTGGAGGAGAGCCTCAATGCCTTCGAACGGGGCAAGGAGTCCAAGAAAACACACATTATTCACCATCCAGATGAATTCAAGGCTTTGAAGGCCGCTGGTGCTGGAAACTCCACTCTGCGAGCCTCCAAATCCAAATCAGAGCTAGAGAAGGACCGTTTCCTTCGGACAGGTCCGAGCCGATCACTCACCTCGAGCCCGACCCTGGGTGCACCCAAGTCTCCTATGCCCATGCCTACCTCCGCCCCATCCTCGCAAGTTAAAAACCAAGCCCGCCTCGACGCCCTCAAGACCCCTTTCATTCACCTGCTTGCGGTTCGAGCCGTTTCCACCAAGTTCCTCTCGCGCCAAACTCGTTCTTCCATTGAGGACTGCGGTAGCCTAGCTCAGAAGTATGGCACGGAGAACCGCCTCAATCGTGAGAAATTCGATCTCAGGGACAAGACATACAAGGACCTTGATGTGTGGAAATTTCCTTACCCAAACCAAGAGGACCGACAGCAAGCCATTGAGAATGCCGTTTCGGCCTTTGATCGGCTGCGCATCTCTCGCTCTGATAAACTCTGGCAGACGCTTCTTCCCAAGGAGGAGCGAGGCAAGGGCAAATGCCTGTCTCGTCTCAATCTGAGCACTGGTCCCGTCAAGAAGACTTCTACTCCGCGGATACAGGTGGACGGGGCTGATGATCGGGCCAATGGCGATGCTACCGGTAACGACACGGACCGTCCTACTGTCTCCTCCAAGGGCCTAGATGGGGCTCCACCTCGATCAAACGGCACTACTCAGAAGTCCCGGGCGGAGAAAGAGCCCGCGAAACGACCTGCCAAGGCTAAGCCCACTACGAGCAACAACAGCACCCTGACCGGACGAGTTACAAAGAAGACGGGAGGAAAGGCCCCGGCCAAAGTGGAGACCAAGTTCAAGTCTGACGAGTTTGTGCACTCATCAGACGATGACGATGTGGATATGCCCGATGCCACGCCACCCTCAGGACCACCGGCTCCGCGTCCGAAGGAGGATAAAGCAGCTCCACCCAGAAGGACTCAGGCTCAGAAAGGTCCTCAGAAGACCCACGTCCCTGCAAAGCGCCCTGCCGACACTTCGAATACATCCAAGGCTCCCAAGGTCGATGCACCTACCCCCAAACTCGAATCATCCCAATTCAAGACCGCATCCAAGAAACCCGCCTCACGACAGTCCACCTCACCCCAGAAACCCTCTCCACTCGGCTCTTCTCCTCCCACCAATGCCTCCGATGTGCCGAAGCGGAACCGCTCCGACAGCCAAAATCAATCCTCCGGCTCGTCTTCTTCTTCTCCCCTTATTTCACAGCTTGCCCGGACCAATAAACCTACCACTACTCGGGTTTCGAAGCCCACGACACAATCTAATGGCGTCACAAAGTCTACAAACACTGGCAACCCCTTGAAGCGGAAGGCCGAGCCGGCAACGGCACAAGCTGCACCTGTCCGCACAACCGGGAACCTCGACCACAAACGGCGCCGAGCCGTAAGCGCCTCTAGTGGAGGCAGTACTGGCAGTGCATCCCCACCAATGAGCTACGATATTGCCCGACAGCGGCTATCGGAGCGGTCACAGATATTTAAAAGCCACTATGCGAAGTACCGCAAATTGCATAAGTCCCTGGAAGGCCAGGCCAATCCTTCCCAGGCGGACCTGGAAAAACTCGTAAAACAGCACGAGCACCTCCAAAGTGAAAAACGAGAGATCTGGGAAGAAGATCGACGTCTCCGAGAAGGCATTCGCGCGTGATCATTTTCAATTTTACACATTTATATTTGTTTTCTTGTTTTCCCCTGCATGGTGACGCACTCACCCAAAACATGGCGAAAAATGAATATTACCCCCATCCAGACAGCTTGGCGTTAACGGTTAATGGTTCCATCTGACTTTTCCTCTCACCTTTATTTTCTTTTCCTTTGTTTCATCTCAAGGCTGCGTTTTTTGATCTCTTTTGCATGAGAAACCCCACATATCCCGTGTTTATCGCATCAGCATCATATCCTTATCGAGCCAAGCATCAAAATCATACACATCATCCAAATGAATAAAGAACTCAATCCAATCCATATCCTCTATTGCCCATGTAAATCCCCAAACCCAAAATCCCGTCCATTCCAGACCCTCATAGATCCACGCACCTTACCCCGGATCAGCGAATCTCTGGTTCTGGTTCGCCGTCACGCCTCAATACCTGATTGGTGGCTTGACACATGGCTTGAATCACGGGATCCATTATTGTTTCCCGTGGTATTACAGTATCATACCGTAAAATACACGGCCATTACATCATAGATCTGGACTGCACTTGACTCACGTCGTGGAGTGGGCTGTCATGCATGCTGATAGGAAAGGGAAAAGCCGACCCGTGTGATTATTACTCCAGTTCTATGGTTACCAATTCATATAGGGAATTCTTGAATGTTTTGCACGGATCGGATCGACTAGACCATAGGATCGGTGCATGTGCATATACAGGATCTGCATTTTTTTTCATTTCCTGTTGTTTCAACTATATACAATCCAGGGCAGCCGGCCAGCTGCCAAGGTACCTTTTTCATTTTTATTTTTATTCTTGGTTTTTTGCTTGTATTCGGTAAGATGATTTAGATTTCGCATGAACTTTGTTTTACGGAAATTTAGGAGGATTGCTGGTTCCGTTACATAGCCGAGCCCGAATTATGGAACTGGGTCATCAGCCTTGGAACGAGGTAGATAAGGTCATCTTGAATATTGGGAGTGGGTGCCATGGATTCTTGGGTTATTTTTATTTCAGGTTGTTAGGTCTACATATCAAGGCATGGGGTATTACTAAGATTGGTGTGACTGGATTGGGGTTGGGTGAAACTTGTGATTGATTCCCCCGCTCAGGTTCCAAGGTATGTGATCAGAGGAGCAATTGGTCTATTGCTGATGAATGCAACCTTGTTTACTAATTTCCTAAATATATATTTGGGAGTTTCTACGTATTCGAGTCTCGGACACTTGCTAGGACCTAATGGGCTCGGATCAGGTAAGAGGGGGAGGGAAAGACAATGAATCCAAAATCTCCGTTGAGATGGACAAAGCCAAGCCATGCTAATATAAAACAGAGACATTAGATACCAGTACAAGAGTCCGCGAAGCACCAAGCGCATCGCATGGGTCTGATTTCCCCTTCATATCCTTATTCCAAGGTCCTTATTCTGTTCATGCAGAATCATCAAGGTCCCCATTCCTTTATGTATTTTTTACCCCAATTTAACCAGTAACCTTGAAGATGGATTCGGCAAGACGCTGGACGTTGCCGGAGGTGATACCAGCGACGGAGATACGGCCGTCCTTGGTAGCGTAAACGGAGTGCTCCTTGGCGAGGGCATCCATTTGCTCGGGCTTGAGGCCAGTGAAGGCGAACATACCGATCTGTTGTATGTTAATCAAGTAGGCGGGAATTATGGGTACCGTGTTAGTCTTACCTGGCTGGTGATGTGGGACCAGTCGTGCTTGCTGCCGAGCTGCTCAAGGTTCTTGCGCAGAAGAGCGCGCATCTCAATGATGCGGTCGGCCATGCCCTTGACCTCACCGAGCCACTGCTCGTTCAGGGCGGGGTCGTTCATGATGGTGGAGGCGACGCGGGCACCGTGGATGGGGGGGTTGGAGTAGAAGGGACGGATGAGAATCTTGATCTGAGACTCAACACGCTTCTTCTCCTCGGTGGACTCGCAGACGAGAGAGAAGGCACCGACACGCTCACCGTAGAGACCCTACAATCGCACGTTAGCATCTACATTTCTCTCTTGGCAGTCAATCCAGTTCGAATCTTGGACTCACCATGTTCTTGGCGAAGCTCTGGCACAGAGCAATGTTGTGGCCCTCCTTGACGAAGTGGCGGGGAGCGAAAGCATCAAGGTCAGCGTTACCGCTGGCGAAGCCCTGGTAAGCCATGTCGAAGAAAGCAAAGTGGCCCTTCTGCTTCATGACATCGCTGATCTGGCGCCACTGGTCCTGGGTGGGGTCAACACCGGTGGGATTGTGAGCACAGGCGTGCAACAGGATGATGCTGCCGTTAGGAGCAGCCTTGATGTCCTCGACCAGACCCTCGAAGTCCAGACCGATGGTGTCCTTGTTGTAGTAGCGGTACTTCTCGACCTCGAGGCCGGAGTCCTTGAAGACGGCGCCGTGGTTGGCCCAGCTGGGGTTAGGGAGGTAGACCTTCTTCGCGCCGGGGTAGAAGCGCTCAAGGAAAGCACCACCGATGCGGAGAGCACCGGTACCGGAGATGGTCTGGGTGATGACCAGGCGGTCCTCCTTGAGGACAGCAGAGTCAGAGCCGTAGGCAAGCTCGGCGGCGGCGTTGGTGAAAGCGGGGATACCGGTGATACCAGCGTACTCCTTGTCGCTGCGCGACGCAACGACCTTGTCCTCGGCGGCGCGGACGGAGGGCAGGACGTAGGGCTTGCCCTTGTCGTCACCTGTCGCAAATTATTGATTAGCTTTTCTTCATGGTTACTCCTTTGCGCGCAATGCCAGGATAACTCCTCAATTGGTTATGTTTTGGAGGTTACTTACGGTAGGCACCGACACCAAGGTTGATCTTCTCCTTGAAAGAGTCGGCCTTGAAAGCCTCGGTGATACCCAGGATAGCATCCTATCGAGTCCATTGCATCAGCATAGTCCTAAGAACCCAATCGCAGCTCTGAAACAAGGCAAGAAACAGCAGGGAAAAATCGGTCAAGCTTACAGGAGGGCCCTGGGGAACCTTGGACCAGGCGGAAGCTTGACGAGCACCAATGATCACGGTGCGCATGTTAGCCTCGCGGGCAGCAGCCGAACGGCTGGCGACGCGCAATGTGGAAAGCATTTTTGATATTTTAGAATAAAAGATGGACACAGAATCCACAGAAATTGGGGGAAATGGGAATAAAAGGGAGGAGTCGGGATGAGAAAAGGTCGGAGATGTTGCGGTGCGTCTGTTTTGGCTTGACTCATGTGATAACGGTATTGGGTACGGTGTTTGTGGTGTGGGGTTACATACTTAACGTTGGTACCGGGTACTTCCGCGAGAAACAGCCACCTGCGAAAGGGCGGGATTGGCTCTTCCCTCCGCACTTTCTAGCATGCATGAGACGATCATTGATTGACTGTTTCAATAGTCTTCGTTGCTATGGGGGATTCGAAGGTTTTCTGGTCATAATTAGGGCGCGGTATTCCTCTATAGGTCCCTTGTGTTACGGTCTTCTTCATCTTAATAGCTCTATACATACTTCAAATAGAGAACCACAACATAAGAAAATTGTCCCCGACATTGCGCGACATCGGGATTCGTTTTCCCGGTGAGCTGATTAAGGCCGACAAGCTCCACTTCACTTTTCCCCTCACGCGATTTGGGGTAAAGCCCGGTCTGTCTGAACAAGGATTGTATGATGCAGCCAATGATCAGATCGAATTCTACGGGTAAATTGATTCTAGTAAGATCTAGATCAATGCTGAGTTTCGCCTACTGCACCTTTTCGAGTTCTACGGAGACAGAAAAAAAACCTCGGTTAAATATGGGGAGGTCAAATACCCGGGACGCCATCCCCACACGCGGAGAGAGCATGGTCTGATCGCTCCGACACCGACTTATTACGGGAGGACTTGACAGATCTGGTTAGCGGGTGATGTTCCCAAAAGGTTATCGTGAGGTGGTCATTTTGCAACTATACACATGATTAATAACTTTAGCCAAGTCGCACACCGGCCTGGCGATTCTTTCGTGCTTGTTGTCCCATGGCATTGTTCATTCCAGTGTGTTGACTGCTGTCCAAAGTGCTCATGGCTTCGCGTTTATCCTCATCCTCCATCTTCTTCAGACGCTTCTCCGTCTTCATCTTGCCGCTACCCTTGCCGTGGAATTGGTGACTGAGGTGCTTGAATGCCTCTTTTTGGTTCATCGAGCGGCCGTGTTCGTCCACATACTTGAGTTGCACGTCTGGCTTGTACTCCTTGTTGAAGATCTCGGCCATCTGGCGGGCTTCCTGCTGGTCTCGCTGCTTGTTCTCCCAGCGGGCGTGTTCCTCACGCTCGCGGGCCGACATGCGGTCGAGCTTACCAGATGCACGGTCGCGCTCACGCTGCAGTCGAGCACGTCGGTCGGCTTCAGCTTCACGGTTCTCCTTTTCTTGTAGGAAGCGCATGCGGTCACGCATGAGAGCATTGCGATCGCTGCCGCCGGTATCCTTCACCAGACCACGTCGTCGCAACATGGACAAAGCAGCTCCCATGCCCTGATCCAAAGTAGCTTCTTCCTCCAATCCAGTACCGGTAATTTCTTGCTTCTCGCGCTCAGATTCCTCGCGTTTGATGCGTTCAGCAAGGTCCTCGTCGTCTTCGATGTCATTGTAAGAGCGTTCCATGTCCACGTCTTGTGGCTCATCCTCGGGCTCTGGCTTAGTTTCTTCGACAACTGTAGACTTTTGTCGCTCTTCTCGTTCAGGTATGGTAGGTTTCTGGAGGTTGGAGATGAATTCAGAAGTCTCATCAATTATGAGACCGGGTTCCTCTGCATCTCCCTCAGGTGTTTCCACCTCCATCGGGGTCTGGGACTCTTCTTCGCGAAGCTGCTGGGCAAGATCTTCTGGGCGCATCTTCTTGCGCTTTTTGAAGGCAGCTCGTCGCTGAAGTGCAAGAGATGCTTGTAGGTCGTCGTCATCCACAAAGGAGACATTCTGATCCAAGGGTTTCCTGACGGGGGCCGAGGCTCCATTGCCTGAATCAATATCCATGGACGCTCC